TATGTCCCCTTTAAATTTCCCATAAGCAGACCACTCCAAAGGGGGAAAAGGCCCAGGTAGTTCAAAAAGAACATCAACAACAACTGGGCAGAAGTAAGGATTTTCCTCATCTTCTTTGGTGTGTGCATCCTCTTTTTCAAGCTCTCCTTCAAGAGCTTCTTGATTTCATAAGTGAAGGAGATTTGCCTACAATTGTGTGAGCATTTCTTCTATCTTCATCATTTTCCTCCGGAGCTACAGGACTGTCTTCCAGTTTCTCCGTCACTTCCACGTCAGGAATCATGCTCTTTTTTATTAAGTCCTGTATGGCCTTCAGATTATTCTGCACACTACTGGTGTTGTACTTGCCAATTAGTACAGCACACAGTGAGCGGAAGATTTTGATTGCAGAGGTCATTGATGTAGTATTTTGCAACCTGGCAAATGCAAAGGTTGCAAACTCCTTTAACCCTTTACCTTTTGTTTTCCTTCCAATAGCCTGGGCAACAGCTTTGAGCACATGTGAAGCACTGTAAACATTTGTATCTCTTTCCATGTCTTTACTTTTGAAGAAATAGCAAAGGCCTTATCCAAGTAGCTTTCAGTGCTCTCCTTGTTGAATGACAGAAGAACACTTTGGAGTAGTGCCCAGCTGTACTCTGTTTCCACCTGGTGTACTCTTACCTTTGTGTACTGGGACAGTTGTCTGAGAACTGCATTAACCAGAATGTAACTGGTGGTATAGAGTGTTCGTTGGTCAGCATTTCACAGACTGGGAGGGGAGGTACATTCTGACCACCACCAGGAAGAGTAAGAGAGTAGTAAAGTACTCTTTTGGTCTGACCTGGAACTTTAGATACAACATTACCTGTAGCATCTATGTACAGGGTCAGTGGGGTGTTCCTTCTGAGGTGTTATGCTTATTCCTGTTTCAGTATACATAATGTACAAACACCAAAGGGGTCAACTTCTAAATGCATCTTGTGAAAATGGAAGTCAAATTCTTTTATGATCTTTTGGGTTAGATACATCTCCATGAAAACATCATCATGAATTCTTGTCCCTTTTCTAACCTCTGAACTAATCATCTTAAGCACATTTTTGTTCAAACATTGGGTTATGTTCCCTGAAATCAGTTTAGCATCTGGTGTTTTTTGGAGTTTACTGTAGAACACTTTCCTTTATGTAGAGCTCTTGCAATTCTTCCTCTCTGTGTTTTTGCTGCTGGGCTAAATTTTCTCTCATTTGTTTTGTGTGCCACTGTTCCTCTTTGTAGGACAGCTATCTTGATCTGGTTGTCTCCCACTGGCTCCCTTTTCCACAAAAAAGTATTTGGCACTGCAGGAAGGGAATGTACAAACAGCACTTATATTTAAATAAGGACTGTTAATTTTCCTGCTGTGGAGAGGTTGTATGTGCTGGCTCTTGAATGAAAGGGTACTACAAGGATTTTTTTGGCGGAAACTGCCATACAACACATTGTTCCATGGTTGCCTAAGTTTTGTGGAACCGTGTCGCAGAATGTGACCCACAGCCAATGACGATTTTTCTTCATATCTTGAGCAAATAGTTGTACAGATAGTTCAGACCAGATCTGGGAAGTGTTGCGTTCTTAATTTGAGAAAGGACCTTAAAGGAAGTATAGTCTTCAACTTCTTTTATTTGAGAGAATAAGTAAATAACACAGCTGCGGACCCACAGCTGTGTTATATGTTAGATGTGCTAAGATTTAATCAAAAAATGATAAAAGGTGCACTTACTTACAGTGGGTGCTTCACCAGTTTATTGATTATTTAATTTAATTTCGAGTAAATGACTAAGGCTCAATGTGTTTCTCATATTAGAGAGACTATTCTAAAACCTGTAGACAAAGGTCACCAAGATAAACAGGAAGGACCTGTGATTGTGTCAGCAGAATGTTTCCCTGCACAATGCCTGTTTTTCCACACCCAGTATAACAAACCCTTTTCACATAATGTTGTATTGTACAAATATCTCACAGAAGAATAAGCTGTATCTCTGTTTGTTATGTTAAAACTTGTCATTGTTCTGACCACAGCTTCTTTTCCCCCCTACCACTGCCCATTGGTCTTTCCTCTGTTTCCTTTTTTTACTCTTCCCATAGTTTTACTCTTCAAATAGTCCTAAGCCTAGGGTAAGGGGTAAGGGGGAAAAGGAAAAGCTAAAACCTTGAATTGAAAATGTGTATGCCAGTGATAATCAATTATATGTTTTACATGTACTTGAAAACCTGGGGTAAAAGATGAGGTGTATGAAGGCTATTATCTATATCCATATCTATATCAATGTCCCTAATTTATTATGTCAGTGATATTTCAACACATGGCTAAAGACTGGAGCACTTCATGTCTCTTTCTTTTTGTATGCTATAGTCAGTATATATATCTATGGGCAGTGCACGAGACAAGCGCATAAATGCTGACAATTGGCTGAGGTTGAGTAAAATTTCATGGTAAGCCAATCAGAGGTAAAGTTGGGCGGTGTTCGAAAGCACGCATAGTCGGACACACAATGAACAACACAAGCGAGTCAGTCAACGAGAGACAGGTATGGCCAGTTGTGTTGCATCTTATTACATTTGCACTAAAAAGAGTGTATATATTGTTTGAATACATTTTTGGTACATTGCTTAAAGAGCATAATTTAATTTAGATTTATTTGTTGGCAGGTTGCAGCCTCTTAAAGTGAGATTGTCAATGACCAGAGAAAGAGATTTATTTTTATGGAGATGTATTTTTTATTTCTTATGTATTACCTGTTTATATTTGGATTCCTTAGTTTTGCTATACATTGTACTTTTCAGTTAGATTGAAAGCACCTCACATTGTTACACTGTTCTACTTTTTCGAGGAAGAAAATACTTGAAGTACAGTATATCTACCAATTGTCTGAAGTTTTTTTTGTTTTAATTCCACTACAAAGAGTGTATACATTTGTTATTTATTTTTGGTATAGTGCTTAACAAGCAAAATTGAATTTTGCCCAGTTGTGGCCTGTTGAGAGGCAACAAATATCAAAAGTTCCAAAACATCTATTGTGTTATTTGTATCGATCCACTATATAAACATAATATCTACATACATGGCATTTGATTGGAGGCTAGTCTCACTTTGTCCCACAGCAACATTAAAATAGTTTAGATTTGTGTACATTGTTTCTGTTAATAATGTATTGTATTAAGTGTCCATTTCATTATAATATTCAGATTTATCATAAATAATTGAATATGCACATGTATTTTAAGTTCCATTAAAGAGGGGTGGAGGTGGGGTCACATTTGAGCATTTAAAAATTGACTTAAAAGTAACACAAGTTACTTTCTAAAGTAACTAGTTACTTTTATAATTTGTAACTGAGTTACTAATTTAGTTACTTTTTGGAAGAAGTAACTAGTAACTGTAACTAATTACTTTTTAAAAGTAACTTGCCCAACACTGTTGAAAGGAAGCACACATTTACTTTAACTCCTTTCTCAAGTGCCTCCTTGTACTCTTCCATTGCTCCCCGCATTCTCTCCTTTTCTCCTTTTCTCCTCTCCTCTCTCTTGTTTTCTCCTGCTCTTGTCTCCTCTCCATTCCTTTCTCCCCCTCTCCTTTTGTCTCTCTTCCTGTCTCCTCTCCTCACTGTACTTTCTTATAGTCATATATTAATACTGTTTAATAAGAGGAACCGTCAAAATATTTGCTAAAACTAACTCTGAAGGTGGCTCATTTTGGCTGAAATGCATGGCTCAATTTACCTCAATACATTAAGGTAAATTGAGCCACCCAAAAAAATTTTTTCATAAAAAAATAATTTAGCTAAGCAAAAATTTGGCATTATATCTGATGAAGGCTATCACAACATGCATTATACCCAATTTGTTATAGCTGTACATCTGTTTTTTAGTGATTTATCAACCTTATAATGTTCAAGTAAGATTTGTCTGCCAGGCCACTCACCTCACAGTTCTCCACAGCAAACAAAAAACCTACAAAAGTGTTTTATTGTGAAAATAACAGTTGTAGTATCACCAGGACGGTGCAAATGCTACAGTGGTTTTAGTGAGGTTACAATATAAGAGAGTACAGTTATTGAATATCTTTTGTGATATCTTTTTTTAATTATTGAAAATTGTTGACGGTCCCTGTGCACTCGTCTCACAGGGGTATTACACAAAACCAGGATAGGTTACTATGGTGATTTATTCTCTGCAGGTAGCCTTCTCCAGACCAGGCTAACAGCCAGGCTAAGATTAATCCTAGTGATTCACCTGTATTTCCACCGTCGATCCTGTGAGGAATGAATGTGTTTTACAGCATGTCCATGGTCTTTCTAAGTATGTTGCATCATTTTAATTATCCTGCATTCAAATATTACATATTGTCATTTCTCATTTCATTTAAATCTGTTGGCTGTTTGTAATTGCAACAGTCTTTTTATATTGATTCAAGTGTTAGTATTATTAATAAGTAATTAATCTTAGCCTGGCTGCAGAGAATAAATCACCATAGTAACTTGGCCGGGATAAGTTTGACCTGCTTTCATGCAACCGACTTGAGGCTAAATTCAGCCAGGATAACCAACATATCCCGGATTAATCCCTTATCTTGGTTTTGTGCAATACCCCTCGGACGTAAATGTTTACATGTCTGTTTACTGGGAGTTTTACTTCAAAACACAAGTTATTATAATATAACCCAAAAAACATTGTAATATAAATAAACGCAATGCAATGTGACCGAGAAGCTCATGGATATAGAGACTGATTAATACAGAGAGCAAGGCATTAACGATGGAACAAGCCAGACTGGTCTCAGTTAGACGATCAGTACTTCCCTACCGCCACCAGAGGGCGACAAACAGCCACAGCGGCGACCGCAGGGATTCAGCGGGGCTACATTAACTCTGCTGTCATTCATAAAAACTGGGCCCCGCAGTGTTCCTGTGTTATGTGATGGGATTCTGAGATGTCCACAGTTGTGTGTTAGGTGTTAACAGAGACTAAAGTAGACTAAAGGACCACTAACACCCTTAGATCCCGCATTAGGATATCTTTGCGCCACCCTCTGGCACATGTGCGGAATAACATGCGCTGGTTCAGATCATTTTACTTTCTGTTCTGCTGAACTGAGACGCAACTCCAGATCGATTCCCTGCCACTTAATCATCATTCACAGTTTTTTGGCGATGGACAAGAAGGAAGCAACGCGAACCTGCGGTCAATGGTGAGAGTTAACTTCATGTGGTAACGTTAGCACCAAATTACATCATAAAATGTGTTTATTTACGGTTGTTTTGATCATTGGCGAGAGGACATACTGCATGTAGGACGTAAACCAATATGGAAGTTATATAAATGGGTCTGAATCACAGTTCGGCATAGTTCTACATTGAACAGGAGGGTTGTCAGTGTAATTGAGACCGAAGTAATTTCATGTACATGTAAGGAGTCATTGGCCAGGTCAGGGGTTGAGTCAAGGTAGTTTGGGTTAGGAAGCAGGGCGTTAAACCGGTCAGCAGACCATGACAACAAAAGCCACCGTTCACTTTCACTTTCCTCCTGTAAGCCTGTCACTGAAGGAGAAGGAGAACGGTTCTTTAGTGGGAAGCATCTGGTTCCTATGTTAGTTTGGACTGAGATCTTGTGCCCAATGGAAGAACACCATCTAGTATGTTTGCTGGTCATGATTTCTAAAAAGTTAATAAATGTAAAAAATCTCTCAAGTGTGTGGAGTAGTCTTGTAACAAAGGTCATAGAGTTCAGTGATCCTTTATCTTACTGTGGCAAATCTGAACTTTTACTGCATGACAATCCTTCCCTCTCTGTCAGCCACAAAGAGGTTGCAGAGGCCAACTTCGCTCTGCACGAAAGCCACTGCAGCCGCTTCCTATGTCTCTGTCCGGACTGTGATGAATCAGTTCCCAGAGAGCAACTGGACCAGCACCGAGAGGAACAACACACCCAGGTACATAAACACACACATAAACACACACACACACACACACACACACACACAGTGGTGTGTTCTCTGGGCATGCTGGACAGGTGGAGGTGCTGAGAGAAAGTCTGTCTATATATTGATGTCACACTAAATGCGGAATGCATACAGTTGATGGTTTTTGTATTCATTTGAATGGCCAACATAATTTATAGCCTATTTAATAGTTTTTAATAAATAGATTTTATACATTTGTAGCAAATAAAACTGATTAAAAAACAAAACTACCATACACACCAGTGTGCACATGTAAATCCCAGTAAAAAAGGACAAAGTTTAAACAGTTTTATGAACTAATGGTTTTTCTTATGCCAGATTTTAGGGGGTGCTGCAGCCCCCTCAGCACCCATGGTATTCTCTGTAGGTTTACAACTGTTTGTTTGCAGGTGAGATGCTCCAAGTGTAACCAGAAGATGCAACGCTGTTACCTTGCAGATCATGAGGTAAGTCCATTAGTACTGCTGGCAAACCATTAAGCAATCAGCATAGAATATTACCCCATAACCTAATTCCTGTCAAGGTGGAGAAGCCTCCAGAAGAGATTTGTGGTAAAAGTTAAATGCAACATATGCCCCTGGGAGCTCTGTTAATCAGTCTGACTGTGTCTCCCAGTCTGATGAGTGTGTGGAGCGTCTGCAGAGCTGTAAGTTCTGCGAGCTGGAGATGCCGTGGAAGGATCTCAACGAACACTGTCTGGCCTGCGGGAGTCGCACCGAGCTGTGCAGAGACTGCGGCCGCTACATCACGCTGAGGGATCTGCCCGAGCACGGCTTGACCTGCTCAGATACTGACAATGGCTCCGGTCCTCCTCAAACTACCAGCAAACAACCAGCAAACAACAGTAAGGGGATGTAGGCTTTGAAGCTGACGCACAAACCACCAGTTAACTACCACAATAGCTTTTTTTAAATTTAAAGATCACCATGCCTGTTCTCTTAAACTGTCACTGAGCCTGTTTTCTTTTCCCAGCAAAAAAAACATGGATGTGTGACAGATGTATGGCGTCGTTTCCAGCTGAACAAATAAACGAACATGAGGTATATATATAGATATATATATATGTTTCTTTACGTTTTATGGGAACAATTCCTCATTTCTGACAACTTTCCAAAATTGTGTTTATTTAAAAGCAGCTATAATTGATATTATAATATCAATGGATCAAATGTCAAGGTGAAAATAATGTAAGTGTTAAAGTGGTTACTCGTAGTGAGGAATCTGCAGAGAATTATCAGCTTTACAGTGAGTTTCAGCTGTTTTTCTTAGCTGTCCGGCTGCATCTAACCCCACAGGGTATGATCTACATTAAACTGTGGTTTACTGTTTTGGTTCACTCCTCAGACGTAGTTAGTGCTGGTGAACACGGTGGATTGTTTAGCAGCTAAAGAGCTAGATATCTTACCTACAGGTTGGTAGAGACCAGAAACAGCTAAAAGAGAGTGAATCATGTTGCTCTTTAACTGCTGGGTGTGTTAATCAGTTGTCGGAGGTCTAAAGCAACATAATGCAACTTTTTGCTCAATAGAAACCACTGCGGTTACAAATGCTGAAAATGCTAAGCTAATGTAACAGTGTGTCATAGTCCCTGTAAGTAAAACCTTTGTCTGTATCCCTCAAACCAGCTGGACTGTGTTCCCACAACCAGGTCTGACGATGAAGAGGATGAGCCAGAGGAGGAAGAGGGGGAGCATGAGGGTGATTTCTCCACTCCCTGGCTAAGCAGAACCTACAAGTCAACCGCCCTGCTAGACAGAGCCAGCAATGGTCCCTGGGGTGATGGAGGTGACCCAGACCAGATCAGCACCTGCCCCCACTGTCATCTGGCCCTGCCCCTCCGCACACTAAGTTGGCATAAGGTAACACTCCTGAATAAAACCAAGTTTTTTTATACATTGTTGAAAAGTTCCTGTGCTAAGAGGTTTCCCCTCCTCCTCTGTGTTTTTAGTTCAAGTGCCAAATCCACATTGTCCTGAAATAAAGAGAGAGATCCTCCGAATGGAAGAGCTGCTTCAGAGATCAATGTGTCATTAGCAAAGAGACGGAAGAAACGTATCTGGGATGTTGAAATGTAATTGTATAATGTGACTACTTCATTTAGCTTTTTTACAGGAAATGCTCTGTCTAGGTAAAGGTGACACTCATGATGGCTTTGTAATGTTTTCTTTGTTAGATCCCAACACCGCGACTGAACTGAAATGCTTATTGCTTCTGTCTAAACCAGAGAAAACTGCAGTTGTTTGGAGTCAGAAACATCATGTTGAGCAATTTCTACAGAATCAGATTAAAGTCTGTTAAATTCTCCATTAACATTAAAGGTTTACATGTCCAAGTCTGCAATTCATTCATTACAAATCCATATGAACATACTTCAGAAGCAAGTTGCTTTGACATATTTACACTATCTCACATGGTGAAAGTTTGTGTTTAATAGTATTCATGTAATTTAGGTAATGTTATTGGCATTATGTTTTGCCATTTGAGGTATATTGTATTATGAACTATGTAAAATATAATTAAAATATATATATTTAATTCAAAATGAAATATTCAGAAGTAATTGTTTCTTATTGAAGTGTCAGGTCTGTTACTCTTGAGTCTAGGTAAACAAATAATGAACAAGCTAGTATTAGTTTTGTTGGTTGGTTCAGTTTGCTGCGGAACAGTAATTTAATTAATTATATCATTATTTATAGCTAATTATTAGGTGTATTATTAGTGATAGCTAATCTCTACATAAGAACTAGTTTGTGTGGTGCAACCCATTTTAATTAAGCTCCACTCAGTGAAGACAACAGCTGGTGCTCCTGGTCATCTTTTCACTGGTTGAGGAAGATTGTTACACAGATTATCTGTCTCATGTTCTACTGTAAAGATACAGTGAAAGTTTCAGCAAATAGTTACCTACTGCAGCTTTAATAGAACAACAAAGATAAATAATCAATTCTACCACAGCTCATTTTAGAATAAAAATGAAAGCTTTTGTATATTAAGTAAATTTAAGCCTTTCATGAGTAGCTCAGTGTAACACACACAGTGTAACCATCACTCACAGTTTCATACAGCTCTCACACTTAAGACCTTAGAGTGAAGTGAAGAAAACACTATTTGAAACTTTGAAAATGTGAAAGAGAACTAGTAGATTCACACATAATATTTTGAAGTGAATTTTATATAGGTGTATTTTGAAAGAAATACTATGTAGACCCCTGCAGTTGCTGACTGTTCAGAAGTTATGTATGATGATGGGCTCCCTGTGCTGGGCGCAGATGACCTCGTCAATGTAGAGAGAGTTGGCCTTGATCTCGATGTTTTTCTGCAGCTCCAGCTGGCAGCGAACCAGAGCCCTCTGCTCCTTCTCTGACTGGGCCACTGCCTCACGCAGTCTGACAGTACAGAGATAAAGAGATGTCACATGATGCCAAATGGTTGTGTAATATATAGAACAATACATCAGCCAACATGGGAAGAACTGTGGTAAGAAAACAGAAACTCTACACACAGTCCCTGTAAACCAGCTGTTTGTAGGTATTTTATGTGCATCTTAATATTTTTTACCGTTTCATAAAAATAAAAAAAAGAACATGATTTGTCTGCTGGGATGGACTCAGCCCCCCACGACCTTCCTAAGGATAAACATGTGTTGCCCTGTCCCTCCACATGAGTAGCGAGTGTATCCTGGCCTTACTTGCTGATTTGAAAGGCGAGCTGCTGGACCTCGGCCAGGAGCCGGGACTGTGCTGGATCGTGGCATTGCTCTTTGGCAGGCCGCTGGCGGCGCAAAGCCAGCCGGGCCTGGGCCAAACCCAGAGCATGTTCATTCTCTGTGACTGCCACTTGGAGATCCCCACTGATCCTCTGCTGGCTGGCAAACTCTAACAGAATCTGGAGGGGACAGAGGTGTCACACCAGGGTCAGTCTGTATTTTCACTAAATAGTAAATGAGCAGGAACATTAAATCAGCACTAAACCGTTCTGTACATGTTCAAAATAAATGCTGATCTGAGAATGAAGTATATAGGAACTATTACTTGAAAATTAGCAACAGATATTTACAAGTTTTTGTCCCAGGATGATGAACTTTTAGACTGAAGTTTGAAGGTTTCCTTGCAAAAGAATCCCAAGACTTCAATATTGGGAGTAATCCCTGAACATTGTACATATTCATATATCCCTGAAGATTCTTTCGGTTATCATGCAACTCTAAGCCAGTGGTTCCCAACCTTTTTCCTTAAGGGGACCCCTTTTAAAACTAATGGCCCCTGACTATGTGACATCATTTATGGATATTTCATATTATATTGAAAACTGTACAATGAACCCAAACAGTAAACTCAATAACTGCAACAAGTTTGTGTAAAACAAGTGATTGGATTAATTTTGAGCAGATTATTTCCTGTAAATAGTGATAAGAGAGAGTGTATTTTTATAATTTAACAATCATACAGACTTAATCGGCTTATTGTTTGGTCAATTCAGTGTTTTCTTGTCCCTGGCACTTGGCCATTGTTCTATCAGACAATTTACTTTACGTTTACTTTTCTTCACAGAAGTGAACCCAATGCTGACACATAGGGCCTAATGTGTATATTTTTTAAGTTTTCTTACATGCCTGAAAATCAAGAAGTCTTCACGACCCCTGTGAAGCTTTGGCGACCCCTAGTGGGGGTCCCGACCCGCAAATTTGGAACCACTGCTCTAATCTAAGCTATTATGAATCCACTCACTCTTTATTATTCACTCACCTGTATTTCTCTTTTAATACATTTATTTCTTACTTTTTCTCATTTCTTGTTTTTTATTTATGCAAAAAAGTATATATTATTTTTAACACAACATTAATGAAAAAAACAAAACAGTAACTACAGATTATCCACACACCTCGTCGACAGATTTCTTTAGAACTTCTTTCTAACAACAAAATAGAGCCAGAAAACACCACGACTGGATACAATACCACAAGGAATAAATGTTTTTTTGTGATTTGGGTTTGCCATTGGTGATTTTTGTGATTGGGTATGTGTGATTGTTTGATCTTAGTTATTAGTTACACCCACAGTCAGAGGCACATTCTTCCTCTTCTAAGTATTCATTGTCTCTTGGCAGTGGAAATGCCTCTTAAACAGCATTTAAACCACATGCTAATAAAGCAATATTATTATCTACTCCAGTGTGATCAAATAGTCCATTAAGAGAACATTAATCACATTATTCCACTGTTCATCCTTAATGAAAGTATCATCTGTGGCCAGCTAGTATTCAGATTTTAGACTTCAATAAATCAAACCAAATCTTCTCTCTCTCGCTTTTACTACATCTGCCTCCCACTGCCCGACTTTGTTTCTCTTCACGTCTGCCCTACCTTGGCCAGCTGATCCTCCATCTGGCTCTTGGCAGACTTGATCTCCTGGACGTTCTGCTGAAAGGCTGCCGTTGTGGCCTGGAACTGCTTCTGCATGTCAGCGGACGTCTGCTCCAGGAGAGCCTCCACCAGGGCCCGCAGGGACAGAGAGTTGTTCTTCTGCTGCTCTGCTTTGGCTATGTTGATGTCCGAGATGTTCTCCCACTGCTTTGGAGTCACTGTCAAGCTGAGAGAGAGGGAGGTGATAAAAAAAAAAAAAAAACATTTAAAGAAAATTAAAAAAAACTTGTGAGGACCTTGAACTAACAATATTCTAAAGAGAATATGATGGAGCCCATCCAAGCATACGCACTGGCAATGACTTCAAATCCTGTCTTCACGGAGCTAACAAGAACACGGTCGCTCACCTAGGCAGAACAGTTTTGGTGTTTTTGGACTGCTGCAGGTTCTCGATGGAATGGGTGGTCATCGAGGCACAGAAGTTGTCGATGCACTGAGCCTCATATTTCTCCTTCAGATCCTTCTCTAGCTGGTACTTGGCTGATCGGTTTAATCTGAAACACAAAGCAACATGTTTTCTCTTAGTATTTACTGGCAGCCGTATCCAGCGATTTGATTTTCCTTCCAGGTTTGAAGACAGCAAACATTAGAAAATCCAAAAGGTCTGTGTCCCTCACCGTATCTGCTCAGTGGTCTGCTCTATTACACGCTGCAGAAGGGAAGCCACTCCCTCAATAGCCTCCCTCTCCTTCAGCAGCTCTCTGTCCACCTCGTCATGCAGCCTCTCAGAAGGGAGACGTTTCATTCTGCAGGCCAGAGAACAAAATGAGCACCTTTCACATAAATAAACACAAAGTAACTCTAATATAACCTGTGTCCAACAATGCTTTTCAAAGATCATTTGGATCTGAAAATGGATGATGGATGTCACATAAATGCTTTCAACTTATAGAGGGAAGCAGGAATTTCTCACTTTAAAGTGTTTTGTTTTTTCCTTTATAGTTTTATATGTATGCTTCACTGTAAGAGAAGATGGTGTTGAAAGTTTAGATTAATCTAAAAGACAGAACACATGTGAGTAGCAAGAGAAGTTTCAAACTTAAAATAGCTAAATATAATGCATTTTTCTTGACTGTTCAAAATCATCATTTCCCAGCCTAACCTCTCCTCCAGACAGAGGACGGTGACTCTCAGAGGGTCTTTGCAGGCCTCCAGGGCTTTCTCCACTCTGCTCTGCAACGCTATGAGGACATCAATATCCAGAATAATCTCCTCCAACTTCAGCTCCAACTCCTTCTTCAGAAACTGGATGTCTCTGACCCTCTGATCTGAACAGCAGAAGAAAACAGAAAAAACACCTCTGCAGTCTTTGCAACATCACCCTTTGTAATTAACACTGACTGATATTATTTGTTCTCCTACTTACCTAGTTGCTTGTTATCATTGTTTTGCAAGCGTTTGCAGCTTTTGTCAGCTTCAGAGATCAGCCTCATACATTCGGCTCTGAAGAGCTCAGAGTGGTTCCTCATAACCTCAATGTTCACTAAGTTGGGTCCACCACCCAGATGGGGATTGCGACCTGGGACAGACATCGTTCTCCACTGGTGGTCCCTCACTGAGAGTGCAGGCAGGTAGGCAGAAGAAATGTGGCGGAGAACTGAAACCACGTCAAAACCAAAGGGAAAAGCTTATTAGACTACCGGTATACAGGCTGTACCATCCTGTGCAAGTGTTTGCTGAATGGAACAAGTCTTGGACAGCACTGAGAAACTGTTGGCTTAGTATACCTGAAGCACTTGCGCTTGTTAGCTCGACCCAAAGCTAACCTAACGCAGTTAGCTGTTAACATTAGCTAACTTAACTGTATTGGTTTGAGTTGACATGAGAGACTGTGCTGTTTGTCCCTAGCGTTGTAACGTTACCCACAAATAACCATTATAGCAAAATAACAAGTACTGTCATCGACCATACCTTGTTCTGTGCGGGTTTAAAGCCCCAAATGTAGCTAGTTAGCTGTCACTATTGACGTCCTCTGCCTCTAGCGCCACTTAAAATGTAACAAAACAAACGGTTACTATGGCAACGGCTGACACGTTATATGCTGACGCGGTCATTATTTTCTGGAGCTGCCGTCAATCAATCGACTGACGTCATTGTACACAGTTACTGCTGACTCAGCCTCAGCCAGCTTTTCTACTCCTCACGACTAATGATAAACTTCATACTGTTAGAATGAGAACAGACTCAAACCACACGAACAATGAAGTGAGACTTTTCTTTAATATTTGCATTTGCAAAGCTATAAATCTGTTACAGTACATTACATTTCATTATTTGAGAAAATAAGTCACTTTTTAGTAAAAAAAAAAAAAAAAAAAGTGATATAAATTGGCTGATATAATTGATTCCAGCAAGCCAATAACATTCAGATCTTTGTGTATGTGAAAGTTTAGAACAGTAATATTTCAAATCAATATGAACAAGAAGAGGCTATGTTACAATAAATAATCGGATGAATATTAATGATACATATGGTATCACAACTGAGCAGCATAATACAGTACACTAAATGTAAAGCAACAAGCATTTCAGAGGCACTTGCTGAATCCATATTGTTCAAACAAAAACAACAAGAGTTTCTCAATACACACTAATAATAACAACATGGCAACCTATTATGAATTATCAATAAACAGTGCACATATCTTCATATTCTCTATTTTGCCGTGAAATCACAATCAGTAATAAAAGGGAATGGTTCATATATATTTTGTTTTAACTGCAAGGTGCTGGTGGGCTAATGAGATAGCAAAGCCACAAGCAATCTGCTTCACACAAAAGTCAAAGTTATATCATATAGCTATGTTTTCAAGTATCCAGGAACAACCTAAGTATATGAAAATACTGTGAGCAGAAAATCTAAATGCAAACTCTTCCTATAGCAGTCCATTGACAACACTAAGTGATATATTCTGTGACGCCTATGAATATTTTCATTAAAATACAAAATATTTAAAACCACAAATAGATCCATCTTACATCCTACAGCAATGCTTTCGGGACAGTACAGAGATTAAGATCAGTCCCGTATGAATGAGAATAAGGAAGAGGAGAGGAAGAAGGACAGAGTCAGATTATCTTCTGTTGTTAAAGCAACAGTTTGAGTTTGAAAGAGTTTCAATTTGTCATTATCTTACTTTACCCCCCATGTCTGTAGGACCACCAAACACACAAAGTAACTATTGAACTACTATTAAAACTACTGAAAACTGGGCCAAATTTGAACAGTCTGCAAAATACAGCATAAAATGCCCAGAACATTTCTCCAAAAACTGCATAATACAAATGTGTTGCAGAAAAACGTTTTTTTCCCATTTTATCCTTTATCCTCTTCACTTACCATGCTCTGGTTACTTACAGTGCAAGTGAGAGGTAGGACAGTGTTATTTCTGTCAGAGCTGTGATTGAGCCACTGTATGTTTAGTGGTCGTACGAACGTCAACAGAGTTTTAGTTGACATGGGTTGGCTGACTATTGTCTCTAAAAGTTCTGAAAGAAAGGAACACGTTTTTTAATCAAAGCTTTATGTCAGACGGAAATGAACAAATGGAAAATATAGCTAAATATGAACTGAAGGCATTTCCTGCCTAAGTTCCTGCTCCAGCATGAGCAGGCAAGTTAGTCGTATATATATCCACAGACTGGCTTCAAGGATATCAAATCTCATATTTGGTATCCTTGAAGCCAGTCTGTGGATATAGACTATGAAGATTGATTTGCTCGTGTTTCACGCAAACACAACATGGCCAATGAGCTTTGCTAATCTTGCAGTTCCCTTTACATCATTATAGCAGTCAGGTGAAGTTTGAAGGGTGTTTTCACCCTTTTAAACAAATTTAAAATATTCGGAATTCCAGCTTTTCGTTCAGCCGCATCACTGCAGCTGTAAGAGCAACTTCAGCATTAAAATGTGGAGTTTACACAAATATTTAGATCCGTTAACACAACCTGAAACGGAGAGCTTCCTTTCATCGACTGATCGCACAAAGCAGCAGGTACTGTTTCAGATCCTACAACATACTTCACCTTCTGTTCAATCAATATGTCTAACCTGTTACCTCCCATCCCTCACTAACCAAACATACAACATTCAAAGCCTTTTATCATATTCACACAATATAGTAAGTAATTGTAAGTTGTATTATAGTTTAGGCCAAAACATAAAGCTGGCACTTCTTTGCTCAATGTAAGGCCAAATTTCCATTCTGAGGACACTTTTTTAAGTCAGGTGATGAAGGATTGCTCATAGCTTTAGCTTTGCATGACTTCAAGTTAACATATGAAGAGCAAATGTGAATGTAGAGACCGGTTGTAAAAAAAACTAATAGCCACACTGGTAGCATTAGAGAGGTCAGTGAGGATGTGAAACAGCATGAACAGACAGTGCTTCCTAATCTGCTGCTTCGGTCGCAAGTTAGGTAACACAGTAATTAAAAGCCTTGTTGTGGTTCAGGCAATCTGGGCCCAAACTGATCCATGTCTACGTCATACCACATCGGTGATTCCAGATCCATTACTTGAAAAGGTCGTCACTTGCTATGGTTTTGTCAAGTCCATTGATCCTCTCAGGCAGCAAGCCTTCTTCAATGGCTACCTTGGACTCATGGACCTAAAAGAGAGACCAGCAGATCACACTGGTGCCTATTTACATGCCTGACCATTTCAATCCGTTTCAAATTGTTAAAAATGATGAAGGGGAAAATGAATGTCTATGAGTGGATTAATCATGGTATGTGCTTAGTACTGACCTTGAAGGGTTCACTAATTCCAATGATGCACTGCAGAGTATTACTGTAGTAGCACAGTACACACTCTCCTCCGCGCACTGGGATTTCCTCTTTACCAACGTATACCTACAAAAACAGAGACACATTTATATGATATGTGAGCTTTTCTCTGGATGTGTCAAACTCATTGGTGCAACAGTTACCACCTGTATGATTTCTTCATTGAAGGCCACTTCGTCGTCTTTGACCCACGTGTAGGTGATGTAGTCCGACACACTGGTGAATCCCACCTGAATTTCACACACACATTCAAGACTGTCATACTGAAATACATTTCAATTGCAAAACAGTAAACGGCTGTTGTTTGTCCGACCTTATAGAGTCCGATCCAGTCCCATGTGCTGGAGGGGAACGGCTGCAGAGGGCTGTAGAGAACCATGGCATCAATGTCTGCACTCCAGTCGCCCTCTGCCTGCAGACGCACCAGAGGAGTCCTGTTCATCTTCCTCAGCTAGATGGATGGAGAAATAAACACATGATGAATGATCTTAGCTTTTGAAGGGAAATGTGATACAAATGATTATGGAAATGGCAGATCTTTTTGTGTTTAAAGGGCAAATCCTATCATTAAAATTTATTTAGCGGCCCCAGACCAACAAACAGCAATGCACTGTGTGTTCTGACACCTTTCTATCAGAACCAGCATTCACTTTGTTTGAGCTACAGTAGCTCTTCTGTTGGGTGGGACCACACCCGCCAGCCTTTACTCCCCACGTACATCAGTGAGCCTTGGCCGCCCATGACCCTGTCTCCGGTTCACCGATTTTACTTCCCTGGACCCTTTTATAGGTAACGACCACTGCAGACCGGGAACACCCCACAAGAGCTGCAGTGTTGGATATGCTCTAACCCAGTCGTCTAGCCATCACAGTTTGGCCCTTGTCAAAGTTGCTCAAATCCTCACGCTGTACAACACATCAACTTTGAGGACAAAATGTCCACTTGCTGCCTAATATATCCCACCCACTGACAGGAGCCATGATAACCAGATACAGTTATTTACTGTCATATTCACCTGTCAGTGCTCATAATGTTATGGCTGATCGGTTTACATACTGAATGGCACTTCAGTTGAGAAACATTGATGCTTTCTGGTGGACGAACAATGTAATGGACATGGGTTTCTATTCTACTGCTTGCCTATTTCCAGTGCATGGTACAGCTCAGTTTGACTCAACTCAACTTTTTTGGTGCAACCTCAATCAAAGTTATGAGTGAGCTGAGAAAAATACTAAAAAATGTTTTACTATTAAAAAAAGGCTCAGTAACACCCATATTTCTGCACTGTAGCTTTTAGAAAACATTACATAACATTACTGAGAGAGAGAGAGAGAGAGAGAGAGAGAGAGAGAGAGAGAGAGAGAGCGAGAGAGATTAACTGTGGTTAACAGTATCTGTGTCACGCAGTCACTGTTTCTCACCTCCAGTGTGAAGACTCCCATGACAGGCTTGTGGTCACTAACGCAGTACTCCATGTTGCTGGTGTACAAGTCCTGTCTGATCTTCAGAGGATACTCCTCATCCTCTTCCAGCTGCCTGACCTTCTTTGCATCCAGTCCATCTTGCTCGTCGGGGGGCGGGGCTTTGGGTCGGAGCCGCCACAGAATCCTGTCGGTCCAGGCAGGTTTACGTTTCTTGCCGCTGGACAGGTGGTTACAGACGATGGACGGACAGAGAGGAGAGAGAGAGAGACGTACTTTAGTCAGGAGACAAACTCTTTATAACAAAAATCCGTATAATACAGTATCTATTTCACAGCAGCGTTAATGATGGGGTCACATGAAAGCATTATGCATTTTTCCAACTATATCTCATGCCTTTCACAAGCCTTTCTGCAATCATCAGGCACCCGTCATTACATACTCGTTTTAGTAGCAGCAGCCCTCTGACCACCTCATAATCAGACTAAACTGTCATTTTGTTTCACTTCACTTTTGAGCCAACACAGAAGGTTCCTAGAAGCAGTTAACTTTAACAAAAATATTCCAGTTGTTGAGCTGCATCAATTTCATCCACCATAGCTACCTGCTACTTTTGTAGTCATTGTCTTTGCAGTGATTTAGAGGTTTGGAACCAGGCTACTGTCCGGCCACTCTGCCATACATTCAAGAGTTGCAAGTTCAACTAAATGTACCATAAACTGCAGGTTTTTGCAGTAATCTATAATAAAATATCAGACAATGTGTCACAAATTGTAATTGCAACAAGTGTTGTGGGCCTCAGTGCACCTGTAAATACATCCAGTACAACAGGTAGTCAGTCAGTTCATTCAGTTTGTTCATGTAAATATAAAAGTATTACATTCCATCCTATAAGCTGCTACTTTGTGTCATGGAATTAAATATTTGAGATATCCCTAAAGATTCATAAAGACATTCTTTCAAATGATGTCTAAAAATGCGTGACCAGTGTGAAGGAATTTTAGCAGCACCTAGTGGTGTAACTGCAGATTGCAATGGTGGAAAATGTTTTTCACTCAAACTGTTCCTCATAGGTGGAAACAAATCTTGAACCATCTCTAATGTCCCATTACAGAGACCACCTGTTAGCCATCATGGCTTCTGGTAGCAGAGGGTTGAAGGTTTTAATATCAAACTTCCCCCCACATTTTCAGTGGCGACTAACCTTTACATCTAGCATTTAGAACACTGTAATGATCAAATAAAGTAAACTTAATAAGTAAACTTCAATGCAGAGTTGTACAGTCATACAGTAGATGTTGTCAGCTGGGTGATATCTAGTTATAATCCAACACACACATATTGAATTATCCATCTGTATTACCAAAACATCTATTTCTGGCCATGCTTGTTAGCTGTTATGTAGCAGCTGTTGTGGGACCCAGAGAGGTTTACACACTGGCTTTTATATAAACAAGCTTTGAGCCCAGTAGGATGGTATGACACAGTGCAGGTTAAATGCAGGTTAATATGGACTACTGATACTTTGCCATTAGATAAAAGGTACGCTGTGAAGTTTTTTGTCAACAGTTATATTTACATTCAGTATTTACTCATACGAATGTGTTGAATGTGGGGATCTACTCATAAAAACATTGGTCCACAGTAGCGCTCGTGGTCAAAAGCTCCACAGGGTACCTTTAACAGCAACAGTTCCCAAAACAACAGGTCTGTGAGCTCAGACAATATGTAAAATAAACAAGCATTTCAGTCTTTTCTTTGCTCAGACAATCTGATACTTGTCTTGAAAAGACCGTCAGTCCCACCTGCTTGTTTGTTTGATTTGCAGTAGGTTACAGATGAAGATAATCGTCATTAAGTGAGACGTGGTAAGAAGTGTTTCAGACAAAATCAGGCTGGAGTGTGGAGTCTTTGGGCGTGGGCGTGTTTATTTGTGCTATCGGTGCTCCCTCTCCTCACTCAGTCTCTCTCTCTCTCTCTCTGGAATAAACTGATACAAACCAAAAGGAGCTTCTTGCTATTGCTATTTTGCAGCATAGCCAGACACAGACGTCGAAGCTGGGTACACAAAATAAACCAAGCAAGAGCACAACTGGGAAAGAACCATTGTTTGGTCCATAAACTCCATCTGGATGTCAGTGATATTCCAGACTGACCGTGGAGCAGACGACCGGTCTGATTGGCCACTGCAGCGTGACATGTGTTTCTCCAAAAGCTGATCCTGTTTGAACTTTTCTGCTGCAGGTCGCTGCATTTTTGGCACCCATGTGGCCCCTACCGCCCAGCATAAATGCACTACCACCATTGACCATGAATGGGACGAGGGGGGTTTTTGCCACAGCGCCTGATTCGGTCTGAATCGTTACTATACTACATAAAAGAGTGGATACTACTTTTAGCATCTTGTTAAAAGTAGCATGCATGTACATACTGAAGTGCAGCTAGGTTGATTAAAAAGGGGGTGACATGACATATTAAAAGGGAGATGTGGACACAAATGTGTTTTAAACTCTTACTTAAAGCCAAACCATGTCCTGTAGAGCCTGTGAAGTTGAAAAATATATAGAAATTTCGTACTTTAAGAGGCAAGAACTGTAAATGAAAAGTATGATTACGATTACTTAGGATTGATTATGATGATGATTTCTTGTGTGCTACTTGGAAACAGTTACCTGCTGTCATAAGTATCAGAGTTTAAGTCAAACTTGTATGTGGGTTGAAAGTCCAGAGGCCCTTCCTCAAACTCCTGGAGTCTCTGCTCTTTCTTCTTCATCATGGTCAGCTGAAAACGACAACACACTTCATAACCTCAGAAAACTTAAACAAACACAGTAATGTACTGTGAGTAATATTTTGGTTTCTCATGCTGTGCTGGGAGCCAGGACTGTCATGTGAACAGGAGTTAGTTATGCTGTAAACAGATGAAGTGTCAAACCTGGTCTTTGCTCCACAGCAGGTTGTAGGTTTGATTGTTGATACACGAGCGGACGAAGTGCATGCCGTGGTCCTGAATTCGGAAGTTGAGGTCTCCAAACCAGAACACCAGCCTGGACCGGGGAACAGAGGAAGGAGGAAGGACAGCAAGAGTTAAATGAGAAATATGAGAAAAAACTGACTGACTTGGTACAGATGCACTGCGATGAATGTTGTATTTTTAAAATATCTGAGTAAACTGGAGAGTTGTTTTCTGCACATCTACTCACCTGTGGTCAGCAATCCTTGGAGCCTTTTTGCCGTCAAAGATCTGCGTGTCCATGATGTACTCAAACTCATCCACTCTCTCTGTGGCGTATTTCATATGAGCGGCCAAGTGACAGTTCAGGAAACAGAGCAGGTGGCCATAGAAAGACAGACGGATAGACACGCCACCTTTGTTACCCTGAGAGACAAACAGGAAGACATAAGAAACAGAGGAAGCGTAAGTCCTGTAGAACTTGTCTCTGCATTTGTTTTTATGCTTTTACACTAAAAACTGAAAAAAAGACAAACTGATTAACATATAACAAGTGCAGAAAGATTTCATGAGCTATTTGGGACATTTTGAACAAGGTGTCAAAGATTTACTTCTGCTTCTGTAGTCAAGCAGGATGTGTTTTGCCATCCCTTACTCAAAGGGGAACCATATAGGTGGCTTCAGAGGGAAATTAAAAAATACTTAAAATGTAACAAATCTGAAAGAAGTGAGCTCTGCAGCCTGTTCCCTCACCAAACTGTTGGTGGTTGAGTGACATTTTGGGTAATGGTGGCAGCAGGTATTGGCAAGGAAGAAGAGTTCGTAGAATAAGACAGAAGACGGAGTGCAATGTTAAATCTCTAGTACTCTATTAATGCGTATGTGTGTATTTCTCACCCAGTAACCGAAAATGCCGGTGCGTGTGTACTGGGCCTGGATGTCCCTGATGAAGGGGACGTGCTCCATTTTGGAGAAGAAGAGCAGCAGCAGACCCTGCATTCTAATGGATGACACCTGAAATACACCCACACAAAGTGAATACTGCACAACGTAGTACTAGCCATCAAGGATTCTCAGTTACCGATAAGAAAAAGAAAAAAAATGACACTTTTGACTTTAGACTTGTTAACATGTGAAATTGGGTGTCACCTCTAATGTGTGTCTGCACATGTATGGGCGTGGTTTTAGAAGATTTGTACCTTAACGTATTTCCGTGGTGCCAAGGTGGACATGAACATATGACTCCATGGGTCATCAAATACAGTGTCCGACAGGAATCTCAAAGGCCCTGAGTACACTTCCTGCAAACTAACACAGACACATACAATTCTCTAAAATGTCAGTCACACAACGAAACAGCAGACGGCATCAATCAAGTCACATTCCCTGTACCACCTACCCGATGACGTAGAGGTCCGGGCTCTTCGGGGAGTTCAGATGGAGAAGCAAGGACACGTCATCAGGAGGATCAACTGTGGCCACGTTCCACGTCACCATGTGCAGCCTGGGGGCATGGAAGAAGGAAAAATGTGTGTAGCACCTAACAAATAATATACAGTATACGTCTGAAACCAAGCCATACTTTGAACTTTACAATCAAAGAGCTTGTTTCAGTGTGGCAAAAACCAAAGATGAGCACATCATCCAATTGTAAAAGCTGTTACAGTAAAGGCACTGTGCTTCTACCACAAGCAGGTCGGGTCACACATAAAGAGAACAGTCATTCTTTTACTCAAACTTGCCGCAGCCATAATTTTGAGATTTCTGTGTTCAGCTACAACTGAAACAACTGAAAATGTATGACAAATATGAAAGTCAAAAGACAACATTGAGCTGGAGGGTATCAGTTAGCAAGAATCAAGAGAGTCTTTTGTTGGCCAGTGATAGAGCAGTTCATTGAGCCCACATGGGAAAAGTCCATGATGCAGGTTAAAGAAAACAGAGGAAAAGGGTAAAAAGCTGAATAAAAGGGAGAGAGAGGAACATTATTCTTGTAAAAAAAAAAAAAGAGATGCAACTCTCCAGCTTCAGCACACAGACAAGACAAGCGAAGAGGTGACACCTGAAACTGTCTTTTTTCGGCTTGTTGGCTCTCTTGCCACAGATGAGGAAAGCGTTGTCCAGGGTTTTGACCACTTTGTCATGCAGCTCATTTTTGGGGTCCAAATCATCCACGCAGGTCATCAGCTGGTTGAGCCGATGCCTCAGAGCCAGCTTGCTGCCCGTCGACTGGGTGTCACCACTGCATAGACTGTCGGAGCGGTCGCGCCCTATGGTGCCTAGCAGCCGACTGATTTCATCCATTCTGGCTCAAAGGCTTAAATGCAGCAGGGTCGGCTGTCGTCTTGAAAGACTGAGTGTTGAAGTTGCAAAATACAAACGCGAATAAAGTATTCCCTAAAAGACCAAGAATTGTTGGCAGTGTAGAACAAAAATATCCAAATTTGACTATTTCAAGTATGTTTGAATTGCATAAAAAGAATCAAATGAGGAACAGTCCGACGTTATGGTTGCTTCTGCAAAATCAAACCACTGAGTGAAGTGAGGAAAGTCCTGGTTCAAGGACCAGCTCCAGAATCAGACTGAGTAATTAGAGAATTGGTTAAGTTGTCTACAAGCCCTCTTTGTGCACTAAAAACTCCGTATAATCGCATTGTAAAATGTTTCAACATGAGGCCTATTACAAAAATTGGGAAACCAACTTGCGTGAACATAAAAACTCTTTCCATTTGCAAGCTGTTCCTCAGGCAGGATGACAACACGTTGTTTTTTCTTCAAATCCACATCAAGTGTGTATTGTTGAGCAACCTAATCCACCTGCCAGAATGCAGACAGATTTGTAGACTGGCAAACACTCAACTGTGTTTAGTCTTGAAGAACAATCAGCCCTAAATGAGGTTAATAATTATGCTTCCAGGAAAGCCACACAAAGAGTTAGTCAACTACTGATCCTAAAGCTCTAATGAAATAACTGCAGCTGTTAACTTAAAGGCCATATATAGAAGAGACAAGAAGTGAGAAATAATGCTGACACTGTAACGCCTGCCTTTCTGGTCAAACTTGGACAATGTCATCTCTGTCCAAAGAAGGCAACTGGCTACAAGAAAAACACAACATAGTGTCCATGGGGAGATATCTTGAGCAGCTTGAAAAATCACTCTTTTTTTTTTGTATTATACAAATAGTTCCAAACACAACCTGGTCTCTATTTCACTTCCCATCACACTGAGCCCACAATCATAATAACATGGTTCCCACTTTGTGATTGGGCTTCTTAACTGTTTTAATTACACTGATTTCATTGGTATGACTATAATCAGTTCCCCTACATTACAGAAGGAAGACATTTAGCATATATATCACAAAATGCAATGGGAGCTTTTGGTTAAGCAGTCACCACCTGCACCTCAACCAAACAGCACAGAGCCAGAGGCTACAATCTCCCACTGGCACAGCAGAAAAGACCACAGGAGTCAAATTAAACACCAGGAAGTACTCCTTGACAAATCATTTAATACTGGCAACACAGAAGCAGTTTCTAACCACATGCCATTGCTTTTATGAGCAGTAACCATTTTATGGCTGTGACAGTACAACTGCGCAGGAATTGTAGTGTGATCTAGTATTTATCCACTTGTACAGAAGCTCATTATACTTATAACAAATCCTATTTCACAGGCATATTGTATGTAACTCCAACTGTGCTGTAGCTGGATGTTGTGCATATCCAGATGAGTCTGATTAATGTAAATGTCTCAAGCCAAGGTCCATTCATAAATCTGCCATTTTGCTGCTACTGCTTATTGGCAACACGTCTGATATTGCTTGTACATCCTTTTAATACTGTGATAAATCCTGGAATGTAAATTGATAGTTTTCGTCAGTGAGGGTGTATTTGATGTACAACGCTAAAGAAAACGCGGATGCACCAATGGTCCAACCTGAAGCTGTCTCCGTCGTAGTTTCCCTTCCTCAAGCTGAGGTCTGGCAGCTGGCCGTCGGACTGCTCCCCATTCTCCTCCATCATCCCCACACCTGGAAGGCAATGAGGCACACCCACAACAACTTACACTATAGGTAAACGCGTTATAGGTGCATTAACAGTTAGTAAAGCACTGTTAGCGAACAACTTCAGCCCCTAACGTTACTTTGACACAGGGCTGAAGGTTAACTACACAGTGTGTCTAACATATTTGATCTCTGGCTGTAGCAGACTCGCTTATTACATGTTTTTGTGACGTTGACTTTATCGAGCTAACTGCACATAGCTAACATCTCAGAGCTGTCCTCCCTGGTAATGTAACACTGCGCAGCTAGCTAACAAACCTAACGCTAAAACAAGCTTCACACTCGAACAAACAACATGTCTGACTGAGGGTGTTTTATCGCATACTACCTAGGCTTTAGTAGTAGTTGTTTTCGTTGTTTGTCCACTTGCAGAGAGGCGTACAGTAGAGCAGCACAGTACAGTAGCTTGTGTTGTTGTTCCCGCCCCTTATCCGGAAGAAGTTATTTGCTTCAAAATAAAAGCGCACAATTTGTCACATTTGTGACAAGAAAAAAAAAACCGGTTCACACTTGGTTAAAACGCTCAGCTATAATTACATTTTCTATAAAGTACTTCTCTAATATATTGTTTATCCATCCATATTCTGTGACTATACCTTCACATATGACGTTAGTTTGTCTGTAAAGAACGAGGAATTTTATAGTGAACACTTTGGTCTTGAATTATTATACATTTTTCTGTATGCCTGACCTGAAACATTTGCTTTTAACACAGCTACGTATTCATGTTAGCTTGAGGAGAAAAAAAACAAGGGGGCGAAATTTGGCGGTTTCAGTCTGTTAACGCTTGTGGATGTGCTCTTATTCTGAAGGATTGAAACTTAATAAAGTGCTGATATTCAGACTAATAAAGTCTGCTTAAAAGAGACTAATTCTCCCATGAAAAAAACACAACTACATAAATACACCACATTTTCTAAAACAGAAAAAAACATGGCTTTATATGAGCATTTTGGATCCTGGACATTTTTTCTGATTCAAGCGAGAATTCATGACTTCAACTCACAATAGGGTCTTTTCCAGTCTGCAGAACTACAGGTGGATGGAGATTTGCTCACTTATATAGTTTTCCAGCAGAAGTACAATGCACAAATACACACAAAGCAAGCAACAATTACATTGTCTTTAATATGCTACACGATCATATAACTCATTACATTAAAATCCAGGTTCAACACAGGACAAGACTTACAATAGTAGCCCAAACCTTTTCAAAGTTATCAAGACAGAATTGCTTCATGTGTCCATCATTTTAAAATCTGCTCAGAGTTCAAGTTCTTCTTGCATATTATCATCACCAACACTCAAAACCTCAACCCAATGATATAATTACTATACCGGTATTACGATTACTATAAAAACAGCAGCTGGCATCTTTGTAGGAAACTAAACCGACCAACTGACCAACAGCAGGTGCATTCAGACCAGACTACGCTGAAAATATATTTCATGTCCCTGATGGAGTCTTTTCAAAGTAAATACCTCATATGTAAACTGTACAGCACAGGAGGGTGGTGGAATTTCCAGTTTGACAAAACATAGGTACAAATGCATTTTGTGAGATCAAGAAATGAACAGAACTTTCTCAAAAGCACAGAAGCCTATTTTATTTTATTCAATTATTTAAAAAACCTTGTAAGATCCCAGTAACTCTGGAGCTTTTGCAGATGTAGAAGACACGAGACCTGTGGAAAATGTGCCTTGCTCTGGTAAGTAAACAATGAATCACTGGGAACTGGAAAATATACAATCAAGAAAAAGAACAAAAACCCAAATAACTTCCACTAAAAAAAGGATAACAGAAATCAGAAATGTTTCTTCAGAGACAACCTACACCCTCCCTGTGATGTTTTAAAATTGAAGAGCACCTAATAGACATAAGTAAGAACGCTTCAAAACTGATTCCCATACTTGTCTCTTAAAAAAAACCTAAAAGCTGCTATATTTGTTGTATTCAAATGTAGTACACAAATACACACAACTGCTTTACAATAATGAGCTCTTATTAAGAGCAAATTTTATTGGGATGGAGGTGTGGTATTCTTGATTATGCCTATCAAGCTGTTCTAGGTCCAATGTCCCAGGAGATGAGTCTGAGTCTGCTGAATGAAGTTAAATCATCCTGTATCAGAGTGAGGTGAAGACAGAGTGAGTTAAGATGCATTAATCCAGTTTGAATTTACAAATAATAAATCTCACCAAAACAATAGTTTAATACTCACTGGGTTAGTCGACTGCCAGGCCTTTCACTTCATCATTCTTCCTCATCTAGGACATGGAGACACATGTTACTCAGGAGTGTACAAAAATACCTGATTTCTCGTATTCAGCACAAATGTTGCTGTTGGGGGCAGAACGACAACGATAAATATTACAAAGACTGCTTTGACTTATTGCAGCCCTGACTAAAGTATTGGCTCAGTTTCTCATTATAATGGGGAAATTCTTGTTTTAACGAGATAGTTAATGTTTTAGTTATTTTTTAAGTTATATGGACACCCATTTGTTGTATTCATGCTTAATTCTCAAGGTGAAACATTGGCCCATCGGTTTGGTTTATGTAGACAATAATCCTGGTGCTGATAATGACCAAGTATAGACTGTGCCAGTAAATCAAATTACATTAATTCTCAATCTTCCCATTTAGTTAAATAATCTGGATTGTATCCACACACCAGCCTTTTATGTGGGTTGTAGTGGAGCACATATATATATATATATATATTTATCTGGGGCTATATACACTGATCAGCAGCCCCAGACCAACAAACTGTGATGCACTGTGTGTTCTGACTCTTTTCTATCTAGTTTGAGCTACAGCTGCCCTTTTTTCTGCTTCTGACACATCAACTTGAGGACAAGATGTTCACTTGCTGCCTGATATATCCCACCCACTGACAGGAGCCATGATAACCAGATAATCAGTGTTATTCACTCCACCAGATTGTTTTTGCTCATGTGACTCAGATCGTTTGAAAAAAAAAAAAAAAAAAATATATATATATATATATATATATATATATATATATATATATATATATATATATTCTATTCAATTCTGATTTGAAAACACTTTCATATGTGATCCCAAAAAATTGCTGTGTGACCTAGATTTGAACAGTTACATCAGAATGCATGTGACTTTTATGTCACTCGAGAGAAACATTCGTCATGCAGGTCACCTCAAGACTGTGACCTGTTCACGCTGGATTATTCAAATTAAGATAGTAGTCTGAATGTAGCCTAAAACTTAAAAATGTAATGTAAAAATTGTCATTTTTAGGCCATATCGCGCAGCCCTACACTAAGATAATCTGCTCCGTAACAAGGGTGCAGCGTAAAAGTCTACTGTGCTCAGTCACCTCATCGAGCTCCTTCTTCGTCTCCTCCTCCATGCGTCGTATGTCATCCATCGACAGATCGATCCATCCGTCCAGCCAGCAGAACAGCTGTCTGTGGAAGTGGGTGAACAAACGCTTCTCCACCTGGACGGGGGGGGCACAAGATAAAGAAGGAGACAACAGTTACAGGGAGAAATATAAAAGTAATATGGAGTACATGTCTTGTATTGTACTTCAACTCAAAGCACAATACACTTCATAAATTGGCCACCAGAAGGCAATATATATCAAAAATCTTATTTTCTCCTATAAAAAAAAAAAATTGTTGGCGGTGTAGAACAAAATTTTTTATACCTTATGAATGAAGCCTTCCACTTTGCCCTGTAGTCCCAGCATCTTGAATTCAACAGTGGCTAGCTTATAGGCACACATGTGTGGACAGTCGGGGTTGTTAGCGAGTTCTTTCTGCAAATACATAGAGGCACTGATGAAAAACACAAAGTCTGCAGGCCTGTAAACACAATTATTTGATGTCTTTAATAAAGTGAGCCACAGTGAAGAGGCACAGGAGATGTAGTACCTTCCAGTCAGGTCCCAGAGGTCCTCTACCCGTCTTCTTGGACTTAAATATGGCTGGATCATATTCTGGTTTGTAGTCCTAAAGAATGAATGCAACCAGTAAACACTCAAAGCTGATGCAACCAGTAAACACTCAAAGCTGATGCAACCAGTAAACACTCAAAGCTGATGCAACCAGTTAACACTCAAAGCTGATGGTAAAATCGTTTCAAGGATTACTGGGACCAGATGGGTAGAATCAGACCCAAAACCTGGGTTTCTTTCTAAAAACCATGCAGAATTTTCTTCCTTACATTTGCATTTATGACACTTCTGTCCCCAATGTCGATGTTAACTACTTCAGTTTTTTCCCATGTGCTTTGGTCCAGTCCATGTACCTGCAGGGAGGCAAAGTGTAGATCAGTTGCTTGGTAAAGGAACACATATCAGACTTCATGTTTATAAGTACAGTTCAACAAAAAGTAGCTTTGACCAGTGCAGGACAATTCATACTAGTGATTGTTGGGGTGGTGTTATTCAGTCATTGCTGTAAATCTAAGATTAGGAGTCCCAGCAAACACAAGGAGAGGATTTAATCACATTAGCTTCAGCTGAACTTTGTAATGTGTTTTAGCACAGAGCGAGGATTGGCCATTTTGTTCCTCATTTCTTCGCCCAGTGGACTTTTAGTTATACACATTAGTGAGGCCAAAGGTCAGAAAGTCTCCCACTTACCAACAAGTATGGTCTTCTTTTTAGCCCAGTATGAAAAATTACAAATGCTGGTCTGGGATGAGGCATCGGCTGACAGCTTACACAACACACATTAGTTTAAGTTGGTCTATTGATATAGACAGATGAGCTCTCTGTCAATATTATTATTTATATATGTATATACTTATTTTTTATTGTTTTTATTACCATTTTAAATTCTTGTTACTTCCTTATTTGTTTATTTATTTATTAAATAATTAAATACTATTTTCTTTCTTTTCACTCATATGATATTATGTATTGTCACGCAAATGCTTATTTCTTACAGTAAGTCCAACTCTTCAGTTGTATTTGTAACTATACATATAATGTATGTGCCTAATGCATATGGTGGGTAGAGTGTGACCACAATTGGTTAGCACTGTTGACAGATCACATTCACTTACATTTTCCTGATCCCCCATATCAGGCTTGTGCCACGTCTCAATCTTTATCATGAACTTGTCTTTCATGTATTCATTCTGTAAACATGGGAGAGATACAGGATAGGGTCAGTCAACAATCATATTGTTGTGCTCATCACACTCAAAGTGATTGCATTACAGTTTGTGAAAAGGCACTGTGGATTCATCTGCGCACATAAACGCAACAGTATGTGAGCTTAGCGCGCGCGCGTGTGCGCGCACACACACCCCCACCCCCCCACACACACACACACCCCCCACACACACACCCCCCACACACCCCCCCCACACACACACACACACACACACACACACACCCCCCACACACACACCCCCCCCACACACACACCCCCCCACACACACCCCCCCCCACACACACACCCCCCCACACACACACACCCCCCCACACACACACACACACACACACACACACACACACACACACACACACACACACACACACACACACACACACAGTGTGTCGTCACTGCAGTGTCTCCTTTCGTCTAACATGGTTACCATCTCATCTTTCATTGTCTTAACTGCAAAACGTTTCACTGAACACTTCATTCAGTTTAACTCTACTCACTATACGATAGGAATACAAATAGTTCAACTCCGAAACATATGTAGAAAATGTAACTTCATTTGGAAACTCAAAGTGAAGGAACGCTTACCGTGAGGACTGCGTCAGAAGAACAGGTGGGTCGTGATGGAAAGAGGATGGATCCGAAAGAGAAGGAGAGACAAGGAATTAGATAATACCCAGACTTCAAGCATCAAGCTTTTCATTTGTGAAATTGTGTGTGTGTGTGTGTGTGTGTGTGTGTGTGTGTGTGTGTGTGTGTGTGTGTGGGTGTGTGTGTGTGTGTGTGGGTGTGTGGGTGTGTGGGGGGGGTGTGTGTGGGGGTGTGTGTGTGGGTGTGCACGCGGTGGGACTAACTGGTTCGACAGTAAGGATATGCATTCCAGGCCTTCTCGTGAACTTCGAGAGAACCTTTCGGCGCTATCACCCGGATAAAACCTGGCACTTTACTGCAGAGACACAAACAGCCATTGATGCAGTCACACAACTATGCACAATCACAAAAAACTATAAACTACTATTCTTGTGGCTGAATGTATTCACACACAGTCTTACAGAAACATAGGGAACATATCAATGCATTTCCGCTATAATCCTAGAATGTGCTTTGATGTTTGCAGTTTGATAGAGGGTAAGTACAGTATGCTCCCTGTACAACCTGACATTCTGCCAAGGTCTTGGTCACACAGCGTTTAAACCTTTCACAGCAAAATCACACTGAATTTGCTCGCAGGACGATAAAATCTGCCAAAATGTTTCGCTTCGAGTTCAACTGTGGTGACCTTTGACGTGCACATTTAATGATACAATCCTTTCTGTGTATTCCTGCTACTTCCTAGATAGTATGTGGTATGCAGTACGTAGCTGTTGAATTGTGAGCTGCCTACCTCTGCAGGTGGTAGATCTTGTGGGTGTATTGTCCCTTCTCTCCATCCTTCTCATAGGGCTCGTTGACAATCACCTCCACACCTTCTCCTCCACCCGTCTCATTCTTGCTGGCCTCTGCTACTGCATACAGCTGACCCACTTGGTACTGGAGGGACAGAAAAGGAGAGCATGGTTATTGTGGTTTACAGATACATTTAAATTAGAATGAATTCAGTCAATATTCTCACCCTCAATTATGTGTTTCAGAGCCAAAATGGCAGATTCATTTATGTGGTGGATTAAAGGAACATTTCCAGACAAAAGCTCATCAATTCTGAGAGTTTGGAAGGAATTGCCCTTTAGAGATAAGCGTCCCTCTCTGGTTGAAGGAATGCTTGTTACTGACAGTTTGTGTTATAGACCTCTTCCACAGCAGACATTTTGACTTTTCAGTTTGACAACCACCACAACATTTTCACACATTTGACCAATAAACTCTTCTTGAGAACATCAGATCTACTTGATAAACTAATTTAACAGACTTAAGTAGGGGCTTGTGACAAACTAGCACACTGAGCAGCTAAAATGGGATTTAGAGGATTTCTTCCTGTTGGGTGTTTCACCATAGTGCCTAGGTATTAGTACATTAATTAACAGTTACACTGCTATATAACTGGCAAAATTAAATAAGAAAATAATACAATAATAACTCGAGAGACAACAGAATGGAAAGACGAGTTCAACGACCTGAGCTGACAATCATTCGGTCATGACTTCAGTCACCCATTCATGTATATGACTGCGAGTTCACCATTTCCCTCTAGGTATCCCAGACACAGACCTCAGCATGGGAAAACCAGCAGAGTAAGCCTTTTGTCTTTGTTTTTTTCCCCCCTCTCTTCCTCTTCTTCTTTCTTCCTCCAACCCCCATAGTTCAAACCCTTCCTGAGTCAGGCAAAAGTGTTGTGACACTGGAAAGAGTGACTCACATCTCTGGTGCTGTCAGCAGGGCCACACACACAAAAAAACCTTCTTGAAATTGTGGCTAAAATGTGTTCAGACTACAAAAAAAAAAAAACAGGAAAAACCAGTACAACCAGTGATATGGTCAAACATGCACATTGTGGTTGCATTTTGGTCCACTGAAGTTTGTGGTACAGAAATAGATATATCTTCATCTCTTCAATATGAGTAGTAAATGTTTATGTAGTGACAGTTAGTGCGAGCAGTGATTACAAATCTGCTGCCATCTGTAGTTTAATTGGACGAAGGTTTTATAGTTGAATCAAACCCTCTTCTCCCCGAAGACAGAGCGCTGCTTAAGGCTAGTAACCTATTTTGGTAGCCTTGGATGCTCAGCCTCGCCACTGTGAGTAGGAACTCAGGAATGTGACTTGTCGTGTACAACCAGCGTGTCTTCGCATTGACAAGGACAGGCAGACGTAATGCAGGCCTTTGTGAGCTGCTCAGGGGCGGCAACACAACATTCAGCTTTAAAAAACAACATCAACTTGACTGGAGGTGGTCATCAATACTGGAAAAAAAACATGTTGAGGCGAAGTGCTCCATTTGGCAAGTTTGGCAATAAAAAGCGAACCTGTTGGTTCACATAATGCTGTTTGCTGACAAAGGTGTGGACCGCGAGTGGTGGTTTTATAGCTTCATAATAACAACAATCACTGGGATAAAATCTTATTCAGTCACATGCGAGTAACCGTCAGAATGATTTGACCCCTCCGAGCAGCAGCATCTTCCAAGTGTTGTTGAAACTTATTTAAAGCCACCATTGTCCACAAACTGCAGAGCTGCATAGTAACTAAATACAGTGAAAGTGTAATGTCATTATATAGTCTAAACGTGAATACAAAATGAATGAGCTGTATTCTGTTACATTACAGATGACTGTGAACAGAACAGATTATATATCTATTAGTTACTTAATCAAAAGAGCACTCCACCAATTTTACATACTAAGCTCAGTTTTCCATTAATGAGTATTACTACTGGGCCAGTGATAACAGTTTAACGTATAATATCTTGTGTGGATCTGGAGAAGCTTAATTAAGTTTGAAAAATTAACCCTGATGATGTCACCAGTAATTAAAACTGGGGTGGAGTTTAGAGGACATGGGCCTTTACCAGACAGGTCTGGTCTAATACTAGATGCCATTAAGTAGCATCATGGGAAGGGTAGGATGATGTAGTGTTTTTGGAGCTCGACCTGCTTGTTTTGACTAAGAAACCAGAAACCCAGAATATACAGTTTATTATCATGGAAGACTGAGAAAGCAACAAATATTGACATGAATAGGTGTAACTTGTGTTTTGTTTGTTTATTAAACCTAAAACTTAAGCGATTTTGTGAAATGCACTTATTTGTTTTTTTGCCAAGAGATGTAGCCAGCATCTGATTAGCTTAGCTTAGCACAAAGACTGGAAACATGGGGAAACAACTAGCCTGACTCGTTCCGAAGAGGTGCATTTCCCAAATTGTCAAATAATTCCTTTAACTATTTCAACTGTTGATTAAATTACTAGTGACTGATCAATTGTGTCATCTCTATACAATATTACACATAAGACAAGGTTTGCTTCTCTACCAACCTAAATTTACATATTGTCATGTTTTTAAAAAGGTACATTTAATACCATGGATATATAATAAAGAATCTACCTGAAACTCACCGAAAGTAATCAAAATGCAATATAATTCCATAGCTTACATAACAAAAAACAGTCGTCTTGATTGCCTGTGCCCACCCCCATTTCCTTCAGATTTGATACAACTCAAGCTCTTGTAATTGTGACAGTTACTCAACTAACAATCCAGCTAATTCCTCACACTAAAGGGATCAGAGGGAAAGCCGGTCATACAGCAAACTGTGATTCCGTGGCTCAGTGAAATACTGGCTTCTGCTTTGTGTTAAGCAATGGAAAAACAAAGAGCATGTTGTTGTATGGAACATTTGGATTGAAACGTAGAAAGAGCCAAGAGCATTTAGGTAATAGAAAAGGAAAGAGTTTACATACAAGTGCAATGGGGAAGGTTAATAAAATGTTCTTCCATAAAGAGCAAATCTACTGTAGGGAAAAGGTTAGGAGGCTGAAGCTGCTGGTATAGTAGATTAAACACAGCTAAACACATTCTGGGCCTGATAACTAAGTGTTTCAACTGCAAGGGCATCTAAAGGCAGCCCAAAGTGACAGTGCTGAAAGAGGCCAACTCCAACAACACATGATCGGGCACATCGTGTACTGAGCGGAAGCCACTTAGTGTAGTATGTATAATATCCCTGCTGCTCTGTTTTGCCTTTAATCTTCTCTAAAGGCAGTGAGATCAGATGCATGGTGATAACGGAAATATGTTGATCAGCAGCCTGGAGAATTTTAAACAGCGTTCTACCGAGGAAAACTAAAGAGTAGTTACTGAGTGAAAAATAATAAAAGCCGATACCCAAATATATTTAGTGGTATAGTTGTGTGAAGTCCTCTCCTGCTTCAAACACACAGTCCCAGTCCACAAGAAACCCACAGGATTCAATGACTACAGGTCGGTAACCCTGACGTCCCAGAAGGAACCCATTTGTGGCATACACAAAGCGTTCATCAGCTTCATCCGGGATGGTGATGAGTCTGCATACAGACATTAGGGTGGAATAACTGGTGCAGTTCTGCTGTCAGAACAACCTGGAGCTGAACATGCTTATAACTGTGGAGCTGACAGTGGAGTTCAGGAGGAGTCCATCAACAACACTGTGTCTGCTTCAGGTTTCAGGGATCCACAATCTCCCAGGAGCTAAAGTGGGAGTCCAAAGACTGACCTCACAGACAGTCGGGACTGCAGGAAAATCAATGCTGACTCATCACACCCTGGATACAACCTGTTCCAACTTCACGCTACAGAGCAATGTACGTAAAAACGACAGGCACAAGAATAGTTTCTTTCCACAGGCCGTCACTCTGACAAATAGTGAACACTCAGAAACAATCTCTGTGCAACAACCCCATAATACTAAACATAACTATACATTATAAATCGTATATATATATATATATATTTTTTTTTTTTTAGTTATATGAGTTATTTTTTTGGCCTTTTATTGCCTTTATTTGATAGATACAGCTGAAGACAGACAGGGAAGGGGAGTAGAGAGAGGGGACGACATGCAGCAAAGGTCCGCAGGTCAGAGCCTCAGTACATGGGTCGCCAGCTCTACCCACTGAGCTAACCGGGCGCCCGAAAATTGTATATTTTATAGTTTAAATACACACCATCTTTTAACATGTCCACATCATCATTGTCAAATATAAACCTAAGCACACTGTACATGCTGTATAAAGATATATCCACTTACCTATATAAGGTTTAGGTATATATCATATAAGGTAACTAATCAATATCTATTCCAGCACAGTTTCCACTCTTCACCACTGAACTATGCAAGTCTGACTTACAGTCTGACATTACATTGATGTTAGTTGTTGTTAATTGACTGTTCCTGATAAAATGAGACCTTACCTCCTCCACTGAAATGGGCAGGACAATTCGGCTACAAGAGAGAGAAAAGAAGGAGACGTTCATTACTGCACAGATATCCCAGTCAGAGATAAAACAGACAATAAAACAATGAGAACTGTACTGCTGACCTACAAGAGGATGAGATATATTATCAGCAGTCAACATACCAACAGTTTGTCTTTAGGTTTCACTTTCAGACAACAGTCCTCTGATTATGTAATTTCAACACATCAATTAACCCACACAACATGTCCAGAAGACAATTCAGAATAGCACTTGCATAATGTTGAGGGACTCACAAGAGAGAGATTTAGAAAATAATGGTGAAAATTGAATGGGCAGACACAGAGATATGCTCAATTTTAGTTCCTCATCTGGTTCAAGCTCCAAAAACAGTGTACATTTCCCATAATGCTCAAACTCAATGGTGTCTTTTCATTGTTCATCCTTATTTCATTTTTACTTTGCTAAGCTCCCTCCAGAGTAACAGAAGACATTATACAGGGAGTACTCCTCGTGGTGAGTCAACTGAACTTCACATGTGAGGTTACTCTTTTAACCTATCAGAGGTGTGGACACACCTGCACCTTAAGTTTAGAGGGTGCAGGTTTGATTTCATCACACATAAGAAATATGGGAGATGGGAAACACAATGTTACAGTGTAACTCCAGTAGAAATTATCAGTTGGTGACTGTTAGGCAACATAGACATGGCAGTTCGGACATAACGACACTACTAATGTCTGAAACCTGGAGACGCAGCACCATGAGTCAGTCAGAGCACTGCTTTGAAGACTGATTTATAGTGATAGCGATGGGAAGTGAGTTAGTTCTCTTCTAGTATTCCACTATCATAGGAACTTCGAGAACAGGAAGAGGAAATTATAAACCTGCAATCAAGACTGCCAATGTGAGAGAACAAATAGGTCAGGAACTGTAGTGGAAACCCTGCATGCGTCTGTCTGTGTGTGTTCTGTGTATCCTTCTCTAGTGTGCCTCCATACAATAGCCAATTAATCGCCACCTGTTGCCAGTCTAGCAGGACCTGAATATTTCATTAGAACAGATCAGAATGAAAGAGGACCCTTCCAGGCATGAAGTGGCTGGTGCGATGAAAAAGATATACATTTTCCTGCACTCTTACACAGAAACACTGCACAGTTGACAAGTTCTGGCCACAATGTCTCATGAAAAAGGGTAAATCTATCTTATTTTAGGAGAAGCACATTTTGATGCATGGACTGATCATCCTAAGCATAATAATTTGCCATGGGCGAGCCTTTGAATGTACTTTGCACCATGGTCAGATGACATGCATGCTACTGAATGTTGTTCTAGCGATGATGTGCATATGACGGTCATAAAACTGCCTGACTTACAAGAATGTAGAAGGCTCATTCTTACTTTCAATCAAATTTGTGATATCTGGCTATGTAAATAAAATTCAAGGATCCTGAGCCCTGATGTTCAAAACTCTGTTCAAACATTTGCCAATTCTAAACGGCTTTAGTATTAATCTCACGGGCATGCCTTATGAAATGTGATTTATTATATCTTCTGAACAATTGAGGGCAATTCTCCACTTCGGCATGTAAAAATACCTCAAAAACAAATTCATTCAATGGAAATTAAACTTTGGATGTTGTGTCGCCGCTCCCACAGCCTCCCTCTCCCTACCAATTTACAGTGTAAAGTCAGCAGGTTATTAAACCTAGTTCGGTAGCCAGCAGCGCCAACCAAACCTAAACGTTTGGTGGAGCTACACCGCTGGTTCAAATATACAGCTCAATCTATCTGTTCCGAAATTACTCAAATTGTCATAATAATCCACCTAGTGAGTAGTTATGTACTTTTTCTAACACAACCAAATGAACTTTAAATACATATAAATGTTTATAGAGTTCCGACAGTCCAAACCACTCAACCAAGCTAAGTGCTGAAACTCATTTGAGACACAACAAATGTGCCAAACACCGCAGTTTAGCTAGCATAATTGTAATGTCTTATCTCGGCTTCCTTTCTGATACAATAGTTAATAATTTGAGAAAAGTTGTATCGACCAGCGGAGCCACAGTGCCAGCTTCCTCTTCTGACAAAAGTAAAGATACTCACTATTCTTTAATCAGCATGTTGACTGTGCCTCCGTCCAAACAGCAGTATATGAGAGTGGGAACTCCTGAAAATCCTCTTTATAGCTGACTGCAGCCTTTCATTCACCGCTCGACGGTTTCCACTCCGGGGTTTCTTCCTGGATGATGCCGTGAGAGTGTGAAGGGGCGCGGCGTCGAGAGAGGAGGAGACACCCACCTTTAGTTTCAGGTAACTTCGTGTTGCGTTCACGTGCAGCCGGTAGACATTATCAAGTCTTATCATTATGAACTTTATGTCGGGATTATGACTTTATGTGAGTGTCAGTACCCATACACCATACCCATACATTTTAATTACTATCCTGTACGCTCATATTCTCTTGTATCTATTCTACTACTGCTATTATAGCTCCTCTAATAATAATAATATTCATGATCATCAAACGCATGGTGATTCCACTTTAAGCACCAACATGTAGCTACCTGCTGGGTGTACAGCATTTTTAAGATCACCTGACCCATTATATACTGTCATATCCACCTACCTCATGTAGGTAAAAATCTACACGTTATTGTTGTTGTTTATATTTGTTATTTTTGTGTTTCTTTATGCTATTCTGTGTGTGTAAATTGGGAGCAATGTCAATCCAGAGTCAAATTCTTTGTATGTGTTCATATACCTGCACAGTAAAAGTGATTCTGATTCACAAAGATCCTCCTGAGGCTGGCAGATGTTATTGTATGTGGCATCAAACTGATGGAGATCACACGATTACCCACACTTTCGGTTACCACTGAATATTTACAGCTCAATGAGCATCAGTTGGTGCACATCTGGGTGGAGTAGGCTACTGAACAGTGTGTGTGTGTGTGTGTGTGTGTGTGTGTGTGTGTGTGAACGCCACAGTGTGGTCAAACCAGTACGGGCAGAAAATGTCAGCTCCGGTTCAACCTGTTTATGAGGCAACTGAGACAGTTTGAGACCACTCAGGGTGTTCCTCTGTGATTTAAACAAAGCCGAGGAAACTGTGTGGTTGCTGTCGCCCAACAGGTTTGCCTACAAAGCTGTTTTATCTGTCACTTCTCTTGTACTTGACTCCACATATCATGAGTGTCAGTGTTACAGTGAGAGTCTGACCCCTGCTGCTCTGGAAAAGTATTACGAGATCACAGAAGTGTGAAATAAGAGACACATCTATACAAATTATTGTGTTTATTTTGCTTCATATATTGATCTGTCTTTTTTCTTTCAGTTGACATGACTTAAAATGTCAATGACAATGGCTATACTGTGGTACAAGACAAAAGAGAACCAAATATACAATATAAGACCATGAAAAAACACATTCTCGTAAACATCAGAGGGGAAAAAAAGCTTAATAAAAGAAAACAAAACTAAACTGGAGCATGGTAGGTAGAAAAAATACAAAAGGTACATGCCAGGGGAGGGAAACAAGGTGTCTGTGTTCCAGCTGAAATCCCCACTTCCTGTCGTAAAAACACACTAGGATTCATCTTCAGAGAGCAAACAATCCATCAGTACATCAATCAATAAACCAAACTACTGTAGATTCCCTATCCTAGGAGGTTGGGGTGAGAGCGGGGAGGTGATGGCATGGAGGACAGTTGTTTAAGGTACGGCAGTGAAGGAAAGTGCAGATTAGTTTGCCATTCTGAGGGAATGAGGAGTTCACCTGGTAACTCATCACTCACACACTCCACTATCACATCTTCAATTCACAGACTGAAGGAAAACAGTCTGCGAGTGGGCTGATTTCATGTTCAGCCACAGAGTGAGTTCAGGATGGGTTACCAGGCAAATGAAAAATCAATGTCCATCGTCACCCACATTCATAGAGCTGGAGTAAAGTATTGCATCAGAGTGTATCTGTACCTGCAGCCTGTCAGAACATCACGACAAACCACAGGAACAGTTACACACCGGCACGCTACGAGATACACTCTATGGAGTTAAATTAGTTACATGTGATTTATTAGAAAGGCAAATGTGAATATGGTTTTGTGAAGTGAAAAAAACACAGTGAACTTGTAATTAAAGATTTCTACATCGCAAATACATTTGCACATTTCTATGCACAAATTGTTATTGTTGCATCTCTCAAGTACAAAACTGGCATTGTACAGGAGAATCCCCCCCACGCAGCTTTCAAAGAATAATAGTGCACAATCTGTGTGGGCTTTGTATCTGCAACGTACTAATAAAGATAATAAAGACATCCAGCTCTGCCCCAGGCAGAACTTACTAACCCTGCTCCCACCCAGACCCAGGCAACCCAGACCTGGTAGAAGTGGTGAAAATTGGATGTATGGACTGAGATCTCTTCTTGTTACACAAGATTTGCACTTCAGAGATACAACAATGTGAATGCTTGGATAAAGAAATGCAAAAGAATGTAATGAGTTCCTGCACACTATCTGTTTAGGTTCATTTGAAATCCAAAGTTTTGGTTTTAAGTAAATGAGTGCTGGCATCGTGTGGGTCTTATTAATTTCTTCTGCATGATTTAATTTTCCTACACAGCTGTCTGCCAGGTGTGTATTAGATAACATTTAATTGGAGCTGTTACACTTTTCTACACTTCTTCACATTTCTTCACATTTGTCATCTAACAAAACACAGTTAAATCATTTCTGCACCAATTTTACTCCATAAAATTCTCCTTTACAGAAACCCTGCAGTTTAGTGAGGATGTACATGCCTACAGTTGTGTCCAACGCTTATGAAAGAGCTGAGAGAGAGACTTGGCCACACTATCCATGCAAATAAAGGCGATATATTGAACATGTGAAGCAATAATTTTTCTTTCTGTGAGTATAAAAAATAACAGCATCTTTCCGTTCCCATGTTCTGAATTAAAAATCTACATCTGAAGCTCTGAGTATACATTCTCTGCATCATGCACCACCAGCGAGCAGCCATGCACTGCGTGTACCATACAGTGTGAGCAGGCAAATGCATGACTGAGGTCCATTTCTAGAGGTTCTAAAGTGCATTGTGTGCCATTCATTTCTCACTTAGTCATTCACTGGGAGCATCTGATGGCAGCGGAGGCTTGTCTCTCAGCTCTGTCACCTGGCATTGGTAAACAATTCAGGACCTGTTTGCGGACGGATGGATGGATGAATGTGATAGATGGATGGGTAGATAGAGGGAGAGAGGGACTGGGTGCGCCACATCCTGCCTGGATCCACTACTCCCATCATCTGTACACATAGAGAGGCACTCTGAGGGTCATGGCTGTCTTTGGAAGTGCCTCTGTGAGTTACTGCCAGGCAGGAAATATCTGAGGAGCTTCTCTGTATGGCATCTGAAGACAGCAGGCCAAATCAAACAGCAGTTATCACCTGTATCACTCTACACGCCTCTGCTCTGACTCTTCATTGTCTGTGTTCAGTCTCATCAATTTTTTCTCAGAACCTGGAGGAATACGTCTTCATCAGCCTGCTGCCTTCAAGCAAATCTCCCTTCATGTATGTTCAGGTGAATTCAAGTTTCCCAGAGCTGCTGCTGTGGTTGCACTTTGTGTTACAGTGCAGAATTACCACAAAATGGATAAGAAACCACAAGCAAAGTCACCAGTAGAAATGGTAACCTGATTGGGTCTTTGGAATCCACTGTGTCAATAGAGAAACAGCTATTGTGAGTAATTTCATAGCAATTTGTTGCCTTTTATGATAAAACCTCACCTTAACAAGAAAAAATGCACAAAAAAACGTTTTTGTAATTCAACTAGCACCTTTTTGTTTTAAAAATACAGTCCATAAAATGTACATGTTTGCCTGTCTGCATGTGATTGTGTGTCAACAGGATGCCCAGCACCTCACAGAAGCACTTATTGCTACAACGAAACCGAGACTGTGTGTGCGGCGAGTAGAGCAACATAGAGGCTCCACCTCTGCGCCACTCCCACCTTTAAAAAAACACACCATATCTAATATCTTTGTCCCGTCTACCTACTCTAAAAACATCTCCTCCTCCACGTCGTCAGATCATGTATAGGGAACAAAGATTCAACAACACATCTGCGATCATATTGCAAGTAAATACATTTGATAAACAACAAATTATTATATATTCCAAACACACGAAAGGAATTCATGAGCAAAACAAAAAACAGACCAACATGGCAAGTTGAGTGTGTCTTCCTGCACTAGTGAGTGAGACAGCAATGTAGGACCAGCACTGTATCAGGCATCATGCAGTGTAGTTTCATCTAGCCAGCTTTTTTCACACTGCATTATCTAACACACACACACACACACACACACACACACACACACACAAGAGAGAGAGAGATGCTGCAGTGTTTTCTGTGCTGATTAAAAAGCCACCGTAATTCATACTATGTGTTTCAATCTGAACTGCTACCAATACTGCTGTCTGTGGACTCTTATCCGGTTAATGCCCTCGAGCTTAAGAGTAAGCAGAGATGCCACGACCAAGGGTGCCACTTTTTTGTCTTTTTCTCATGTGGGAGTTCTCAAAACAGACACCAAGCAGCCTCCCACTAAACAACGGCTTGTGCTGTCTGAGAGAGGTGACGGTTTACTGGGTGAAACGTCACCTCAGACAAACCTGGGCCAATCAGAGAGCAAACGTTGTCATGGTTACCACTGTACGCACTCACAACACCGCAGTTGGTTTGTGCTAGGTGACTTTAAAAAGCACAATACTGTCACTGAGACTTTTTTTTTTTTTACAGTTGTCTCCTCCACAATCTCCTCAGTGGATTTCCATTGGCTGGCATCAGCTTCTTCTTCTATTTTTTCTAAGTAGGACTGGCCGAGGCTAAACCAGTCAGTAACGTTTGTAAAAATGAACAAGAGAGAAGAAAAGATGTGTAGAGGAGTCATTTGGGTAGACACAAAAAGTCTTCTTTTTCCCATTAGTCTGTTTTCTCCTCAGTTCAGAGATGCAGTTGAGGGAGAGGGAGCTCTCCATAGGGCGTGTGTGTATGTGTGTGTGTGTGTGTGTGTGTGTGTGTGTGTGTGTGTGTGTGTGTGTGTGTGTGTGTGTGTGTGTGTGTGTGTGTGTGTGTGTGTGCGTGTCAGGTTTCTCACAGTGTATAGTATCAGAGAGGATGAAACTGGGTGTCACAGCAGTGTGCTGTCGTGTTTGACCACATCTGATTGGCAGGAAAATGGTGTGAGTGAAAGTGTGTTTGAGAGGGAGGTGAGGGGATGAACTGAGAGAAGCACTGTAGCGTCAGGGAGGACAGGGTGAAGGAATGTATCCCTTCCACCGCTCTCCCCTCCCCTCTCTTCTTTTTCTCTGTCTTTCTCTTTTTAGCGTAGCTCGTCATCTCAGTTTTTAAAAAGATCATCCATCTCTCTGTTCTTCCTCTCCGTCTAGACGAAGGCCTCGGGCTTGCTGCCATTGTTGATCTTGACGTAGATCTTTGGGTCCTCATCGCGCTCGTCTCTGAGGCGCTGGAGGTGGCGGCTGTGGCACAGCAGGTAGAAAGGCAGGCAGAATCCCAGCAAACTCACTGCCAAAAGGCCCACGTTCACCTGAAGACGACATAAGGGTCAGACCAACGTAATGTGTTGTTTAAATATTTCCTACAGTGTCCATATATTTGTGTCATCTTACCCATAGAGGGTCTCCCTCCAGGGGTCCAACCATGGCCATGAAGAGAGGCTGTTGGAGCAGGGCGAACAGGGCGCTGATCAGAGACTGCATGCCTGTCAGGCTGCCAAACTGAGAGGACGGGTACCTGCACGGGACAAACAGCAAGTCTTAAACAGGTTTCTAGGTGGTACTCTGGGTTTGATAAGGTTCAATTCAAACTGAAGCCAATCCAATTCAAGCTTTACACACAGGTGACAATATATTACATGGCTTTCAGTATGTGGAAACCTTTTTTGTAGGCTGTTATTGTTGGTTTGGACCAGAGCCTGAAATCGCTGGAACATGTCATTATTTGTCAGGCAGTTATGGGCTTCCAACATTGTGGCAACAGCTTAGGAAAGGCCCCTTTTATTTATTTAATGACAAAGAACATGCTTTTTTACCATTTCTTTGTGAAAATGTGCCATTTTCAGCTGCAGTCAATTGGCCAAATTTTCCAAATCTTTTTACATGACAATGCCCCAGATTGGCCGTATCAACCCGCAAGCAGTCCGAGGTCATCAGGCCTGGGGCTGTTTCCATGTCAAGATGTAAGACTAAACAGTGCCTCTGCTCTGGAACAACCTGCCTGATGAACTCAGAATCTTTAAAATCTTTAAGTTTAAAAAATAGTTTAATCAATAGGCTTTTTTCTAACCTTATTTAACTGGGGTAGGTGTTTATATTTATGTATGTACAGTATGCAGGTTGGTTTGTCTGTAATACATATGTAACACTTATGTTTGTATGTATGAATTGACCAACATTTCTATGGATTATTTTACTCATATGACTTTGTATGTGTATTTTCTTTTTTGTCATTGTAGTCAAGTTAAGTCAATTACATTTATATGGCCCAATATCACAAATCATAAATTAGCCTGAATTTGTCTTCAGAATCTGTACAGCATACACCCTCTATCCATAGACCCTGGATTCGGATCAGCCCTGCAATCAGGTTCCTAAATCTTGTAGAGCGGTAGGGATGCACAATCTTGAATTTTTGTACTAATCTGATATGCCGATATTTTCCAAATGATTGTGGCCTATTGCCAATGCTGATTTTCCACCTAACTGCAAAGAAAATCAACACTCTCCTGTAGTGGATTGTTTTCTTTTCAAAATGTGCACATTCACTGAGCAATGAGAAAACTACTGCAGGTGTTTCAAGCTGATGCCTGTTTCTCTTTGTTCTTCACAAACTCATCGTAATAATCGGGATGACAGCTCTTAAAATGGGGATTTAAATGTGTTGTGCTGAATAATTTTTGGCTCCTTCTAAGCTGCCAATCATTTCAAATAGCAACTTTGCTTTTATTTCAATTTTAAAGCCTTTATCAGCCGATACTGATGACGTGTCAATATTCATCCCTACAAATGGGTGTAATGTCTGTCTGTCCACATACATACATTTTGGCCATGTAGTATATGTAGTAAATGGTATATTCTATGGTATAATGGCACTATACAGTATCAGTGTGTGTTCCATAGTGTATTGTTATGCCATTGTCTTTTGAACATGTCACACACTTACACAGCAGCATAGAGGCCTCCGACTGCAGAGTGGATGAAGCCTCTGACAATAGTGTGCAGGATAAAGGACAGAATCTGAAGAGGAGGAGAGAAGTGGGGGAGAAAAGATACATTTTCCATTAAACACCAGGTCAGATCACACAGCTGGCTGAGAAAATGGCTTTCATCTTTGATAAATGAGATTCAGAATGTAGTAAATAACATGCAGTGACTCTTTTGTCCAGTAGGTGTCACTGAAGCACTGATAAGAATCAGGCGCTGCATTGCCATGTGAGTGTTTGAACATTGTGTTCATCTCAGTCTCTGCAGTGTGAACTCTCTCTACTTCAGCAGCACACGCTAGGAAATGTGCTGCCCAGAAAAGCTTTAAAGACATAAAATATTTCTCTGTCCTGTGTGTGTGTGTGTGTATTTTGTGTGTGTGTGTGTGTGTGTGTGTGTGTGTGTGTGTGTGTGTGTGTGTGTGTGTGTGTGTGTGTGTGTGTGTGTACCTGGAGGGGCAGGTTAGGGATGATGCAGGTGAATCCAAAGCCAACCAGGAGTAGATTGGTGAAGATGAATGCTCTGGTGGCGTTGACAATCTTCTGAATCTGTTTGTCGGGGGGCCGGGGCTGACCAGGTTCCCTAATGCAATAGAATAAAATAAAGTCAGCTTCTGATTTCTATTCTTCTTTTTCTTCTTTCTGTGTGTGTGTTTCTGTGTGCACCCTCACCTCTTGGTGTTCTTGTCATTGTCATCCTCGCAGTCTTTGAGCTTCCAGTCCATGACGTAGCCAATCACAGGAGAGGTGACCAGACACAGAAGCTGCAGCACGCCAAAGATGGACGTGTAGACACTCACTGAGACACAAACGACAGTACAGACACAGTTACTGCTATGTTTTATGCTGTTTTGAGCAGTTTTGAGCATGAAATGAACAGTATGAAGGGTTCAGAGGGTGATGCACGCAGAAACAAGCAAACACAAAGTGGACAGACAGGTGAGGAGAATGGCTGAAGAGTGTAGGTAGTTAGATCTTTGTAAGTTTAGCCTCAGGTCTCTTACCCACTTGCATCTTCTCCACTGCAACAGCAGCATGAAGCCAGCATGACAGGAAAAGAGAAAGAGCAAGAGAGACAAACGGAAAAGGAAAAGACAGAGCAGCGTTATCAACAAGCAACACGGCTGGTTTATCTGAGCAGGAAGCAGCTGAGAGAAAATTGTTAGGTGTCAGAGAGCAGGAAGAGAAGATACAAACAGTCTTGAGAAGCCGTGAACATCCCCTCCAACACATTTCACAGTTACATTTCTATGGTCAGATGTGTAAGGTAAAAAGCTGTTCAGAACACAATCTGTGTTTTCTAGCAGCGACACACACCTTTGCCGAGATCTCCCTCTGTCAGGGACTCCAGGATGGTGTTCATGGCTCCCATGTAGAAGATGAGGCGCAGCTGGGTCACACACATGGTGATGAGGCTCAGCAAGAAGATGGGACTGAAGACACTCTTCATGAAGGACTGAGCTGCAGAGGAAATGAAAGAAGTCGGGGTTAGATCAAATCAGTTTGCTAACACATCAAAATCAAATGGTTGAGATATTTGAGTCTGGATCAAAGCGGTGGACCGACCAACAGGCCGACAGCCATCCATACAGCCACGGATGACGCATTTTTCATTAGTACAAAATATCTATATTTCCAGGTTTGTCTGCAGATTTTTTCTGCCAGTCACAGCATCTCAACACCTACACAATCTCTTTTAAGCCTCCATAGACTGCAGTTAAAGCAGCAGCCCCAGTGAACTTTCATAGATGCCAACAAGCCCAAACCTGCCTGTTCCTACACAAGATTTTCTGCCTCTTTTAACTTTCTAATCTCTTTTCATGCTGGAAACCTACACCAATGTGCTTCCGGGTAAGTCTGCTGTTAAAACAGAGGAAAGAGATAGTGATCTAAATATTCCCACTGGCCTCCGGGTGCCAGGGCAACACGTCTTATCCTGCTTGAGTGAAATGGGGGGATTCAAAGAAGCGTGAGTTCTTGGAGAAGTTGATCATTAATCAAAGTTGTGAATATAAATGGAAATTGGACACAACTGCCCATATGGTGAAGCACTGGACAAACCAATTAATTGTCAGTGCACAGATGGAGCAGATGGGTTTATTACCCAGAACAACAGGTATCCATCCGAGGCTTAATGAAGGGAATTGCTCGCTGCCAGCCAGGTCATGCTTGCAAGGTATTATAACGTTTTATGAGCACTTTTCCCAACACGTTCCATGTTTTATTTTGACAGAAAAATCTAAGCAATCAATTCGAAAAAGAACTTCTCTGCTCATGAACAGCACCGCCCCACTTCACGCAGAATGCTATATGTGCAGAGTTTGACTCTAGAAGGATGTTTTCACATTCATCTGCTGAAAGTGGAAAGTTTCTCTGTGCTCATTGAAAATCAGATTTTAAGGCGGGGGCCTACCAGCAGGATTTGTGACATCACAAATAGTTAGGAAGTCAGTCCTGGTGCAGTATGCAACTTGTACAGTGTGATGTAGAAACCTGAAGCCACCAGTGCACATCCACTGAGAATGGACTTTACAGTGAAGCCTATATTTGTATGTCTTAATACATGACTTGGGGATCTTTAAGTTTACATACCAAACAGGTGCACTGTGTTTCAGTGCAACTACATGATCTGTGTTTGTTGCTGATAATATAATAAAAAAACAACATCTGTTCGAATTCAAACCAGGCCTTTCAGATTGCAGGAGAAACAATATGTAAATGTCCTCCAACCTTCACAGCTGCCATTAAATTAGACAGGAATTAGAGGGGAAACAGGTTTGTGTGCGAGTGTTTTATATGGGCCTCTTTAAAGCTCCTGACAGATGGAACATGTCCAGCTGTTATGAATCCAACCATGGGCACCCTGACTGCACTCGAAACACACACACAGTAACAGACACACACCTTGGCCTTCAAACCACAACAATGTTTCTCTAGGGCTCCCTACCAGTGCGCCTTGCACATGCTGAGCAGCTTTTCTAAGAACGGGGTCCGAACCAATTCCACGGTCCGTTTGGTACCAAAGAGTCTCCCCCACTGGGAGTCTCTGACCCCGGTCTCGAAGAGACAGGAGCACCTGAGGAGGGCTGGAGGTGTAGGGGTAACAGAGGTTAGCTTAGTGTGGATGTAGGGCAGAGGTAAAGGGGTATTTAAGGGTAACCGTTGATGTAACAGGTGCCTAATTGTTGTGTACAGATGTAGGTCAGGTCCTGCAGTGTTTCAAACCTGAGAAGTGATACTTCTGAGTATGTTGGAATTATATTCTATGTCTGAGGAGTAGTAAAACGCATGGTGTTGAAGACAATTAATGAATGAAGAAAAACTAATGGAAAACAATAAAAGCCCTATCTACAGCCAGTGTTTGGTTTGCCCAATCTTGGCCGTTGTACTATATGGTGGTTCAACATGGCGGACTCCATGGAAGGTGACCTGATTATACACTAATGAATAACATACCTTTGAATATTATATTCCATTTCTTACAATAGATCCTCCTATATGTTATACACCGGACTTTAATAATACTGAATAATGTCAACCATGTTGCCAAGCACCAGTTGTGAAACTCATAATCTTACAAACATGTACGTAAGAGAAAAGCCATAGTTCTGAATGGAGACCTTTATAAAGTGCTCATATCACTTTTCCTCCCCAGCACTGTGGGATGGACTGTTGTCTGGAGAGCCTTTGTCCATCATGCAGCGTTCAGACAATCTGGCACACAGACCAGTTCATTCAACCAGCTGACTGGCTCTTGAGATGCTCAGATGAATATTCATAAGTTGGCAAAGGGAAAACTGCTCAAAACTGGATCATTTGAGCACAAGGAGCACTTATGTCGACTTGTCTGTGACTGAAAAGCAGCTCTGCTTCACCATTTGGATTTCCTCTCTCTCACAGACACGCAGACAGCAGTGACGTTTTCTCAGCGTGTTAGGGATTCCAGTTTTGATGATCAAATGGCAACAAAAGCCACTTGAAAAAAAGCTGTGAATGGGCTCGTACAGAGAGATGGCAGCACCAGAAATCCCCCAAACAAAGCATTTGATTAAACTTTCCGATTTCACTCTCACTACTACCTCATTAACATTACATTGAGTTAGATCTCTTTTGTTTCAGACTTACTCTCCTCCTTGGCCTGGCACTTCACTTCCAGGTCGACAGTGGACAGGCACAGTTTGTTGGCCTCCTGCGTGGCCAGGTCTTTGGGCGGCTGGTGCTGCTGCTTTATGGAGTTACCAACACTGAGACGGCGCCCCACGGTGGTCACCTGCCTGTAAAACTGCTTCCCTGTGATTTTGTGGTCAAAGCCCAGCCAGCTGAACTTGATCTTCACCCTGAAGGAGGAGGAGAAGGTGAAAGGTGATTGTGAGCACAAAATACAGAGCACTGAAAGCTTTAAAATGAAAGGAGTCAAAGGAGGAGGAGGAGGAATACAAGAAAGAAGGGAAAAAAATGTCAGTAAAGAAAGAGAGGAAAAAGACTGTAGGAAACAAAGGATCCAGGTGATTCAGAGCAAAGCCGGCTGATCATCTGGTTTTATGGTCTTTCCTGTCTTATGGGCTCACTCGGCCTCCACTGCATTACACAGGGATTTACTGTACATGAGTGTGTGAGCATGCATGTCTATGCAGCCTTGTACATGTGGATATAGTGTAATGCAGTGAACTCAGAGCTCAGTTGGAATCCATTCACAGCAGGTATAACCTGAGGTTAGCTAATAGAATTACAAAGGCTTCTTAACAATGATAGCTGGAGGCTACAGAAATGGTTATACAGTATGCCTTTGTGTACGAGAGTGACTGTGTCTATCTGTCTTACGTGAAGTCCATGTCCTCTGGGCCGGGGAAGGGCTCCAGAGGCCAGTTGACGAAGCAGTTGAAGAAGACGAGGCAGGCGCAGGCGGCCCAAACCATCAGGATGGTGATGAAGGTGGCACCCAGATCATAGATCACCTACAGGCAGCCAGACAGCACCCAAACAGACACACGATAATGGAGAATCAATATCCCATTCTGTGGTGGCAGTGTTATTCTTTCTGAGTTCATGTTAGAGCATCGTCTTTTAGGGGCGATGTTTATGTGATGGATGAGGACAATTTAATGAATATTTTGGTATAAATCAAGAATTGGTGACATAACTGACAGCACAAATCAAAAGTTACCTTGATACCGGGGAAAGTGACAGCAGAGGAGGCGTAGGATCCAATCATCAGGGCGATGAAGGTCGACCTCAGGTCTCCAAACATGTTGGGGAGCTATGGAGAGAGCAGGAAGAACAGATTAGGTTACTAACATAAAAACAACTAACGTTCATATAAACACACATAAAGACGTGATTCATTTAAAACACAGCGGGAGATCTCGATCGCGACCTTGTTATAACATCTGAATATAATTAACATTTTAGCCTGGGGTTAACAGGAGAAAAATCAATTACCCGCTTGCTAACACAATATGCAAAAGCACAGACTGGTCCTGAATCTCACTGTAGAAGAAGAGAATAAAGCTTTCTGGAGAGTGAGGCGTCAGCACTTCATTAATGGGACAAAGAGGGGTTTTATTTTTAAATCCCCAAAAAGTGACATAGCCACTGCACACAGCACTGTATTATTAAAAATCAAATGCACTATTGATTTAAAGCTAGACTATGTATATAGAGGTGTATAATTATTGTAGGTGTAGTATATATATATATATATATATGACTATATGTGGACATACCACTTGAAATCAAGTTGAAATCATAAGCAATAAAATGCACCTTTTCTCAGTTCAGTACACTGAGGTTACGGCTTCACTTGGTGGCTAAAGTTAGCCAGATTTAGACCTTTAGATTCCTGTGTAACAGACATTAATGAGCATGTTTGCTGAATTTGTAACTCTTCACTCTCTATACAACTGTTACGTGACTTTTGCACTGCCACTTGCGGGAACAATGGCTGTTGATCAGTAAAAGTCTCACTTTAAACCTTTCGTATCAAAGGGACCCAGCTGAAAGCCTGATTGCTAACTGAGAGCAGTCAAGCTTCTGCAAGCCCACATCATATCTATAATTGGATTCAGTTAATTACAGCAGATCTATTAGTGAATTTTGCTCTGTGGAGAGCATACTGGGTTTGTTGACATATTTTCCTTTACTACGATACACTAAAACCTACAAAAAGATCTCGAAAAGAAAATTGCACCCACTAAGATTCCACCACTGCGTGTTACATTATTGACTACTGACTCCCTTGATAGGCGCAAAGTACAGTCTGTACTGTTTGTTGCTGCATTTGAAGAGGAGCAGAGGCAGAAATGCTTGTCCTGCATAATGACGCTCAGCCCTCAACTTGAGACAAGAGCACAGGCTGTTCTTAACTAGGCAGCTTCAAACTGTAAACAGCCTTCTTCAAGAAGTCAAAAACAGACGGAAAAATAGCAACAGTGTGTGAGAGCAACATGTGGCCTAGAGATTTATTGTCTCTGTCAGTGTGATGTTTAATGTATGCCATCTGGAGAATATATAGCTTTAACATAGAGGAGAGGAAATCATATTCCAAGTCTACAGCAGTGAAAGAGTGGGGGGCAGGGAGTTAAAAATTATGGGTCATAAATAGCAAAACGGCACTCCCCTCCCATTGTCCTCATCTGTCTGTCCACCCGTCCATCCGGCCGCTGTGTTCACCACAGGGGTGCAGCTTGTTAGGCAGCTGCTTGAACCCTCTCAACCCGGATAGACTTCACCCCCCGCATTAATTGGACCAAAGGTGAGCAACAAACGCCGCTACGCCCCTGCCATGACATCCAAAACAACAAGAGCCCCTGAATTCCTCCGCTCCTGTTTCTCTGTAGCAGCGCTCAACCAGAAGAATCCTATTATGACACTTTACAGGAGGAGGCTGACTGACTGACAACACCGGGGGTAAGATGGGTGACCTTTGGCCCAGTTGGTGTAGAGGAGAGGAGACACAAATGGCCAGCTCAGCAGATTTGATGTGGTCGTGACGAATCAAGGCCTCGATAGCCATGCAGAGTCAACAGGTTCAGATTTCCCCACTTCCTCATCCTCTAGCCTGTGATGACGGGCCATTTTTCATGTTTCACATTTTTTGCAAGTGGAGTGAAGGACTGTATGAAAATGATTAGTGGGGAGGCTACGAAAAGGTGGAGTGTATTGTTTTTCTATGGGATGAAGGGACTGAAGTCTGGGTATTTTGTTTCTTTCTTGTCCTGAATGTATAGCCTTCTTCTGTGTGAAGAGGATGTGAGTGAAACATTAGGTTCAGCCACACTCACCTCCCTAACCATTTTCATACAGTCTCTTAGCGACTTGTTAAAATGAACAGTTTCATATTTAGATTCAGTGCAGATACAATGAAGCTGCTGCAGTCAGTCCCTAACCTCATTCACCTCCGTGGTGTCTCCCCCACTAATACACCCAGGCTTATTTATTCACTCTGGGAACAGGTTCATTTGGAAGCAGCACTGTTGCCACTGGCGATGATTTCTGTAAGCGCACGGGCGAGTGGGAGAAAACAACAATATCAGTCACTATCAACAGTGAGAGAGCGAGAAAAAGCTCAAACCAGCAGCAAGCCCAAACATGAGTAAAAACCGCATCTAGTCCTTGTGATGCTTAGCAATAAAGTGATGACGTCACACAGGGAGCTTCTCTGGGTTACTAGGTCTGAGTCACAGTCAGCTGCTGAGACCACTGTTTCCCTGAAACATGTCACAAACCAGTTTGTTAACCATGAAAGAAGAAGTAGGGATTAATGGGTCCAGCAGCGTAACTTTAAGTGAGTGTGTTGCTGTTGGGTGGAGCTGTCAGTTTCGACGAGGAGCAGATAACAGTGTTTTTGTAGCTGCAGTCAATAACACATCAGTCAAGCAGACAGGTGAGTTTGTGACTGTTTAACAGCAGCGGACAAAGAGGCCGCTGTGGCTTCAGGCGCTAACAGACACACAGAAAGCAACTTACTGCACAGTAACTGTACACAAACACAAGATAACAGACATGATGAATGTTACTGTCATGAAATATGTCTCAAATGTTCTAAACTAAAGTTTGACCTAATAGGTGATGTTTTGGACGGAGGAAAACCTGCCAGCTATATATTGCCTGTGTTTCTCAGCTGTCAAGGTACGACATGTAATTAGGTAGTTCCTTATTAGAGGCATTCCAAGTGTTTGTTTGTACATTTGACCTTGTTCCCTCACCTACTCTTTCTACCTCATTAAAAACAGGCATTACTAATCTCCTAATTACTTATCCTAGTCTCCTAATCTTAACTGCATTACAAATGTAACAATCAGTATCTCCAGGGGAAGCAGTGAAGAGACTGAGAGCTGTCGATACTGCTTTAAAATAATAGTGCCCACCATCTACTTTGTTGTTGCTTCTTCCTTGAATAGCTCTTTTGTTAGCACTGTGGTCACAGTGTAACCATGCAGATAGAGGCAGGGTACACACAGAGATGGGTTCAGTGTTTGGCTAAAGGTCTATTTTAGCTTCAGAGCAAGTCACCTGGAGATAAGAGATCAGGGTTTGGTGGCAGGGTTCTGTTAGAGGCAGGATTTTTCTTTCATCAATAAGTGGATATATGCATTTCAGGGATTTGTTTGAACAGTTTCCAGGTAACTCCGAATTTAATACATCACTGTTTATCATGACTCAGCATGACATTTTGTTCGGGACTATGGGATAACTTGCGTGTGTGCAGGAAGCCAAACTTGAACTGAAACAAACAAGAAAATTACAAACTGTCAAAATCTCTTCAGCATTGATTTCAAACAAAAGTCTTCTTTGAAAAATATTCCTTTTTAGCTAGAGGCATTTAAAAGAGCTCTTGGACCACTGCCAAATTATCCAGGAACAACATAAGTGCTTTTAAATGTCCCTGGAATTGGCAATAAAAGAACAGCTTTTGAAAGGGCTTCACAGAGAGCATTGGAGGAGGTTAAACCCACTGAACTTACTTACCCAACCTGCTTATCAGCAAATGTTAGCAGGCTAACATGCTTAACTAAGACGTTGAATATGGTAAACATTACACTTGTTAAACATTATGTTAGCATTGACATTGCGAGCACGATAGCATTCAGACAATTAGCATTTAGCTCAAAGCACCACTGTGCCTAAAACTCACAGAGCTGCTATCATGGCTGCAGACTCTTGTCAATACAGTAAAGCGTTATGTTTTCTTCATGTAACCTTATGGGCGCGTTGAAGCCTGTGCAGCTGTGATTCAAGCTTGTTTGGGTGCAAGTGCTGAATGTTATCAGTGCAGACAATGGAGATGAAAGCTGTGTACACCGCACACCATTTGACCCACTTATACATAATTGTTGCTTGTTGTTGATATTTCAGGAAAAGCTTCAGGCTACACTGCTACCTTTTCTACAATCTAGGCCAATGTTGCTCCATCTTACTGAAATGTATGTAAAAACAGGCAAGATAAGATAAGTCTGGAGGACCTTAAACTCCTCATGTTGGTCTTTTATGTGAATGAACTCAACTCTAACTTATCCCTAACCAGTTGAGATACATGCTAAGTTAGAAGTTTCCCCACCTTACTGCAGACTTTTTTGGCCATCCAGCACTTTTGCACTTTTTTTTTTGTCATTCTGGATAAGAGTGTTTGCTGAGTGTTGAAAACTGAAATGGAAACTGAGGTGACAAAGAGGCCTAGGGAGTGAGACAACATGCTGAGCCTAAAGTCAGGCGGTAGGGGGGAAAAAGAGGAAACTGGACAGAGCCGTTCGAGAGGAAAGAACAGAGAAATGAAAGGAGGAAGAGCGGTTGCTGCAGCAAGTGGAAACTTCAGCTGCAGGACCATTGAGAACCAGCTCTGACCGGTCCTGTCCTGACGCACAGGATAAGACTCCATCCATCATAAAGAGCAGCCAAGTGGGCCGTAAGATTAGCAAACACAGGCTGACGAACACCAGACTGCATACCACCATCGACCTGACGTCATCTTTTTCTCGCTCCCATTAGGAGACTAATATTTTTTAAGGCTGAGCTTGATATATTTTGGACTGGAACCAGCTGACTTAAAAAAAAATGTAAAAGCACACGTGCTTCAAGTGTTCCCACTAGAAATAAGTTCTTGGAGGGGTGGAGATGTCTCTAAGACCCCTCTGTGTCTGGAAGGGATTTACAGTCGCTCCACAGAAAACCCTGCGACCTGGCTCCAGCAAACACCTGGAACCGAAATTCACACCACCGCACAAAGCCACATCCACATGTGCCTGATAGCAGCGACTGCCGCTGGCTGGCCAGCTTGGATCTCAAATTACTGAGCAACTTTTGACCCTTTGGCATTCATTCGTCTTTTTTCTCCCTACATGCCCCCTCCCTTCATTTTATGTGGTCACGTGCAGTAAACAGAGCATGTACTGTACTTCCTCCATCTCACCCAGCCATCTCCAGCACAGTAAAAAAAAAAGGCCACAGACTGATCTCAGCGCCTGTTTAGCTCTCATCCCTTCACCGAGTAGTACTGTGTGTGTACTTCATACATTTTCCACCTAACAAGAAATCACTCCTTGTTCCTCCCTCCTTCAGCCCCACCTAGACGTTTCAGTCATTAGTGGAGGAAAATGTGCTGAACGTTTAGATTTCTCAACTGAAACCCACATCAGTGGCCTGTTGACTGTTTCACGCAGGGAATCAGTCAGACCATCAATGAGTGTTCCCAGATGGTCTGGTGACACAGAAATACAATGATTGGGAAGAGAGGAAATAAACATTACTAGGCATCAGACAGAAAGTAGATTAGGGAAGCGAGCAGAGCTTTAGGCTTGGAGACCAAACCCAGGAAACAGAGGGGGCTCCAACACGTGCCTTGAACAAAACGAAAAACAAGAGGAGGAGCTTCACGTCTGCTTGTGGGTGTGTATGTACATATGTGTATGTAGAATGGGGTCTGTTTGGGAACATTTCATGAGAGCGGGAGAGATCCTCTGTAACATGAAGCTGTTTACAAGCACAAAATGAGAGGAATGAAGAGCAGAGAGGGAATTAACCACCCCGCCTGCCCGCCCACCCACCCGCCTCCTCTCCTCAGCTTCGCTCCCTGTTTTCCGTCTCCAGAACACTGAGTGCTGAGTGTGCATCCACAGGAGGAATGAGGAAGTCAAGCTACGGTAGATAAAGAGAAGAAATAACAGAGGAAGAGGGGAATGAGTCCACTTTGAGCTCATTGGAAATAGCAAGAAAAGGAGCAGAGACAAAGGAAGAAAGCACGGTGGTGGAAGGAGAGGATGAGAGAAATCCCTGGCTCTGATCCTAAATGACAAACACGCAATGGGCAAATTGGGTGGGTCACCCTGACCTGAGGGGTTTCAGTAACCCATGAGGCCTGACAGAAACGTTACAGGTTTCTTAAAATAGTTGTTTTCCTCAGTAATGAACCCAGTGGTTCAGGAAAGGGCAGGGAGAGGGAAGCACAGCAGAGCATCCACACAACAGCACTCACTCTGTCTTGACCTTTCTCTCTCTCTCTCTCACACACACACACACAACACCAGGGTTTCTGTCTAAATTTAAGACGTTTAAGACCTTGAATGCAATTTAACACCTGTTTCACAGTCACACCAGCCTAAGTATTATTTGTAAGGCATGCTGGAAAACCAGTACAGACAAAAAGGCCTAGAATTACTTAATATTATATCAAATCATTTTGAGTATCTCAGCCTCCAGGGGCCTTCCAAAGGCCTTCCAATGCTTTTTACAACTTTTCAAGACCTGCACATACCTTGAAACACACACACACACACACACACACACACACACACACACACACACACACACACACCCAGGCAGTAAACAAAACATTTGTCGAGGCCTGCAGGGAGCCGTAACTCAACCTACTATAGGGGTTAGAGGCCCTCCACGGCTAAAACAACACATACACACACACACACACACACACACACACACACACACACACACACACACACACACACACAGTGCTGACATACAGTAACACATACAGTAACACTCTTGCACGCACACAACACCGTTTTGACAGGTCTGGCCTTGTTGAGGGAGAGCAGCTGAAATCGGAGAAGACAAAAACAACCAGGCTGAGACTAAAGACTGGGGGGGTTGCAGTGGGATGAAACCAGCTGAGCAACTTCTGTGTGTGTGTGTGTGTGTGTGTGTGTGTGTGTGTGTGTGTCAGTCAGGGTCCCAGTAGGCAGTCCGAGTAGGAAACAGCGAAGCATGGGTGGAGAGACATACGCACACACACTCAGTTCCCCTGTTGCCGCTTCCTGTTTGTCTCCTCAGCGACAGCCTGTCTCTGCTCTCGGTGTGTTTTGTGATAAAGCAACGGAGTGTTTGGGCTGCAAGCGACACTGTTGCAAAGACATAATCTACCACGCATTAACAAAGTAAGGCATATATTGAACAATCTGCCTGTAACGTATTGATGGAGTTTGTTGATGTGTTTATCGTTGAGACTACATTAGAACTCTACCTCAGACCCTACAGAGGCGCTCTCACCTCCAGTACACTCTCTATTGTGCTGTTAGAACAATCACACATCTGTAGACATGCACTGTCCACACTGTCACACACACACACACACACACACACACTACTGATCCATGTGTCCTTGTGTGGATGAAATAGTAATGAGGAGAGGTCTTTTTTTGGCTCCCAGCCAGAGCAGCAGCGACGCAAGAGTGAATAATAGATTACTAATGCAGACTCGCTCTCTTTTAACCACTCTCTCCCTAAGGTCTCTCTCTCACGTGGCCTCTCCTGTGATGCAGCACTTTCTCTGACTGATGAGATCATCCTGACCATTGGTTTTATCCACTCCATCCATCCCTCCCTCTGCTCTCGTCCACACATCACTGCTCATCCTCTTCTCCCAGCGGTCTCTTGTCAACTGCTCGGCCGTCTGTCTCCTCGTCCATCTTTCCAAATGCCCCCCCCAAGCCCACCCCTAACGCTTTTTGTCCGTCTCTCTCTATCCACTGGCCCTGTTGTTCAGTGTCTGATGCTATCACTTCACAGCGCTCTCACCCACTCTGCTGCCTCTCTTTCCTCTCTCTCCTCTTCTTCCTCCCCACAATTTTCCTCTTTCGAAATCCCTACATCTCTTTTTCGTCATTTCATTTCCCCTCATATCAAATCTAGGTACTGTGGCATTCCTGTTTGCTGATATTCACTTTTTATTAAAAAATAGTCTCCCTATGCAGTTTCTGATCTTGTAGACTTTTTAACAGTTTTTTAAACTTTCTTTTGCATCTATTGCAATAACCATAATATACTTACATTTTCAATAGATTACCATTTGTTTGAACAGGAGGAGCATTCTTGTTTCGAGGGTTTTTGTGTGATTTGTTTTTAGTGTTTTTTCTTTGTTTTGAGTGAATGTAGAAATGTTTCGGCGTTTTAAAAACATATTATAATGTTTTATAAAATTAGATGGTTTGATACAGCTAATATAATACTCTTCTTCCATTTTGGATGCCCCGGCTCTCGGTTCCCTCAAATTTTGGCATTGTCAAGATTGCTTGTTATTGGTCAACGGCACAAATCTGCATGTCTAGATTCACCAAAGTTGAACACTGCACAAAAGCTCAGTGCAGATTTACTATGCCTCAAAACCATAACTGTAGGGGTATAACAACTTAATTTGACCAGTAAATATAAGTATTTCAGTCTTTATATAGCTTTCCTACTCACCGTCAGAGAAGTGAAGGTCATGCACATGCCTCCAAACCCATTCAACGCCAAAGCAAAGAAGATCAGGATGGACAGATCTGCAGGAGAGAGAGCAGATGAGACAAGGCAACTCCCACACATCCCATCTGATTGATTAAAGTGTCACCGCTGCATCAATACACTTTATGTGCCTGTGTGTACATGTGCTCTACAATATGGCTCACCTACAAAAGCAACATGACGGAGAGCAGTGTGTGAGGCAGTGCAGCCGTTCAGTGAACATATGATGCTGTTAAAGTGATGTATGTGAGTGACATGAGAAGGGATACTCACTGTTGGGATCACTGGCGCCGTAGGCGATGAGGAGGCAGGAAAAAGCAAAGCAGGCACTGGAGACACAAAGCAATGGGTTTAAGGCAATACATAAACCAAACACATCATATCTGTCCAATATCATAATATCAGAACATTGATTTATATTTGTGCCTTACCTGCCCAGGAGACGTAGCTTCCGTGGACCATATTTGTCCATGACAATGCCCATGGGCAGGGTGATGGCAGACAGCAGGAAGGAGCCCACAGTGAAGGCCAGGTTCAGCATCTCGTCCTGGTCCTTGCAGATGGTCCAGCCATTCATCTCAAGGTACTCCTCAGACTCAGACGCCTCCGATGTGGGTGCAATGGAGAGGTTGAGGCTGGAGCTGTTTTCTGGATGGGGAGAAAAATGAGAAAAGACGTTAGATTTGAACTGTCAGATAAGTCTATACTATATACTATATATATACTCTACAGTCTATACTGGTGTTTCTAAATGGCAGTGGACTATATCTAACATCTGCACACAATCCAGTCTGTGATGCTTTATACCCAGAGGTGGAAAGTAATTATGCATATTTACTTACATACTGTACTACGGAAAAGTTCTGAGGTACCTGTACTTTACCACAGTGTTTCCATTTTATGTAACTTAATACTTCTACTCCACTACATTCATGGGAAATGTTGTGCTTATAGACCATTATATTCATTTGACAGCTATAGTTAATGGATAAGTTTTTCTGTCAGTCTTCAGTCCAGACTGAAATTGACTTTCCATACAATGCCATCATCAGGTGGACATTTTAATGTGTCCAATACTTCCAATAACAAACAAAAATAATAATAAACTAATGACATTCCCATCAGCCTCAGCATGACATTAACATTTAGCTCAAAGGACCATGGCTCTTATTCTTGTTTACATTCAAAATAAATTATCTATATACAAATATGAATCATTGTTAATCATTGTTGTGAACATACATTAGCTCCGCTTCAGGCTGCTTACACATTCATGCATTAATAATAACAATCCAATAATATAACACTTTCTGTTTAACTTAATACATTAAACTGTTATATTATTCAGCAATTTCTTCAGTAAATCATCTTCCACAACTGTTTACACTAAAGGATAACAAAATGCACAGATTGAACAATGTGACAGCTCACTTATTTTCAGTATTATTGCTCTGTTTGTCACTAACTGAAAACGTTTCCATATCAAACATCAGAGTCTTGCTTTGATGAACAGTGCAAATCTGGGCTTTGAGTTTGTTTTTACATGAAATATCGGACATATTGGAGCTTTAAATCAACCAGTGGATGTCTTTTATGCTGCACAAACCGTCATTAGTTCCTCTGTTCTACAAATTATATTAAAATATATTAGCACCTGCTGACCTGTTCAGTCACTCTAGAGGTTTTGGTGTGATCTAAAACCAATGCCTTCTTGGTATTTCTCATGTTACTCTTTGAGGTCTGAGCTGCTACACTTACCCCTCCCTCTCTCAGAGCTGAGCTGCTGATCTAAAGGCCAGGAGACTCATTAAAGGTCAAGTAAACAAACTGAAGGGAAAACAACACAATACAGGGTAAACAAGCACCAGAAATAGTCACAGCTGCACCCCTCCATGGTGGAGGGGAACTCTCTCCGGCTCAGTCTGCCTCTCGCTGAATCACCGGTAAACACAGTCCACTGAGTTCATGAGGACTCTATTTCTGTCTATTAGACTGTTGCCTCTGGTGAAACTCTTGGTATCGACAGACAGACAGACAGACAGACAGACAGACTGGGGACAAAGAGGAAAACAACTCCTCATTCACCTTGACTTGTTTTTATTCAAACTGCCAGAGAAACAATAGAGACAGACTCAGCAGATAGCACATGTTTAATGTCTGGAGGAGGGAGGAAGGTATAAATAACTTAGTCATCAGTGTGTGTGAGTGTTTTCTTCATTTCAGTCCTGGGGGCAAGTTGTCAACAGCAGCTTCGTCCAACCAACAGAAGGGAAAATCTGCTTTGCCACTATGTTCTTAAAGCAGTGTGTGATATTGATTTCTGCCACTATTGAGCCAGCTTAAGGTACAAAGAGGCAGGTAGGAGGCATTCCCACTGGTCTGTGGGCCAAGGGGAGAATTCAGAGGAACAACAGGAAGCTATTTTGTAATATTAAATGCATCCTGGTGCAGAAAATTGGCCCAGTGCTCTGAAAGGATATAAGTAGGTGAAAGGTTACGTAGCTTAATGAACATCTGATGGCTGCAGTGTGTGTTGTCTTAATACTGGTACATCCAACAGTACACACAACTGTACATTCCCTGAGGGATGTGAGGACACTTGAGCTCAAGAGCATTAAAAACAGGCAGCTGCAGAAAGGACTCATTGGACTTAATGATGCAGAGCTATAATGATCTGTGGGCTTTTATAAAAAAGCATTTTAATCAGATACAGTGACAAATAAGTCTTCCCAAAAGGTCCTTTTGGTAGATGTTCTGGAGCTTTTCGATTGAAAAGGGTAGTTTCCCTATATAAGATTATATGACATGATCAAAAGCTTTCAGACCAGCTACTAAATGGACATCGTGGGAAGAATTTGTCAGCTGCTGTTTCCAGGTCAGGAATGAACTTCAGAGAGCTGTCAGCGGGACAACTTCAACTTTATGATCAGTATGAGTAGTTGCCTTAGTCGTATTGAATACTTTGTATGTTATTGTTGTTTGATGCTTTTTATGTGATCATTAAAAGATTTTCCAAGGACTCTATTTTAATTACTCCTGGCATTGAAAACATAACAGTCTCTGTTGGAACTGGGTTTAGTATTTAGAGTCAAATTCCTCGTGTATACATACTTGGCCAGCAAAGCTAATTCTGATGACCGTTAACTTGGTTTTCAGTGGAGAGTTTTAGTGTAGCATAAAAGTTTTGATTTTGTTGTCAAACCTAATTTTAAAAAATGGTTAAACACAAAGTCTAGATTACAGCATGCTAGCAGCTCTAGCTGAGCTATGCTCTGAGATACATGCTAACCTCCGTATTTAAAAATGATGATAATGAAATGATATTTTTAAAACAAAGTACACGCAGGCTGATGGGAATTACTTTAGCCTGACAATGTAGTTACATTAAATGTGTAGGGACAGTTAGGCAGGAAAGTCAACAAAGTTATTCCACTTGTTCTTGAGGAATGGAGATATTTCACCTCATAAATGTCTTCCATAAATGTTCATCCTCTGGGAACCATGAATGATTGTACAAATTTGTGCCAGTCCATTCAATTGTCCACATATTTCAGTCTGGACCAAAGTGGTGGAGTGAATGTGCTAGTGTGGCTAAAAGCTCAAAAATATGACCTCCTCTATAAAAAGAAAAAAGCTCTCTGTGATCAAACCTTTCTGTCAATATGGAGATTATGTGCTCTGCTCTCAGGCTGGTATTTTAGGTGTATTGGAGCAGTGTAAGTGCTGACTGTTGGACTAACAGAAGAGAGCAGCATCGCTCCCCCAGCAGCCTCGGCTGCTGACTAATCAAATGGCCGCAGCAAACCTGAGTCAATAAGGGAAAAGCCCGGACCACACACACACACATACAGGTGAATACACTCAAGGGTATAAAGGCTGACTAGATCTTCTGTGAAAGTTCTTCCTGATGAATCACACAGTGTACACCTGCTATCCTTCAGAGGGTGTTTCTCATTCATGTGAACGCCATGTTCTGTTTACGTTTCGCCAAATTCCCTTTTGCTTTTTTATGCCACTCCCTTGTCTTCTATACATACAACAGATGTCAAACAGACTCGCCTCCTGCAGAGTCAGTTGGTTAAATGATAACTAGGATATGGTAGCAGCTTTGTATCCTTGAAACAAAGTTGGCCCTTTATTCACCTGTAGATAGCGCCCAAATACAATTACCAGCCTGATCAATGGCACATTAAAACAACACACTGACAGGAGAGTAATCACAGAGTGTGTTAGGAGGAATAATGCAGTCAGATCCCACAGTACACAAACCTCATCAGTGTAACAGTGGTCATATCAACAAATAATTAGCAGGCAGTTATCTCCCAGAGAGCTCATGGTGATTAGAGGCTGCTTATATAAGGATGCAGTCGTCATTGTGTAAAGCTGCTGGGGTCAAGTGATGGTGAGAAGAGGATCTTATCTAAAAGCCTCAGGGCAACATGAAACACACAGAGAAGGGAAACAAATTCACAATTTGTGTCTTCAACTCAAGTGTTTCAACTATTCAAATCCTTCACTGTTTTCTTTTTAGCAATGACGCACATTCTGTTCACACTGACCAAAAACAAGCCCTTTCTATCGACGGAGCAAACACAGCAAATACACACACGTTGGTTTTATCTTCCAGAAACAACCGAGAATCTCCGTGTGAGAAAGCCGCTGACAGGCAGAGACAAAGGAAGGTGAGCGCGGTTCGTGAGTTAGACGAAAGAATGTACATCTTTCTGTTTGCACTGTGACACACAGACACACATGCAGACACATATGACACCTACAGAGCAACCACAACCTCACTGTGGGATAGCAGGCTGAGCAGAACTGATGCACATCAACATGAGTTTCAACATGTGAAAGAACAGGTGGCCACAGTGTAGAAATAGAAAACTGTGAACTTTTAGGGAAGGCTTGGTTGTTCAGAGATATACAATGTATTTATTTACTGCTGAATTATAAGAAGATTAAATATTCACTTGTCTTCCCTTTTATAGTGCTGTTAGAACACATACAGAGTGCTCTGTTCAGATAGTCAGAAAGGTTTATGCTGCCAAAACTCTGGAAAAAGAACCAACATTAAAGGATTGGTTGACATTTTTTCAGGTGTGTCCCAAAAACATCATATGTACATTGAAGCAGTTTTTAGTTGCTGTACTTGCACTTGCTGTAGTCAATACTGACAGATCACTTCCTTGTGCAGTTCTCATGTATTAAGGATCAAGGAAATTTTTATTTATCATCATAGACAAGGTTGAACAACAAAATCAAAGTTTGCAGTCCCTTCATGCCACGCACAGAAAAAGATACTTAAATGTATATATTTATAGTAAAATAAAATAAAATACAGTTATGTATATACATATGCTTACACCCAGGAAATAATTCTGCACTGCATCTTTTAAATTTACATCTGGGGAAATGTGAATAGCAGCAACAACACAGTAATGATGATATGGTTTCATCTTCACATAAAAAGAAACAGTGCCATCCACTCTGACTGCGTTTGAGCACCGAGCGTCATCAATGGAAACACAGAGTCTGCCTACTCTCAGTCTACGCATGAGATGAGAGACAAAATGTCCTTGTTTTGAACAAAAATGCTGTTCAGCTCAGCTGCAGCTAACATGAGTTGATCAAATCAAGTGGAAATCATTCAAAATTAAAGTCTTTTAATTGGGAAATCCCCTCTTTGTGTTACTGTCCCTCTACCACTGCACAGCAAGAAAACCGTGTCCGGGGAAACACGAAGAGGGAATTTCACACTGGAAAGGCTGTAATGCCCATTCAATTAGACTAACTATGACTGTTGAGGCCCTTTTGTAGCTTTGTCTGCACTTTAGAATCTGTAATTACAACGAGGACTGTAGATTTTGTCACCCATCACTCACATTAGAGTGAGATCTCTTCCTAGTACAGAGAAGAGGTCTGGTTACACAGACCAATGTTCATATAGTAAATGTAAGCCTGTCCCTTAATCTGATCTCTTCTTAAATTCACACTGAAAAGTCTCCACAATGGCATTTAAACCTCATAATGAATGCAGATAGCCATTAGTAGGACAATGCTACATGTTTGCACATATTTTCCCCCCAAGGATGGACAAACACTGACTCTGTGAGAAAAGAGAAAAACAGCATATGTTGCACCTTCTTGACCTGATTTCAAACTTCTCAGCCCTACAAGTAAACATCAGAACTGCTGATTTAACACCACTTAGCAGGTCAGAGAGCTGTGACAAGAAAGTGGAGGCATGTTGTGAGCTGAGTCGATGGCAAGGATACCTAAACCTAATCCAATCAATAAAACATCAATGGATCTGCAGATTTCATTCATGGTCTATGCTGTATCCACCGACAGACCGAGCAGTTAATACAGACCTACAGTACCCACAGTGACAATGACAGCAGCCTCTGGTAGGGTCATGTTATAATGTGAGAGGGACACAACCATTTAAATGGTCCATATTCACATATTAGCCCTGCAAGGCTTTCATCAGTGCTCCTTTGTAGGATATAAAGAGAGAAATACACAGACAAGAGACAGAAACAGAGGATCAAAGCAACAAAGTCAGAAAACAGCCAGTGTCACTGTGGAGAATGAAGGGATGAATGCTCTCATTCAAACACCAACCTGCTGCCTGGCATTGGAGACAACTCACAACACCACCAATGGTGAATATGATGACTACCTGTGGTTTCAGTATGTTGTTGTTATGTTTAATCTGACCTACATTGCTACTGAGTGGTTACCAAGCCCCCAGGAAGAGCGCCTGGCTTTAAAGCCAATTTGACATAGTGGCCAAACTGTGTAATGACAGAAAGGGCCCAAAAAACATTTTCCCATAACAGTGGATACAGGATTTGCATGTCCCAACCCCCTTTCACTATTAGAATTTGATCAATTTGGTTCGATAACATTTGGAAAGTCGGAGGGCTATACTCACTCTGTGGGCTGCACAATGTGGAAGATCTGGCTAATTTTATGCCAAGAAGTCGAACCTTTTTTGGCTTCATATGCCACTGAGCAGCTTCCACAGGAATGAACAGAGCCCAGTCTCCTGCGCTGTATCCAGTTCTCCTTAAAGAACCAGTGCTTAGGATTTAGTGGCAGTGAAGTTGCAGATTGCAACCAACTGAATACAGCTCGCCTTCCAAGTATGTAGGAGAAACTATGGCCATGAAAAACACAAAAGGCCTTATCCACAGCCAGTGTTTGGTTTGTCCCTCCTGGGCTACTGTAGAAACATAGAAGCGGACTCCATAGGAGAGGACCCGCTCCCTCTATATATTAAAACAGCTCATTCTAAGTCAATAAAACACAACAATGATTCTTATATTAAGGTGATTATACACTAATAAAAACATAGCTATGAATATTATATTCTGCCGATAGATCATCCTAAATATTACACGCTGGACCTTGAATACTACCAAAACCTACATCTGATATGATTTTCCAAGCCAAAGCCTTGTCATAATAATAACTCTGAGTGCAGCAGCTTCCTGCGCCGCCTTTGATCATAGAGAACCAAGGACATGAATAAAATACTAATAAAAATAATAAAACCTAATCTGCTCAGTAGTGTGCTGGTTTGCTGTGCAGGAGTTCTTCTCCTTCTGAAGCCTGTTTAGAGCCTGCCTGCTGCTTCTGTATTGACTTGTTTTCCATGAGGAAACTCCAAACTGGTGGATCAATGAGAATCTTGAGTGTTTGCTAATACGCAGGTAGCTGCTTCTCTCAAAGGTCGCTGAGGACAAAACACTTTAGCAATATGAATGAGAACTAGAGAACATGGTTGAAGCTGTTTTTAAGGTGAAACCTGAGCACTTCCATAAAAAAAAGCCCTTTGTATGCTTGTTTGTGTGTCCTTAAATCTCCATAATTCACAATCCACCACACCCACTCAGCAAAAAGCACCCCGGGGTGTTGCAATCATGTCTGTTGAAAGCGTTTAGTTTCCCAGCAGCTCAGAGATACTCAGGGTGTCGTCATGCAAGGTCGTCTCATTAACACCCCATTCAAACTCTGTTTAAATCCAAAGAGCCCAGAATGAGGCTGTTTTTGTGAAACAGAGGGAGCAAACGGGACTGTTAGTGCTTAAGGTGAGCTATATGCAGCTTCTTTGCATGACACGTGTTTGTGTTAGCAGCAGCAGTGAAAGTAGTAGTAATAGTATTAGTAATAAACAACTACAGTTTCTTATATGATCAACCAAATTACATGTAATTTATCTCTAGTTTAAAGGATTCACCTGATGAAGTGTTATAACATTAAAATAAGTTCCTCTGGTGCTGGAAGAACTCTGATCCATCCTTACTTAAAGGGGAACTCCACTCTACACATTTCGGTGTTTTTGCCGGTGCTGGGAGTATGTGAGTAAGTGAAGCTCCAGAAGGAGCGGCACAAAATCTGATAAATTGCCTCTAGTGATGTCACTTGAGTCAGTGTGCAGTGCTAAATTGAGGAAGCACTATAAGTACCAGCGCAGCAATGTAAAACTTCCCGTATTCATCATTCTAATTATATATAAGTGTTATCAGCTAAATATACTTAAAGTAGTTTGTTTTGCAGTAAAATGTCCACTGACACCTGAAATATGACAAGAGACCCCTGATAGATATTTTTTGTAGGGGGTCATAAGCCAAAGATATTGGGATTGGGCTCTTTAAGAGTGACATATATTTATTCTAGGCTTTTAGGTAAAATCTTAATCAGTAACTATAGCAAATAAATTAAAGTGTGTAAGTGTAAATGTAAATACTTTAAAACTGTGCTGAAGTACAACTGAGTAAATGTGCTTAATTACTTTCACCACTAATAGTGTCAAACAATTCTGCAGCCTCCCCCATCCAAATGAATCCATAACCTCGCCTCCTTTGTTAAATATGACCATGACGCTGACTCACCTGGTCCTTTGCACAGGTAGGAGTAGAAGCCCTCAGACTTGAGCATGATGAGCAGGGATCCCCATCCCAGCAGCACGGCAGAGAAAAGCAGGTTCTCAATGACCGCCGTCACCGCCATCCACCAGCGGCGGGAGAACGCTGTGGCCAGGGTTGGAGCCATCTCAGCGGGGTTGGAGGTAGCACTTCACCGGCCTGACTGGAGGTGAGCGAGGCTGCTGGAGCCTGGAAGACAAGGATGTTGAGAAGATGGTCGTTATATTTAGGATTCTGCTGGGGTTAAATATTCCAAAACACAGAAAGAACCATGTCAGATAATATGTGATGCATTATTTCTGGGAACTTTAACTATTACAGATATGATCTAAACAAATGGTCTGTATCTTTCCAGCAATATTGTATTGTTGTTTACTTACATGTACATAATAGTTATAAGCTTATGTTTACAGATCTTTATTTACCTTAATGTCGTTGTTTTTGGCTGTATGTTTATTCATATCATCCTGAAAACTGTTCCTGGAACTGTGTGTGAGTACATTGAGGGCAACTTAAACCCGGAGTCAAATTCCTTCTTTGTGTACATATACTTGATCAATAAAGCTGATTTTGATTCCGTGCTGCTTAATTTCACAGGAACGTGTTTTGGATGACTCTCTGGGTCTGAACCATATACATTTCTTTGTTCCTGCCTGATGGAGATGATGATGGTGGAATAGAGGAAGACTCTCAAACAGAAAACAGCTGAGGCCTTTGAGGTTTAAAACCCCTCCTTTAAATATCAAAAACTCCCGCCCCTTGACATATATGATTGGCTTGAGGGTTTACCAGGTCTTCTCCTATTGGCTGCCAGTGACATGGTTTGTGCAGCAGCTACACGTGAGGTTGATGTTGCGTTCAGTCCCTGTGGGGGGAGACTACAGTGGGGTCTTTATTGTCAGAAAATGTGCCTTCTGCTCAGTTTCTTACATTAAAATGTACATTTAGAGGCTATGAGTTCAATGCTAGAACACAACTGCCAAATTCATCAACCACAGCTTCCTATATTTCGTTGTCAACGATTCACAGATAAAAAGAGACCTGTAGCCTTCTTCAATGTGGTAGTAAAAACATCGACAGGACTCGACTATGTGCTGGAGTTTCTTTGTTTGTATAAAAACTTAAACGGAGATGTTGCACTGTTTGAGTGGGCGTGTGTGACAAAGCTACTTTGGTGGTAAACAACAGTGTGTTTACAGGAAACTCCACTGCTCGTGAATGCAGCGCGAGCTCCAGCCGGTTCGAACCAGTGCGGCGCGAGACTCTGTGCCTGTTGGCTCCGGCTGTCAGCGCTCGCGCTGCTGTGTACAGGCTCCGTTTCTATCTAATAACTAATAACTAATGACTAATATCTATATCTAATAACTAATAACTAATATCTATAACGGTGAACGGCTGCATGTACAGACAAAAATACACAAAACAATAATCAATGAAACACGTGAACCCGAGTGTAAATAAATATACCGTCTAATTTTAATTCATAAATATATTCTTTACAACATAAACAATCTACAGAACAGATAACCTACTGATAACAAGTGAATCAATGATGTGGTATTGTCTTGTGTTTTTTCGGGGACATAAACTATAAAACATGACCTGAATTAATAATAGAAATAATCGTTTGTTATGCACCAAGTGTAAATATAACTTTTATTATCATTATTATTATTATTATTATATATTATATTATAACTAAAGCTGGCCCTAAACTAATCTGTATGACACATTGTCTGAATAACTTGGTGTCAGTCATCGCCCCCAGCACAGGAGACCATCCACAATATGACAGTCCCATCCCGCACAGTGCATCCTGGGATCCTGTGTGTGTTTGAGCAGTTAATCAGCAGATGATCGCACTGAGGACAATAACACAAAGTATATTGCGGTGAATGAAGAGCAGCGCTGGAACTGGTCTGAACTGGACTGAAATCATCCGCACAATACACCCCCCCAACCCCAATCTGCATCTCCAACCCCCTCCCCACACAGTCAGTTTAGCCAGAAGCAAACACTGGGGTTCCGGTTGCTAGCTTCAAAATAAAAGACCAACGAAGGCTGCTGCTTAGAAAGGTATTGTGCGTGAGATAAAAGCGCCAACATTAACCTTGTAGGACCCACTCGGAAGTTTGTATCATCATAAACAAGGAAAAAGGTTAAATTAACAGAAAACTGCGTGTAACACAGTAAAATAATAAGAGCACAAAACACAACAGTAGACTATATCATAAATGATGATGATAAATAATGTTATAAAGTAAGTCCTTTAAGAAACCGAGTGTTTTTCTGAGCGCGTCTTTATGCTTTTATTTTGAAGGTAATTTCTACCCTTTTCCGGCTTTAGACGGCGTGTTTCTCAGCATCTTGACGCGAGAGGCGCTCAGCTGTTCAGCATCAACAACAGCAGCTACGGGGAATTACCATCCTGCTGCTGAGACAAAGACAGTTAACTATCAGCCAAATGGCAACTAAAACCCTCCGGACACAAGACCCTCAGCAACCCCCCCCCCAGCTGTTCCCCTCAGATCCAGCTGTTTTTTCTTTTAGAAATACAATCCTAACTTTCATGCTGAATACGCGCTCGACTGTCCTCACTGTACCCGAGCCAAATAAAGGAAGGGGAAAGTCACCAATGGAAGAAACTGTAATCACTCAGCTCAGTCTGATCCAGTATAATCAGCTAAGTGTGTGTGTGTGTGTGTGTGTGTGTGTGTGTGTGTGTGTGTGCAGTGCATGTAACACACTGATCAGAGGAGACAGAAGGACTCAGTGGATAAAGACACGGACTGAAAGTTGATCACGGAGCAGCAGACTGTTGCAGCCTCACCTGCGGCCGTCCAACAGAGAGACACCCGGAGAGGAGACGCTCTCAGGGGGGGAGAGGACTGCAGAATGATGAGGTGTAAGGTAGTGTCACTGTGAGATGGTGATTCCTTCCGTGAGTCAGCCTCTCTCCTCCAGTGAAGTGCACAGTGTGTGTGTGTGTGTGTGTGTGTGTGTGTGTGTGTGTGTGTGTGTGTGTGTGTGTGTGTGTGTTTGTGAGGAGCAGAGCATCCTTTGGTGCGGACAGCCTACCCGAGCCTGTGGATTCAGGGACAAACGGAGCCTCCTCAGTCAGATCTGTCTCTGCGCGTCCAAATGTCCCTCGGCGGCAAACACACAGGGCAAAAAGATCGTGTAGGGCGTCTCTTTGGTTTCTTTGAATCACTATATTTCTCCTCTCATCCTCATTGCCGCCGCTTTATAGCAGCGCAGGAGCGGTGCACAAACACCAGCGCCTCCCCATTGGCCCGTGGCTGAGCTAGAGACCAGTCGCAGCCAATCAGAGCGCGCCAATGTTACATGTGTGTTGTTTCTCAATACTAAAAAATAGTTGGGGAATGTTTGGACACCGAACAGCTGATAATTATGGAAAACAACACACTGAAAGAAAAAACAATGCGGTCTATAGGACAACACAGAACACTGCATTTAAATGTGATGCTATACAGAGACAGTGAAAGCACTAAGACTTTGAAAGAAGGCAAATGGGGGGGGGTGCATACTTAAAAAGGTATGTTCACTATGTCATACAACGTAATTAACAGTGAATACACTCCTTAAGGAAATCAGCTCGTTTGGTGCAAGCAGAACCGTTACGGGAACTAAATGTCCTCATTCTGCTTTCAAACAATAGAAAGTGAGTCAGGAGAAGTCTGAACGCCTCAGTGGGATCTTTGCTCTGATGTGACAATGTAGTGCATGAACTGCGACCCAGTGAAGTCCTAATCCTTGTTTTCTGTGTGTAACAAAAGTCTATAAGCACTGCTGCCACACCTACAGCATATATAGGCTATAAATCCTGCCAGCAGCATGTGAGTTGACTCACTGTTCACTCCCAACTTCATACCTAACGTCTAATTCCTAGAAGTACATGAGAGGAGGGTTCACATGGTCCCCAGTGGAAAGGACAGCTGAAAACAAAAACCACTGGCAGGAATAGTTACAGCGAGGGCGACACCTAGTGGCTGCTTCTGACTGTGACACTGAGGGTTTGTGCTGAACGCTGTGTATTTGACTGAACATTAAAGCAGCTGGACAGACAGACAGACAGACAGTGAGCTGAAACTCAGTATAAAGCTCAGTGGAGATGATTCACATGCAGATGAGGTGAGAACTCCCTGGTGGATCCTCTCTCTGAGCGACCTCTTTCACATCCTCACTTCCATACATTGTTAGAAAAATATTGATTATAGCCGCTTTAAAGCTGCAGTAGGCAGTTTATTTTTGGTGTCACTGGGTAAAAAAATCTATCATAAGCTTTCAGTACATTGTAATTCAAGTGCTGGGAGAACTGGGAGGACTTCTACTCCTCCTCTCTGGTTTCAGACTTTAGTCAATCCCAGTCTGTCAGACCCAAAGTGTCTGTATGTGACCGACTGAGAATGAATTTAACAATCAACTATCTTTCTCCAGAATCATTTCCTGCACCTTTTAGTTAAAGTACAGTATTAGTAGTTGTAATGTATCAAAAGTACATAAAATTGGCTCATTAAGTGTTTTATTTTGTTGTTTAATCTACAACAGTGAATTATATTATATAAAAAGTACAACATTTATCTGTAAAATATAGAGTAGAAGAACAATTGAATAAAATGTAGCAGAAATACCTCAAAACTGTACTTTAGTGAATGAACTACATTCCACCAGTGTTGATGGATTAAAACAGGACTACCACAGACCCCGGGGCCCTTAGAGGTCAGGAGGCCACTAAGCCAGAGCCTCTTTATAATAGGGACTGTTATTAAGAAATGTCAGTGGACTCAAATCCTGTAGAAGTTAAGAAACATTCACCAGAAGGAATACAACATTTCATCATCCCTACTTTTGACTTCTTGAAAGGAACTGGATGACCCTTTGACTTTAATGTAGGCTGGGTTTTATCCTCTTTTTAATTCATATCAAGCACCAAGGGCTGACTTCATTAGCACGTCACAGTATTATGTTTTACTGCTGTGTGCTTGTGGCTGATACATCTTTGTTTCTGAAAATAGCCACAGAAATATATCTGAAAAAAAGAACAGGGATCACCTAATAACACAATGTTGGACCGTGGAATACTACTCTTTAATAGGGAGGTTATGATTTTTCTTAGTTTCTATCATATATAATGTTACAGTGTTGGATCTGATCTGCTCTGAATGCAAAACGTTTCCAATTTCTTTATCTGGTTATCCACACAAACTGCACACCACCTATTCAGAGGACAGCACACACCGTCCACACTGAAACACAGAATACAAACGTTACATCAGACACTGGGACACACACACGCACACACACACGCACACGCACACACACACGCACACGCACACGCACACGCACGCACGCATGCACGCACGCACACGTAAACTAGAAGTAAACAAACAGACATTCATCAGTTTGCATTTACTTTTCAAATTTATTGTTCAAATCTTTAGTATCTTATCTTTTAGTGTGTTGGCATAATTATACATTGGTGTGGTGCATACAGTAAGTCAGGACTGATAACAGGAGTGCATCTGTAAATCAATAGATAAACTTGGGATTTGGTTTGAATAAAGCTTATACACATAGAGGGAGGAGACCTTTAGGTGCTGCTGGGAGACCGGACTCTAAGGAGGTATTTCTCTTACAGTTCCACACAGATCTGTTGTATTGCTATCTGACAAGGCACATGAACAAGTTTGCGTGAACAAACAATACTAGAAGCTTTTTCTCCCAAAATGTTTCACATCAAACCTCAGCTGGCTTGAATCCGTCATTTATAACACAGAACACAAACTGTACACATAGATATCCCTCCTGAAAAACAACATAACATTCAGAACCGACATAATAATATAATATAAATCATACATCACAGAATCACTATAAATCAACAGGGTCTTTGGCTAGTATACTTTAAGTGCAGTCGCACAGTCCTGCCTCGGCATATTGCACCCTCCGCGCCACCCAGAGCCACGTAGAGAAAAAGTTCTGTCATTGAGCGAGGTTTGGGGGAAAAACAACTAAAACATTTTGGAGCTCCTCTCAAAAGTTTTCAATAACACAACTTTTTCAGGATTGGTCTTAAGTCAGAGTTCAGGTTAGACAGAGAGAACTGGTCTACAGGAGGCCCTCAACCTGAACTGGTTTTATATCTCTACAAGAATGCATCAATATTTTACTGTTGTCAGGATTTAATGAAGATTTTTGGTGTGGTTTAATAAGTTAGATGATATTTCAGGAGAAGTTTTTCTACCCTGAAAAGGGCATAATTCTGGAAAGAACTCCACTGTTTGTATTTTCTGGCGATGTAGGAATAGTTTGACATTTGGGGAATGCACTAATGAGCTTCTTTTTTGTTTTTTTAACAGAAAATTTGATGAAAAGCTCAATATGACTTTCACATCTGTGCGCTCCAAATGAAGCTACAGCCAGGAGGCTAGCGTGATCAAGATGGAAACCGCTAGCTGGCTCTGTTCAAAGGTAACAATAAAATCACTAATTAACACGTTTTATTTGTGAAGTTGGTATAAAAAACAAAAAGTGTAAGAGGATTCTTTACATTTGCACAGAGCCAAGCTAGCTGTTTCCCCCTAATGCTAAGCTAGCCAGCTCCTAGCTATAGTTTCATATGTAGCAATTATATGAAATTTACCAAAATGTAAAACTATTCCTTTAAAAATGTCCCATTTAAACATGTCAAACATCTGGACAATACACAGCTATTAGTAGCTTCGATGTAAAACCCTTTCTGGTCTTCATGTGCATTTTAGCCGAACCAAAAGGACCAAAGTTCAATAACATTCCTTTAAATTGTGAGTTTTAGTCCCACGCTTTAAATGCCATTTGAGGGACGTAGAATTGTAAAAAGTGAGAGACACCAACATAAAAAAATGATTATAGGGGTTTGAAACATATGTGTCAAACCCTAGTCAGGTGTAGCCGTCGGACCAGTTCAGTCGTAGGGAAACACAAGCTCCAGTTCTGAGACTACAGGCAGGTCAAAGGTGGAAGAATGGAGGAAATGTAGCCGACGACAGAGAGAGACGCTGGGGTCTTCGACCAATCAGAGCATGCTATGTGGTTCTGAACAAGGGGTCTCTGTACAGGAAGCTGGAACAATATTCAGTCAGAGGACGATGTTTCTATCTACACGTAACTCGACTCATTCTGGCGTTGAGTGTCATGGTCTTCAATGAATATGAATACATTAGTCAAGGAGAAAGGCACGAGCTCCTGGGGCCAAGGCAAACGACTGCTGCGTTCTATCGTCTTTCTTCTCACCTCTCTCTTGCCGTTTCTCACTCGCTCCTCACATACTTTGTTCCTTTTTGCAGCATTTACACTGCACGCTGTTCATTTTATGTAGTGAATCCCTCTTGACAAGCTCCCTTCTTATTCTAACACTGCACAATTACAGCCGTACATTCAACTATTTATTCTGATTTAGCGAGCCACAGTCTGACACTACCGGCCTTTTCGTGCCGGGGCATCTTCATTTTTTACTGAAGAATTACTCTTCCTCGCCCCCGATCCTCTCAACAGCTATCCTACATACTGTCAGCCTTGTTCTAATTCAATTTAATTCACGCCTTCATGCTTCAATAACCAGCCAACCACCCCAGTTAGACAAGTAGTGTCAGCGAGACAATCAAGCCTATAAATCAAGCAGAAAAGGTAAACAGGAAAGAAAAGAGGCAACAACAAACCCTGATTTTCATCAACAACAATCCCCGTCTTCTCATTGTTGTCTTTTAGTCTGACTTTTCTCCCTCATTGTTTTTCTTGGTCATGTTCCCAAATAAAGCACAATAAACACACATGGTGCAAGAAAAATGCACCAAAATATTTGTTATTCCTTGGCCTCATATATAAAATCAGAATATTCAAACAGCAACAGTATTAATCCCAAAAATATAATATATAAACATAAATATATCAATTAGTTTTGCTGGATTTTTATTTGTTTTTTTTTTTTTTTTTAATTGGAAGCACATGCCACCCTGTGGTGACAGCTGGCGTCTGATTGGCTTAGGCAGAGCGGGGTCTGCGGTTGCGTGATTGGAGGATGGGAGAGGTCAGGAGTACTTGTCCTGGTGCGTTCAGAGGGGCCATCATCTGGAGTTCAGCCTGGGAGCCGTCTGGAAGACATCCAGAGGAGAAAAACATCACATCACGTCAGAGGTCAACAGAGTGGACTGTCAGGAAGCAGGAAGTAACCACACTGCGACAAGAGCTGCACCAAACAGTGTGAATCCAATGTCTCCATTCACAACTTGTCCCAAATAACGCAACACTAATTACTAATGTCTGTTTGTTTTAATTAAATATTAACCAGACAGCTCTGATAGTAATACAAATGATTAATAGTTGATCATTTTATTGTTTTTTAACAGAAGTCTGACTCAAGAAATATTCCCAGTGTGGTGTAGAAGCATTTTACAGTCATGGAAAACTCTAAAAAATGTGCTAAACCTGCTAAACACACCAAACTCAACTTAACTGGAGTAAAATTGCTCTTGAAATATTTATGTCAACAAAATTGTTAAAGAATTTTGAATTTTGAGTCACTTTGGGCCAGTGCAACAAGATGTAATCACAATATTAAAGTACAATAAAATATCTGGCTCTTTACCTGCTAAACGCTCTCTGGGTCTGTCAGTAGTTTGATGCTGGGCAGGCAGCGTACAGTGACTTTATTAAAGCTAGTTGTCTGAAAACAGCTGCCTGCTGCTGCTGGAAACGAGGCTGAGTTATAAAACCAATCAATGCTCTAAACGAGGCTAAAATGCTCCGTAGAGCTGAAGGGAAAAAGTTGGGTGAATTCTTTGTGGGTTTGACCCTATTAGTGCCCCCTTTCCCATTTCACATAATCAATTGGTCCATTGTTAATATAAAAAATATTTATTAGTGCAGCTTTAAATAGTATCACAATATATCAACTATTGGATGCTGCAATTGAAAATCCTTACTTATGGGTGATAACTTGATGAAAGTCGGCATTAAAAGGCACATCTCACGGTGATCAGTGTAAACATGGTGGAAATAACACAAATAATCTGCTTTTTATACAACTTTCAATTGAGGAAGATTTAGCAGACTCACCACAGACAAGTGTCCGTTCTTAGCTTTGGCCACCAGTAGTTCTGATCCGGGCGTGAAGTCTATGATCCCCTCTTTCCCCTGACCCACTGTAAACTTTATACTGGAGGAGGAACACAGGGATAGTCAGACACATCCTTCTGCTTTTTACCACTTTCTACCTGTAGATGTTTGTGTGTGCAGGAGTAGAGATGTATTATACTGCTGTTAGCTTTATGTAAGGACACATTGTGAACATTGGCACCGTAGTAATCAACACGTCATGTGTACATTCATGTTTCTGCTCCTCACCTGCCCTGGTTGATGTTGATGCTGTTTATTTTGTCGGCACAGATCGCAATCTTGGTCAAGGTCTCAATCACATGGTCGCTCTGCAGAACCACGTCTCCCTGGGGACGAACCATCAGGCGTTGAAAACTCACAGCAACACTCATTTACACTCGTACAGAGCTACACGAGATCTGGTTAATATATTATTAACTCTATTATTATTAACTTATAATATGTCCTTGGATTCACCTTCTGTTTGTTGTCCTCACTGGGCACGTGCAGAACAAACAGGCCGTCGCTAAGAGAGCTGACTGAGACACCTGCAGAGGAAGGACAGTATTAATGAGTAATGAACCTCCTCGCCATAGACTGTAAAATAAATAGTGGACGGAGCCACCGTCACGTCACCCATTGGTTTGTGGGTAAGGGTTACTGTTCTGAAGCCTCAGGTTTGGCATTATGGCAGTCACCATCGTATTTATGGAGCCAGTAGTGATCACATTTGGACAAGAGCGTGGAGCTGGGAAACATATTGATTGCTATGGCTCTATCCTGATTGACAGGTTGCTGCTGTAGCGACTTGTCAACAAACAGCTTGTATTTTACTCTAAATTGGACCATAATTTACTAAATGAACATCATGCGGTTTGGAAGAGGACTGAAACTAGTGATGAAGACCATTAACTCATCAGGAAACTGTTTACTGAGCTCATAAACCCAGTGGGAAGCTCTGTCCACTGATTATACTGTCTCTATACGGTCTGTTGACCTCTGACCTTTCAGGGCTCCGTAGTCGATGCGCTGCTTGAGTTTGGCCTCCTCTACGATAACGGCACTGTTAGAGGTGAGCAGCAGCTGGCGGGGCCGGGCCTTGTAGCCTTTTCTGTCGTACTTGGTGACTGGAACTGCATACTGGGAACAGAGGGATGACGGTCAAAACACTTGATGACAGACGACATTTAAACTGCCCTTTGTTTTGTGACTTTGCTCGACTAACCTTCATCTTCTCGCTGCCCAGAGCCTGCACCACTTTGGGGTTAATGTCCTCCCCATCTGAAGAAGAGGAGACAAGCTGTTAGAATATTTTACATTGAGAAATATGGAGCCTGTTGTAGCAGGAAAAATGTGTGAGTCTTACTGAGTCTTGTGCTGACAAACAGTTTGGGCACGCTCTGTGGGTAGTTGTCCTTCTTGTCTTTGAAGATCTCGCTGGCGATCATCTTCTGCTCCATCTATTCAAACAGATCTGATTACAGCGAAGTAAAGGCAGGAAGCAGCAAACAAGAGACCTGACAGTCAGACTACAAAGAGCGTATCCTGTCTGGTGACGGGACAATATTCACCTGGTGTTTCCACTCAGGGCTGATCTTCTTGCAGTAGCTCCACACCATGTTCTGCATGCACAGCTTACGCAATTGCTCTGACGCCTAAAGACACAGACAGAATGTTTTCACAATAGCTCTGCTGGCAGAAAAAAGCAATTCAGTTGTGCTGCATATATGTGGAATCATGATACACAGTGTGTGAGTAGTCACAGTGTAAGTGAATGTACCTATTGAAACATGTCGGCTAACATTCACCTTTAAACTACATCCATATACAATATGTGAAAACCCACAAGTGTACATCTAAAATGATGGATGTGATACTGTTGGATCACATTAGTTGTTGGATCGTCTACTGGCTGTCAATAAGAATCATTAACATGAACTGATACTAATAGGACATAGTGCACATGAATCTATATTATGTTGAATGTATGGATGAATTGTTATTATTACCCTGTTTACAACACAGAGTTATAAAATAAATTTGAAAAAATAAATTTGATCAAAACATATATTTGCTTCAACAACACATCCTCAAATCCTAATTTGGTGTGAAATGTTTTGACTGTCCTCACAGAACGATGTGGTGTCTCTACCATATTGACCTACATATATGTGTGCGTTTTATTCCCACCTCAGTGAGAGCAGCTGGAGGTGTCGGCCAGCTCTTGTCCAGGACGTTCTTGGGCAGGTTCCTGCGCAGCGTCATGAGGAAGGAGTAGCGCACGTAATCCAGGAAGTACTCGTTCTCTGGACAGCGCTCCTTGTGGCGGTAGATGAAGCCTTTGATGAACCTGAGGATGAGAGGAATAAAGGGAAATTAACAGGGTTTACAAAACCTAAACATATTATGCTCATTTAATTGAGTAGATTTGTATTTCTAGTGTGTATTGCGCCATCTGCTGGTCTGTTACTGTATTAGTCTGTACCTGCGGATCGTATCAGCAGCCTGTCGCCTGCGCTTGGCCCTCCTCCTGGCCAGGATCCCTCTCCACCACGCCTGGATGGAAATAGCTGCAAGGTACATGACATACATCACACACAAATACAAAGTTGCACAAATTGTTTGTTAGACAATCTGTTAGACAAACTCTAAGGTGACATCAGCAGGAGAAAACGTTTCCTCACCTGCGGTTCGGAGTTTCTGGTATTTGGACCTCTGGCTGTAGCCTTTCCATCCTGCCTGCAGCTTGGTGGCTGCGGGGTGAAAAGAAAAGAAGGAAAAGGAGGCTAATGGTTTAAATCTGTGGCCATAATGAAAATATGTGGCACAAATGAGTTGTGTCAGAGGCTCTCACCAAGACTGTGTTTCCTGGTCTCTAGTGCATCCTCGGTGGCAAACAAGGTCTTTGGGAAACGGATGAAGATTTTGGATCTAAAAGGATGAGATTAAAGTAAAGCATGTGAATTTGAAGTCAGATGGTTAAGGGCAGCTCAAGGCAACAAAGGGTAAAATAAGTTTTTAAAAATGCATGTTTTAAAAGAAAATAGGTTTAAAATTACTTCTTAAACTTTTACTAAATGATACAAATACATTTTGGCATTTATATTGATCTGTGTGTTGCTGACCTGCCCAGTTTGTACTCCTCAGGCTTGTATCCCAGGTGTTTGACCAGTGTGGACACTCCATCAGACAGTTTCCCCTGCCAGTTAGGCCATGTGTCTGGACACAGGGACTTATACCTAAACAGACACAAACACAAGTAAATCCTAGAATACTGTTCAGGAATAAGGCACATCCGTTAAGCAAAAGAGGGTTTAAACCCCCACCACTTCTATAGCTCAACGATCAGCCTGTGAAAGTGTAGCAGACGGTCCTGGGAACAGAACTATGTCAGGTTTAGAGCTGAAACTATTAGTCCATTGACAGGAAAATAATCAAAACTAAAACTTGATAATTGATTAATGGTTTATGTCATTTTTCCAAAGCAAAAACGGCAAATGGTCCCTAGTTCCAGCCTTTTTCTTTGTCATATGTGACAGTAAATAGAATATCTTTATCTGTTGGTCACACAAGACAACAAAATGTGTTAAGTAATAATGGGCTTTCGGAAATTCTGACATTTAACAGACCAAATGATTAAATTAGAAAATAACTTGCAGACTGATCAATAATGAAATAAGTGTTTGTTGTAGCCGGACTAAGGTTCAGTCCTTAGGCAGCGTTGATGATATAGATTTAGAGTTTAGGAACAGAGCTGACACATTCAAAGCAATGAATGTGCTAGGAGGAGACGTTTTGACAGGATGTGACACATCCTGGGTCTAAACCTGAAACCTTCCTGTTATATAAAGACTGGAAACCAAAACCTGTTGCACCTGGAGGAACAACACTACCAGTGCAACAGCAGGTATTTACTTCTAGGTAAGGAATGTCTTTTTGTGTATAGCTTGGTTATGGATGTCTAATCTGGACAATTTGACTAAACTTGGAGGTCATATTGGTAGTGTAGTAGAATACAAGAATGGTACATATACGGTACTTGATTATATTCTTGATACAGAGCTTCCATGTGATTGTACATTATTGGTAAAAAAAAGAAAAAAGCTGATCACCTCTGAAGGAAGACCTCGTAGCGCCGTCTGTAAGCAAAGCCAGCCCTCCTCACCCTCAGATTCTCCATCAGCCCCAGATACTTGACCTGGTGACGGATCAACACCTCGTCAAATCGAACTGGGATAGGAGGGGAGATGGGGAAGAAGTGGGAGAGGGAGACAAGAGAGCAGGGTCAGATCAGTCAGAGAAAAATGTAAAGTCTGTTGGACAAAATGAACCAGAGAAAACCAGTAAATGCTAAACAACAGCAGTAGGAGTGACAGAGGACAGAGAAACAGTGTGGAACTAACAAAAGGACCACTGTGGACAGAAACAAAGGCCGGCCCGATATACTGACGACCACACGGAGAGTTACACTGCGGCCACTCACACAGCTGAAACAAACTGTTTTGGAGGGAATTAGCAACAGCACAAGATTAACATGATGTTTCTGGGAATATGTTGTTGCTAAGCTGCTTCAACTGTGTTTACAAGAACTGTTACATGAAAACTATTAGTGTATGAAAGCAAATAATATCCGTAATCACTCAGATCAAATGAGTCACTTCATGCTGGGAAATCTTAAAAACTTGACTTTAAGGATTATTTTGAAGGTTCACCAATTCAGATGGTAAATATCCAATAGCCTTTTTCTAAAATTCACATTTAAGCTGCTCAAATTCAACTCGCATTGGTGGAATTCAGGATGAAAAATTCAAATTTGAACATCCAAGCTCTGAAAGACAGTCAATTAAGCTGAATAGAACCAATCCGATCTCTTTCCAACAGTCTACTGTGTGTAAAATACAAGAGACAGAAGTATCTTTGGTAGGCCCGATGTTGGTTTAAATTTTGCTTTATGACTTTACCTCAAGTCACAATTTGACAACTGAATTGAAGCAGGTTTCACAAAGGGGAATTCAAACTACAGAAAGTAAAACATTTACAAGATCAACCATGGGTAAGCACAAAACGGCAGAAATATCCATTTTCCATCTCATTACTCCATCACTTATTTTTAATGTTTTCAATATTAATGTCAGCTCATACATTTTACTTCCATTGTGGAAAAGGACACTTGTGTTCTGATGAATAACAAATGCTACTTGAATCAGAGTGCACTGCGTATTGTGGACAAACTCATCCAGTTATCCAGGATGTCCAAAAAGTAAAAAATAAAAGTATTGAAAATCATTTTTTAATTTGCACTCTCTAGCTGTCACAATGATTGAATGGTCTTAAGATGACCAGGGTTTTGGTTTCTAAATTGATGTATTTTCCATTTATATTCTGTCACTTGGAGTTCACTATGATAATTCTGTTCCAACCTGAAGACTCAAGGTTTCAAAGGATACTCTTCTCCTCTACCTCTTTCTACCTTCCTACCTTGTACCATAATAAGCAAAAAACAAAGACTCTGCTTCATACCTGCTTGCTTGGAGTCATTGGGCTTGATGCAGCGGACGTACGACGGCTCCTTCGACATGAGGATCTCCATGAGTTTCGCCAGACTTGCTTTGAACTGGGTGGCTGCCTGGAGGGGCAGACACAGAGAGATGAAAGCTGGTTAGGAAGGGATGAAGAGACGAAGGTGAGTGAAGATAGGAGAGGAAGCTGGTCAGTGACCGAAGGTAGAAACTGAAGAGGAGAAGAGTGGATGTGCACAAATCCAAGCCCGAAGACAGAGATGATGATCTAACAAGAGCTACGCAAGCAGAGGGGTGACTGATGTGACTGGCAGTCCAGTAGAGACTGAACACTGGGCCCAGTGTGGAAGACTGGGACTCTAACTTGCCAGCCTGTGACAGTACCCTGTTCAAGTGTGTGTGTGTGTGTGTGTGTGTGTGTGTGTGTGTGTGTGTGTGAAGGGCATACAAGTGTCAGGGCATTCCTCATTGAGTGGGAGGCTGCAGAGAATCCCCATCAGACTGCCCACTCAACACTGGAGAGGGGAAACACACCCCTGTTTGTTTTGCTATGGGAAAGTATGTTGGGATGCATGACAGTATGATTTATAAGAGTGTGTAGGACAGGCAGAGAAAACCTGGGACACAAAGAGGACATACACACACGAACAACAAGGTATCTCACCGTGTCTGGGCGCTTCTTGTCACTCAGCTCCTCCCTGTCAAAACACTGGGTCAGGATCTTGTTCTCTGACATACACATGACCTGCGAACATACATAAAGGACATTTTTAACCTCCGAATCGGGCAGACACTGCGCAACTTTCCACAAATGTATAACACTATCCAAGTGAAACAGTTTGTTATATAACCCTCCTAATTTCTGTTCATTTTAAACTCACCTCTTTCAAGTTCCTGAAGAGCAGGTCGTTGTTCTTGTCCAAAAATCCTGAGTGAGAGAAGATGATACATGTACTGACTAATCACTTCCACTAAAGTGCCCCACAGTTGTCACTGGCTACATCCAGTTAAGTCTGACCCTAATGTTGAATATATTAATGAATATTGTCAAATAGCCTTTTTTAAATAAAGAACTACTATAAATTCACAGATAGTTCTCTTAAACCTTTATCTGAAACAGGCTTATATTAGAAACAGATATTTATTTCTTATTTCTCCAAGTGTATTTCATCATATTTTGGTTAAACGCCTGCCTCCTTTCTCATCTGCTCTCCTTTAATTAACTGTTAGTGCAAACCCAACACTTCCTCCATGTTTCCCTGTGGTCTTCATATATTCGGTATAATGTGCACTCCCACAGCCCTAATTTCATCAGTGCAACCACAGTCACGTCACACTCACCACTCTGAGTCTCTCTTCTCGAACAGAAATGTTGTTTCTATTGACTTAACATTTTCATATGGCTAAAATTTTGCTGATTTTCCAACATTGTTAAGCTACTGTCTGTGAAACTCAGCACTTTCTGCGAGGGTTTTAATTTGAGGCATCCGCAGGAAATGTTGAATTTTATTGAACGCAGCTCAAGAGCGCTTAAACAAATCAGTAAAAGCCACTAGAGTGACCGTTTGCCAAGTCCCTCACTCCTTAGTTACTGTTCAAGCTTTCTGTTCCTGTACGGCATATTAGGTTCACCATAATAACAGTGGCAGATTTACCACTCAAAGTTCTTTACTAATTTTGGATATTCTTCAGTAATGTATCTTTGATTTTGCTACCAGACTTCATCAGCTGCTGTATCTGGATAGCTAATTGATGACAATGAGTTGGTTGAAAATGCTGACTCAGGTGGACTTTTTAATGTGTCCAGTTGACTGGTTTTAAAACTAAAACCTCGTAAAGGGGTCTTTACTGTGAACTTGATGGTTACATACAGGAGTCTAAAGCTAACTGGTCCCAGGTAAAGACTCCTCACTAGTTGATTGATGTAAATTTAGAGATGGATGGAAATAAAGAAAAAGTGTTGTGTATTACAGTGTATAGCTAGTTAGTTCTAACGTTATCAGTATGATAAAGAAAAGGAAATTCATGCCTAAAAGGAATTCACCCCAACACCAAACATCCAAGGACTTGAGGTCACACTGGCCTTGTTTACAGCAGCTCTCGCTCACACACACACACACACACACTCACACACACACACACACACACACACACACACACCGTTGACATTGTAGTTGACCTCTCCAGCGTAGTGCAGCAGTCTGAATTCCTCACGGCTCATTACCTTCCGGGTCTTTGCATCAGCCAGCTTGTGACTGCAGGGAAACATACACACACACAGCATGGATATATCAGTAAATGGACTGGACACATATTCAATAGTTCACAGTCTGGTACCACAATCCAGCCAACAGCCAGACCTTTAAGTACAGCAAGTCCAAACTGTTTTGGGTACATTTGTGCCACTGCAGAGGTTATATAAGACCAGGAATCGAACTAACGTGACAAAGTGTGCGTGTCCTCCAACAGTGTCCTCCAGCTTCTCTAGGAAGGTTAAATCACTCGCGTCTCCAGGTCTCAGGCACTCCTCATCCTGTGATAGGAGGACAAAAAGAGCAGCAATAAGCCACTGTCTTACAAGACTATGACCACATATCATTTATATGAACTTGAGCATGTGTAACTGTTAGGATCAAAGCAATGAATTCATCCTTTATTACACAGATGGTACCATTTAGGATACAGGTAGTTGAGCTTACATGCCTATGAGTACCTCTAATGCACCTAAAATGCTGTTTCTTGGTTGTTTGATCTGTATAAAAACCAAAGCGTGAAAACGACAATTTGTCATTTTACAGGGATTTTGTGCTAGACTATTTTCTGGCCAAGAGAGCAGTGATTTCCTGGAGTCACGTTGACGACAAGATACCAGAGTTTCCTAAAATGCTTAACTTTCCCTTTAAGATGACACCTTATCTTGCCATAAGTTCTTTAAGTTCTTAGAGTATTTTATATTTTGGCAGATATGGCAGGTATCATATTTGGCAGAAATCCACTTCCAGAGTGAATTTAATGAGGGAGCTTCCTTTTGAAATAAAAAATTGGTTTCATATCCTCTGAAGCAGAATCAGAGCAGAGTGTGTCTCCTCACCAAAATGGAGATGATGCCTTTGAATTTCTCCTCCACCAGGTCACAGATGATCTTGTTGTTGAAGTACTGCACCGGCTCCCACTGCAGAGACACAAGACCCCTTTAAGTTAGAGCTCATGAGAAAATAAATCTTGTCCAGCATATCAGTCTAAGCTTGATACAATTACAACTGTTCTAAGCTATTAAATGACTGTAAAGTCAGTCATCTGCAGAATCCCAGGAATCCTGGCACACAGAGACGCTGCTCACCCACTCGCATGTGGACACACACATGAACACAGAGCTCCATGGGCTGAGTGCAGCAGTGTTAGGTTATGTTAGCGCTAACAGCCACATAATTTCCACAGAGATGACAGAGAGTGCGGCCCACAGCCCTGATGTCAGATGATAATGGGCTCTTTGAGAGGTGAGTCCAAGTTTCTCCCACAACCTGCTCTCTGACCAGTGCATTTATATTAGACTGAACACAAGAGGCCCTTGTTCCAAAGAAGCAAAACAAAACAATATAAATGCAATGAATATAAATGGGGCAAAGACAAAGGGAGTAACTGAGGAGAAAAATTCAAGAGAGAACTTGAATTAGATATCCTCGGGGTCAATGCAGACCTCTTTTGACATGTTGTTTCCTTAAGAGCTATTTTAGATTTTAACTGTGAATAAATAAAAGACACAATAACTCTAACAGTGACAGGGTTAAAGGATTAATTTCTAATGGAGCAGCATCTTCTAAAAATATGTGCACTTAGTGTAAATCACTGAGTGAAAGCCTCAGTGAAACGACAGAGTGATAAATTAAATTACCAATTTCACATCAAAAAACACAACTGCAACAGCAATCACATTAGAAGCTCTTTGCGAAGGCTAAAGCCTGGCTGAGGGAGGAGGGATGGAGTGATAATGGAGGGTGAAAATGTCAAAGCATGATTAAAGTGTACAGGCAAAAATAAAAACAAAGGCTTTCCACTTAAATACATATACAGAATCCAGAAAATGACGTCTGACCGTGATGCCTTCAGCCTCGTACTCCTCCTGCTCTGACTTGAGGGTGAGCTCGATGAAGAGCTGCTGCAGCTTCTCGTTACAGTAATTGATACAGAACTGCTCAAAGCTGCAACACACAACAAGAAACACAACAAGGCACAGGGTCAGACACATGTTACTGGTTTTCTTACTAATGGAGGTTAGGGTTGGGGCTCATTATTGACCATAGAAAAAGGCACAGGGTCCACTTACTGGGAATTTCTGGAGCTTTCAGCTGCATTTCAGCATATGAAGTCTGCTCAGGTTGCTTAGTAACCAACTGAGCGAACTCCTGCTGCCACTGAAGGCCATGAGATGCAACTGAAAGCTCCAGGAAATTGACTTTAAAAATCGAACTGTAGGTATGAGTGTTTTTTGCTGCATTACTTAAAGGTTTAGAAGGATATATAGATGTTTACATTTAAAGAGTTAAGCCTTTAATTCAGCATGAACAAATATAATTAATACTGTACCTGTTGTGCTGAAAGACCTCAAAACCATAGATGTCCAGCAGGCCAATCACTGAGTAATTCTTGAAGGAGTCATCCTGTTAGAGAAAAAGAATAAAACTCTTCATCATATCTATCTAAAAAGAGCAAACTCTAGTACACACAAAGCTTTAAAATAAAGATTTAAATTCAAAATCATGAAAATGGATTTTCACTCCAGGTTTTCCGCATCATGTTATTATGTTCATCTTGTGAACCTGTAAATGTCCACAAGGTGGAGCTGTGCTATAATAGATTGAAGGGGAGAAAACAGTGTTATATGTTGAATAATGTCTGGGCTTAGTTTGAGTGTGTGTGTGTGTGTGTGTGTGTGTGTGTGTGTGTGTGTGTGTGTGTGTGTGTGTGTGTGTGTGTGTGTGTTTGTTTACCTTGTATGCCAATGAAGCGTTGATCTTGTTAACCAGCCAGGTGAAGGTGCGTCCATACACTGCCTTGGACAAAGCATCCCGAGCTGATGATGCTTGCTCTAGGTTCAGTGGGCTCATCAACTAATTAAGAAACACACACACACACACACACACACACACACACACACACACACACACACACACACACACACCACACACACACACACACACACACACACACACACACACACACACACACACACACACACACACACACACACAGGCAAAGGCAGACAATAACAGAGTTACACAGAGTTCAGCAGGGTCAGTTCGACATGTTACAATATAATTACAGTGGACCAGACCAGACATTACACAGACAGGAAAGCTTTGTATACAAATGCTTATCACACACGCGTGCTACAATGAGAGTGTGTATCCAAACCTACCTCCTCTCCCTTGGCAATTATCTTCTTGTGTGTGAGTGCCTCTGTCAGCACTGCCCCATTCACTCCTAACAACTGGAAAAGAACAACAACATTAGTACGCCTCGCCAATGACAAATAAACGATCTCCAAAACAGACAGACGTCATGCCACTCAGCAGCCGTGACATCCTGCGTATGGTATCTGTTCATTATGTCTGATGAAGTATAATTGGAAAATTGAGGCAGGAAGGAATGGGGGATGTTTCTAAGAAAAACGTGTCCAAAGTATGATTCACATTTCTAAAGCAGGGCACATTTAAATGGTTAGTCTTCATCAGCATTTGTAAGACATATAGATATGTAAATTAGAAGAAAGTGTGTGGATGAGGCTTACTCATAGCTCTATGAATTTCAAACTCAAGTTCATATTTACCAAGCTTCTCAGAGTAATAAATCATCCCAAATATTCTCCAAATTATACGTTTTTGGTCCCATTTTTAGGATTAGGAGTAAAAGCAATCTCGGCCAATATTCAGCAGATCTCGAGAGGTGTCCTGACCTGTTACGAGTTACTAGGTGGTGGTGTTCAGGCTGAGCTTCATAGATAACTTTACTTTCAGGGCGACTCTGTGATGCTTGATAAATACGAGCGTAGGCCCTCTCTCTTAAATCCCATCTCCCCCTGGCCTGTTAGGAGTCTTTATAAACCTGCTTGGTGCAGCATCTTACCCTGGCCAGGTACTTTATCTGTGTGTCAGAAGTGATGCAGGCGTTGCCTTCTTCCCCGCCGTACTGCACATTCCCCAGATGGAGCACACTGGCGATTATGTTCAACAACTCCTACGGAGAGATAACACAGAGAGGGAGGGGAAGGAAACATAAGGACAATATGTGAAGAAAAATGTAAGATAAATAGTTACAAAGAAAGTGCAGAGTGGTGACAGAGGAGGACATTCATGAGGAGGGAGGGGTCAAAGGTAAAGAGATGAGAGGCTGCGGCTCGATTAGATTATACAAATCTGAAGTTACTGCCGAGGCTATCTTTATGAGAGACTTGACAGATAAAAGAAGCTTTGATTCAAATTAGGTTACCGATTCAACAGGATAGGTATGTAGCAATGTGCTCACCAAGTATCAAACCAGAACTGCACACACACACACACTCACACCTGCTCTTCACTCTATAAGCAGTGTGAGATCTAAAAAGCTCTGGCAGTAGGCCCAGGCTCAGGAACATGTAGGAAGACTCCCACGCTGAGCACAAATAAGTTCTCACCATATAATAACAGCACGCACACTTACTCTGTCTAAGAAACACTTTCAAATACAAACATCCACAGTACAAGACTAAAACAGAAACAGCCTCAGCCCCCCTCAGGCACTTGGAGTACTTTACTGTTCATAGTGAAACCCGTACTAAAGACTGTGAACAGCCATTAACACAGTCTGGGTTATAATCTTTATTATTATAAGTTTGTCTTGGGTACATCTCAACTTTTTGTTTCAAGAATTTAGTAGTAATAAGTGAAAATGCACGTCTTCATCCTGCTTTGTGCAGAGGGAAGGGTTCAGAGGTTCCACTTGCTCCGTCTACTTCAGAGAAAAACATTTTCTTGAGTTTACACCTCACATGCTACTCTGGGTGACAAAACAAACATGTCAGGCATGATTAACACAGCTTGGACTCCTTACCTCCACCTCGTCCTCGTTGAAACCAATCACAGACAAGGCTTTCCTCACCACTTTCCAATCACTGCGATCATTGATGGAGCTCACTTTGGGACAGTTACCCTGTGGAAAACACACACACACACAAAACCCTAAATCACTCTGAACAATCATATATTTACCATCTGTTTCAGCTTTTTATTTCCTAGTAAAGCTTGTCCAGCAAAATCCATAAAGTAGCTGATGTGTAAACACGTAAACACCTATTTATATGTGATGTAAACACCTATTTGCACAAACACATATATGAGGTGTTTTTGCTCAGTAGCTGTTTGTGTGTGTTCATTGAGGGGAGGGTTCAGCTAGTGCCTTAAGGCAGATTTGCCCCCTGAGGAAAGCTCCTCTTACTGCACTGAGAGTCCCTGACTGAGAGCCTATTAACCAGAACTCCCACTGGGACACACACACACACACACACACACACACACACACACACACACACACACACACACACACACACACACACACACACACACACACACACACACACACACACACACACACACACACACACACACACACACACACACACACACACACACACACACACACACAGTTCAGACCAATAACTTCTGAGGGAGAGAGAGAGAGAGAGAGAGAAAGGGCTGCTGCAACTTCCCTGCAGTATTTACACATGGTTTATATTCATCTACAGGTTTCTCTCCGGAGCCAAAGGTGTGGCTGGAGAAGGACTTCATTGAGACTTGCTTAATTAACTATGAATTGGCATTGTTACCAGTTTACCCATTAACAAAAAGATAGATTTAAACATTCCAAACACAAGATTTACAAGATACAGATACTGGTTACTCCCTGTGCATTTAGATGTTCTGTCATGTTAATTCAAAACTTCAATAGGCTCAAGATAGACAGGAAAGGGGCAGAGAGGGAGGGGACGACACGCAAGGGCAACAGGTCGGACTTGAACCCATGGGCGCTGCATCAGAACTTGGCACGAGTTACTTTAGTACTGCTGATTTAACAGGAAGAGTTTCATGTTCATCCAAGCCGTAGCAGTGCTCCATCTGTCTCTAAGAAAAATGAATGGGACTTTTACTTCCAGAACCAGCTCTATTATTAGATACTTACTTTGACCAGGTACTGGTACTGCTGAGGATTCCTCTCCAGGCCCAGGCGTCTCAGCAGGTCCTCCTCGCCTCCCTCGATCAGCTGATAGAAAATGTGGAAGTTCCTCTCACCGTGGTTCTGGTGGACCACGCGGGACTTCTCCAGCAGGTAGTTGATGATGTGGCCTCCCACCGGGGCACCCTGGCGACGGGATAAAGGCCAGGGAGGGACGGGGGAGGAAGGGGAGGAGAAGGAGGAGGAGGAGGAGAGGGTAAGGCTGGGGTACTGAGGTGTGATGTAGGGTTGATGTAACATGCAGGTCGACAGGGATTTTGTAGTCCATAACATATTAAGTGTATGTAATTAATTACACTGAAAAAAAATCAATGCATCAATGCAAAACATTAAGTATATTTCTATTGTTAATATTATCACGCAGAACAACAGAGTCTGGATTTTTCTTGTTAGGTTTTCAATATGAAGAGGTAACAATATTTTAGGTTCTTGCAACAATTTGCTTCCCTCTGAAGGAAGACTCGTTGGACAGTGTTTACGCTGGCGTAATGTAGCTGCCAGTGTAAATCAGTCCTGCTCACCTTGAAGTCGAACTGAATGTCCATGTACTTGCCAAAGCGGCTCGAGTTGTCGTTACGCAACGTCTTGGCATTGCCAAAGGCCTGGAGAGAGGATAGAGTGGGAAAAGAGAGAAAGGAGAGGAGTGATGATTGACGGATTAAGAGGTAGAGAGATAACAGGGAATGGAGAGAAAAAAGTGTGATAAACACAGGATGGCAGATGAGGAGGTAGCAGTGAAACAAAAAGAGAAAACCACAGGCATTAGAGTCCCCGCAGCGTTTGTCTACGACAGTAGCACAGATTACAGGGCATAGTGTACGCTCACACACTTATACACATCTGGAAAGCATCTGGCTCAGACATGCCAGACACCAAAACAAGTGCTTCTGTAAACCCTAGCACCTCTCTATTGGCTTCATCCTCCAACACACTGCCTTTTAACCAAACACAGACAATCACCGCTCTGTTCTTTACAGTACAACATACATTTCCCAAAGAAATGTGTGAGCAAGAAATTCTTGTGATGCTCAAATATATCATATGTGTGTTTTTGCATGCTAGGTATGTTCTGCCAATGTGGGTTTTTCAAAGCACACAGCAATATGAACGTAGACTACATATCGATATAGATAATAATGATTTGAATTCAAAGAAAACTGAGTCACAATTCATCCAAAAAATCATAGAAAGCTTCTTCTTGCCTCTGAGGAAGCTTTTAGACTTCAAACGCTGCTGGATAATCAAATAAACTGCATCATAACCATCACAGTGGAGGTTAACAAAGATGCTACTAGACTTTATATGTGGCAGATAAATCAATTAACTGGATTGCCCGTGTCTTTGACCCACTGTACATTTATACTGACTGTTTGCAAGTGAAATCAAAGCAAAAAGGAAGCCTCTTTATCAAACAGGCTGTTGAGTGCCTAGTGGTTACGCTGCTATAAGAGATAGTACATAAGAACATTAGGATGACAGCTTTCTGCTATAATAAAAAGATAACAAAACATTCTTCATGATGGTTTGACATTTAGTACTTATTTTGGCATCACAATGTTAGCCTTGGCAAACAACTTATCAGCTCTTCATTTTAAACACAGCTGACAGGGTGATCGCTTTATTTTTTGAAAAAACAAATAAGCCTCACATTTATCAACAAATCAATATACAAAGTATCTACATCAAGCCACATCTTTGAGATTAGCAACCATTTCTGCAGCCCATCTTTCAACAGTGTAGCAACAACAACAAATCCAATGTGCTGAGTAGCTCTCAGTGTGTGGACTTTTCCCTGAGTCTCACCTCCAGCACAGGGTTGGACTGCAGCAGGCGGTCTTTGACGGTCTGCACCTGCTCGCTGGCTGGGCAGGTGACGGCGTAGTACTGCAGGATTTTCTTGGACGCCTCCGTCTTCCCGGCGCCGCTCTCCCCTGAGATGAGGATGCACTGGTCCTTCCTCTCCGTCCTCAAGGAACGGTATGAGTTGTCTGCCACTGCGTAGCTGCAGGAGTGGAGGGAGACACCGTGTCAGTCAGATGGTCAGCAGAACGTTTACATTATGGAATTTAAAACATTAATATAGCAGCAGACAACTATTTGCTAGAGATATAGTGGAGTCACGTTGTCCTGGGGAGAGAAGGACTTCACACCCCCTTTCCCTGTGTTGCTATGGCAGCCTCTCTCAGGTTTGTTTACACAGGCGGTCTGCTCCGTGTGCAGCTGAGTAGAGCGACTGAAACTGCTGTTTTTCTCATCTTCGTCTGTGAATTATTTATATTTGCAAGTATTTATTTTGACCAACCAGAGCTGGTGAACAGTGGAACAGTGGATATTACAACCGTTTCTGGTTAAATAAGAGGTGTTATATCTCTGTAGAGATCCTTCTTATGACATTCTCGCACATGTTTAGGAATATTTTCACATCTAACTCTTTGAATTAAAGGTTTATTTCAACCAATATTAATTATTAAATATTAAATTAATCATGGACCGCAGAAAGCATTTAAAATTGGTCGGCCCCATCAGTACCGTATCACAGAGAAAGGCAGGCACCAATTTTGAATGGGAAACGTTTTACATTACATGACATAATTAGCCTATACATTTTTAGATACCGGAATTTATTGCTCTGTCATAGGCTATATATATATATATATATATATACTGTATAAATAAAAAAGTTGCTACCGAAGAATTTGGCTTTTTTTGCATGTCTGTTATATTTCAAAGTTGGTATGGCTCCGGCCCTACCGGACCCACCGTTTCCATGGTCCTTGCTTTAAATATTCATTGAATTTATAAACTTCGATTCAGCATTATTAAACTGAACTGAATGAATGGGTTAAATAAAAGTCTGTCTTTACATAATTCAGAACAGTATGGTAACAAAAGAGACAACTATTCATCAGTTATGGTGATGATGTTCTGTTAAAAAAAAAAAAATAGCACTTAAAATCTCTTGGAAAACCTGTGTCTGAACGTAACATATGATACTGTGTGAAGATGGAAAGACACTGGACTACCAGTATGAATCATAAAGTCCAGAGTGGAACACAGCCGGTTTTAGTTACAGTATCATTTGTCAGCACCACCGCTATCAGAACAGCTATGTTGTTTCAGCCTGTATGGACACATTTTTGACACCAGACTAATTGGTAGATAAAACCAGCAGCTTGGCCTCAGCTGCATCATACTTTATATGCTGTATGTGTGTGATATCAGGGAGGGCTGGGGGCTAGGGGGAGGGGGGTCAGGTTCAGGTCAGAGGAATTCCCTCTCTGGGGAGGAAACCTCTTGCCTGGTACCATCATTTGCTTACTTTTCCTTCCACCTCTCCCGCCCGCTTTCCCTCTCTAACCCTCCTCCACCTCCTCTCGCCAAAGCACATCTTTCTTTCCACTCAGAGGGAGAGAAAACATTTGGCCCTATGCTCAAGTGTTGAACTAAAGAGAGAGAAAAAAAAAACTAGCAGTGGTTAGAGCTGAGAGAGATTCTGAAATGTTTCAATGACGCCACTCCAAGTCTCCATAATGCAGTTGATTGTTTTGTAGCTGACCTATGGGATCTGGGAGGGTTTAACAGGGAATTCCCTGACCAGTCCTGTGGCAACTGTTCAAACAAACACTCCGACTCATGCCATGACGACGTCTGGCAAACAGGGTGACTGATAGAGAAAAGGACAGTCAGACCATGAGAGCATTGCGTAGCTAACTGACTCAGAGAGTGGCGCTTAGGACAAACATTCCCATGCAGTCTAAACATACACACTGTGACAACATGTTAAGTCATCCTCGGGTAAAATGCTCCAAGAGGCATCAACAGACTCCTTATTTTAGGACGTTGGAGCAAAAGGAGAAAACAGTAAACATGCTGTCCCCCATGAATGATGCAGACGATGTTTAGGCCCATCATAGAAAAACATGTTTCACTTGTAATAGCAAAGAAGTGCAATGAATCATTCCCTCCATCTTCCACTCACGCAGATAAAGCTGCATTCATGGGCCGGGAAAAAAAATGTAATGCATTCCATATGAGATTGTCCGAAGGGAGGAACATGATAGATAATGATTGTATGCTCTGAGAGATTATTTGCTGAAACCTGCTTCTCTCCTCTTCTCTGTGTCTTCCATAACATTTAAGCAGGTAATTTGACTCTGAGTGTGAGTTAAATTCTGAAAATGTGAAGTTAATGTATAGCTGTGTACTTACATGTGTGGTGAGACCTCGTAGAAGTTGACTCCACGGTATCGCTCCATGTGGTTCTTGGTGTAGATCTCCAGGTCTCTGTATGGGTTCACTGACACCAGCACTGAACCGATGTATGTCTGATGGAGATGGAACATACAGTTACATTACATGACAAAGTACAGATAAACAGACCACTTATACATTATCAGTTTCATAGACTTTTTACTCCAAATTAGCTGCGTCAGTGCGGGTGTGCATGTAAAGTAACTATACCCCTACACTTTGTTAAGCCATTTTTCCATAAGACCAAATTCAGGTAAAACCAAACAGCTGGCTGTGGCTCTTCCAACTGAGACATAACATTTCTTCATGGAGCGAAAAAGCAGTATAGCTGTAATCAACTACAGGAAACCACCCCAAAGGTCAGGGTTAAAATGGTTTAAGGAGAGTCTTAAAGGTCATTCTGTCATGTTTTTAACTGCAAATGACCTCCGTTCCATTACGCTTGGATAAAGTCTCCAAATCTCTCTTCAGGAGGGACAGTACTTGTTTTTCACACATAGTTTTTGTCACTGTTTCCACTATTATCCAGACAAATTTCTTTGAATTAATAGTAATTGACCATTTTTGTCTCTGCAACTGCAATTTTTGTTTTAAATCTGACAATTTATCATAAAAATAATAAACATTGGCACATATGTCAGCCAATAAGTAGCAAGAAGTTGCAATAGAGAAATGCAAAAGATACAATACAGTTTTTCAGATTTTTACTCTTAACTATCAGTACTAATCTAAAAGTAGTAGTGAGCTCTCTCACTACAACCACTCACATAGATGAGGTTCTCTTTGAAGCGTTTGCGCAGGTTCTCTATGAAGGCGGCCTCACTGGTGTAGTTCTCCAGCAGGACAAAGTCCTGCACGCCCACCCGGTCTCTGGCTGTCAGGGCCGACTCCATCATAGCCCGCACCCCGTCACTAGCCACCACCTAGAGGAGGACAAGCAGGGAGGAGGGTGGGGTTAGTGACTGAATAGAACAGGATAACCTATGTACTGTAACACTTCATCACTCAAACTGTGCTTGTCCCATGCATTTCACACACATAATCCATCCTCATCAGCGTTAGGAATGAAGGAGAGGACTAAATGAAACTCACAATTAAAAACATAAATCAGTGCTGCACCAACTATTGCTGGTAAAAAAAAAAAAAACTTACTTGTGTAACACCCCAACATTATCAGAGAGTGAAAAGCAGGTACAGATGCAGTACAAGCCATAGATATAAAACACATTTATTTCTACATTACATTACATTTATATCTGGTACAACTATCAGGTGGGAGTTGAATTCAAACTGTGATGCATGGAGGCTAGCATGAACAGTTTCTCTCTCTGATTTCAGAGTAGATGATGGAATACATTAAAAGTATTTCTATTATTAAAAATAAAAAAGAAGCCAGTTACTGTTTGGAGTATGACTAATAAATAGTCTAGGCTCATATATCTCTATATATCTCTATCTACATATCCCATATATATCAGTTTATTGCAGATAAAACATTTGTACTCATGTAATATTTCAGTAAGTGCACCAGTGCACGCTGGCAGACAATTCTTTAAAAAACTAATTCAAGTGTTTTTGATAAAACATTCACACTCTAACTCATGGTCCACCCTTTAGCTTTTTCTGTACATTTCAACCACATCCCAGGGTACCTATCAGTGATGAAGAAGACCATGAGATGCTGCTAAAAGCTCTGGAAAGGGGCAGTAAGTTGACCTTGAGTTCCTGTATTGGTTGGCTACACTGCGTTGTTGTCTGTGTTGTTTTTCATTTCAAAATTGATCAATACCACACTGTCTATGAGAGGACCATATCCTGAGTTGAATCTAATTCAACAGTTGAACCAGATTCAGGTATGCAAGAATATGTATTGCTCAGGGAATTCATTGAGGTTCAGTGGTCTATGGTTTATATTCAGTCTCAGAGTCTCTTTGGCATAACCTCTAAAATCTCAAATTCAAACCCTGGATGTGGGAACAAATTATCATCTTTCATCAGCTTCAACCCAAAATTGTTTGCAATCGGCCTTGGAAAAAACCCCTAATCACTAACACGAACTGAGCCAATGTTTGCGGAGATGTAGAACCATTTTTGTGTGCAGTAAACTTCAGAGGTTCATTAAGTCCTTCCTGTCCCATAAGATCTCATCACATCTTTTAGGACCCCCCCACAGCTTTTAACTTACAATAGAGCACATTCAGACCAATGCCACGAACCACTGTTTGAAGTCTAAAAGCCCTTCACAGACCTCACATTGACTCATACGATAAAACTAAGTGCAGATTTTAGATGGTATGTATACCATCTAGTTTTCTTTAAAACAGCACCGAAGCAGTTCTACAAGTTGAGATGAACCAAACCCAAAATGTGGTTGAAAAATGTCTCACTTCAACCAAACTGTACCGAGCCCCACCCAGGTTTGCATATACCTAAAAATAACAGCGTATGTAGAATCAGAAGCGAAGATAACACTTACATGGTTAAGATCATCAATGCGTTTGCCCAGGAAGCCGTTTTCTAAAATAGAGGCTTGAGTTTTACGCATAAGATTGCGAATATCGCTCATATCCATGTTTAAGACGTTGTGAGTTGGACAGAACTAAAAGAAACTCGACTTTAGCTGGAGGGTAGAGGTAGGGATGGCCAGCGCAGGAACGGGGACAGACACCGCACGCACACAAAGTACAGCAGGTGTTGTTGTTGTGTTATGCAGTACAGAAGTCTTCATCTCCCAGGAGACCACAAAGAAGAGATAGAGAGAGAAAGAGAAGAGAAAGCTTGAGGGAGGAGAGAACTTATTAATTAGCACTGGGTGAGACAGGAGGGAAAAATACAGAGGAGAGAGGTGTTAGAGGAAGGCGAAAAAAAAATAAGAGAAGGAGATGATGGATGCCAGGTTCTGACTCCAGTCCTGCAGCATCGCTCCATTTAAACTGTACTGGAAAGTTAACAATACTCCCTGAAATTCCACACAGCAATGCCCTGAACAACACAACGCCTGTCTTTTCACTGCAGAACAGACACCCACACGCACAACATCTTGATCGGATTTCACACAAGCATGCACGAATATGTTTGATCCTGGATTTCAAAGCAGAATTGCAGTGTCCCATGGTGCTCCACACATGGGGAGAAGCCATGGGACACCGGTATGGACCTTCTATGTCTGGAAGTCCACAATACAAGTTCAGGGGAAACAGAACTGACACCACAGCAGGTCCCTATAAACCTAATAACATTAGCTAGCACTGCGTGTTATGTTTACGCTCTTTAATTAACTGAACCACCCCTGTACTTTATCTTTACAGCCTTCCAAAGAGGCAAGTGGCCTGGCTCAGAGGGAGGCTGTTGGAGCTGACTCACCTCTAATCTTTATTATCTGACGATGACTCAAGCTTTCATCGGTGCTTCTTAATCCACAATGTGTGTGAGCATGTTTGTGTCCTCACAAGGACACAATGGCACTAATCCAAAGTGTGGACAATTTGATTTCATCTCTTTAGAAGAGAGAAGGCTTTTACTGTTCAACTTTACAAGACCCTGCTCCCAGATTAAAGTGACTATGAATAGAGAGTGCAGTGAATATTAGCAATGCTTTTTATTACACATTGGCTACAGTCACTGTAGGCTTCTTCAGCACCTGCAGAGGTTTCACAGATGTCTTTGTCTGAGACTAAATGGTGCTTCGAGGCAAACCACATGCCCAACCACACAAAAAGGGTGGCAAGTGGTGCGGAAAGGAAGCTGACACGCTGACAGAAGTGATAGGTGTGGATAACAATACACTCAAAGCTTAATGGTTTTATTTAACTTTAAATATATAATCCTTAAGCTTTTTATGAAATCAAACCCCGCTTTTGACACTATTTATGGTCGGCATTTTTTCAGAAATATCCATGACATGTGTTTACATTCAGTCATTTCCTCTGTATAGTAGATTTCATTGTTAATGGCACTGTCACTGCCACTCTGGCACAACTATTCAAATTGCAAGATATTCACAGGAAACACTGCATGTATGTAATCCAGTGTTACTTGTTGTAATTAGATCTCACTGATGTCAGCAAATTTCCTACTGCAGCTGCTAAACATTAAAGCATTTACATAGCATTCACCTGGGAGCACCCGAGTAGCTCACCTGGTGAGAGTGCACGCACCGTGTACTATGGCATAACTATTTCTTTTCCTGTCCAATAAATGAAATGAAATCCTGTCATTTTAAATTATATTTACTGACTATTTTATTAAAACAATGTCAGTTTGTTTGTCTGCACTGTAAACAGATGGACCAGCTGCTCTGCAGTTGTTTTTCTGATGTATTAAAAATAACAATTACTGTTATCACAGTAACCATGGCTGTTGCGAAATCAAGCAGGACTGAAGCACTGGAGTTTACAAAGGAAGGGAAAAAGTAAACAGCTTTGGAATGCACTGCACCCGTGTGGTATTGCTACAAGTATCAATAATATTACAAGCGTTAATACCAGATCTGTGAGTTCATATGTCCCACAGCCCACACATCCTTCTTTCTCTCACCCCTGGACGCCATGAGCTCTGGTGACCTACTGTTTCACACATTTCTACAGAAAGCAAAGAAACTGCAGAGTGTGTGTGTGTGTGTGTGTGTGTGTGTGTGTGTGTATGTGTGTGTGCTGACCCCTGAGAGCTGAGTATGTGTGACTAACTTTCTGTTACCAGTCCCTCTCCTCTCTCCTGTCAAACAAACAGTATGTGAAGTATTTTGACCATTTCACTACGAACATTCTGCTGATGAAAATGTTCTGGCCACTTTCTTTTTCTTTTTTCTCTGCTGTTGCTGCAGCTGCACACATATGAAACCAGTGACTTCCTGTGTAGCAGAGGGTTTTTCCTGGGAAAGAATTACAAGACAGTGGGTGTTTGGTCCAAAGGTAAAAGAATTCACTGTTAGGAGGAGCAAAACTGACACACATTTACATTAAGATGTCATAGTTTATTACAAAACCCTCCAAATATTATGGCGCCTTGGAGGAAAGCAACCAGAGCCTTATTTCCTCTCCCCTCCTCTATACATTCTATCTCTCATTCACTTTCCCTCCTTGTTTCAGTCTCTCGCCCTCTCTCTCTCCATTACTTCATTGTTTCTCAATGCCACTTTGACTGTTTGGCTTTCCTGCGTGCAGTTCCACACACCGGACCTCCACCCGGTCTCAGGAACACGCCAAGTACGTGCCTACCCGGTTCCGACATGTCGTCATGTTTTCCAAATCCTGTGCAGCAAACAAGGAGGCTTGAAGGTAGGTTAGCAGGGGGAGACCTGAAGAGGTACAACTCTCTGCTAAGACCTCCAGCTATACTAGTTATAGAGTTGTATGAGTTTCACAGGGCAGGTACCAATAAATATGTAAAAAAAAACTGCAGCACATTATTCATATCAGCAATTAATAGTGATTGAAAGCCAAGTATTGGCGCAGTATGTCAGCCTAAAAACATCCAGTTTTGAGTATTTCTCTAAACTTTTATCTTAGCACGCTAACACGCAAAACTAAGACGGTAAGCATGGTAAACATTACACCTGCTGAAGCATTATAGCATGCTGATGTTAGCATTTAGCTCTGAGCACAGCCTCACAGAGCTGCTTGCTGCTGACTTTTAGTCTTTTTATACTATTGCCAATATGATATCTGAGTTTTAATATAGATAAAATATTATTGACCTTATTTTGAGAAATATAACCATGTATGTTCAACAAAACACATTGGCAAAATAAAAAGGAACTATCTGATCAAAGAACAAGTAAACAAGACTGACAGTTCCAGCTGACAGTTAGTACAGTGGGCGGTACCTGACAGACCATACTTTGTGCTACAGACACATTGTCAGAAAATAATTAAGGTTTGATACCCAGACCAAGACTATGTATGTGGAGTAGACAGAGATTAGA